GATCATGGTATCATTTGCGTGTTAGCTGGGGTGGAGTTGTGCGCACAGGACCAACACAAGCACGCGGAATTTGCGGAGGGGGGCCCTGCACCGAGCTTTCCAGCGCCTCGTGCAGTACTCGGCTCGCTAGACTGCTTGGCGCGGGGGCGTCCAGCCAAGCGCAGCCCGGCAGGCAACATGTTGTGGTAACAAGTAGTTGGCACTAAACATTAAAGTAGATCCAGCGTGTGTTGCTTAGCGCCTCGACGCACTTTTGTCAGTACTGTAGCTACTTCAGACTATACGCAATGGTACAGTAACATACAGAATACAGCATCTAGTGCAGCTCAGCCGCTTGCTCTCGAACCGAAGTGATATGTAGTGTTACTGTGAGGACACTTAGACCCAAGGACTTGGCGATCAAGTCCTCCAACTCGGTGGCCAAATTGATCAGACTTGGCCACTTGGCCCATGCTCGTGCTGGTGCTCGCTCGGTTGGTTGGTTGGTGGCAGCAACTTGAACCAACATACGGAAATGTTCTCGACAAAAAACAGAGTGTCAGCCTATTCTTTTACCGTGCACAGGGCCAGTCGGTGTAGCCCGGTGCACCACGCTGCACCGACTGGAGCTGACCCGGTGCAAGTATCCTCTGTCGGTGCACCACGCTGCACCGACTGGAGCTGACCCGGTGCAAGTATCCTCTGTCGGTGCACCACGCTGCACCGACTGGAGCTGACCCGGTGCAAGTATCCTCTGTCGTCCTCAATCCTTCCAGATGGGGTTTATCGTGCTCGTGCATAAACGATAGTACTATGCAGCAAACTATGCGCCGTGCTGTTCTTCGGATGGGACTTGCTCCGGATTGAACGCCTTGAGATAGAAACCAGGATGGTGTCGTGGGAGTCAGGAGCCTATCATACCATCGTTCATTCTCCAATTCGCGAAGCGCAGCACACACCTCTCGTCTCCCGAATCACATCAAAAATGAAGTTCGCTGCTGGCCTTGTTCTTGCGGCTCTCGCCGTCACCGCCGCCAACGCCGGCAACCCGGCCTACCTCCGCTCGTCGGACGATGCCAGCGCCAGCGAGGACTTCGACTTCTCGGCCTCGGACTCGCTCGACGCCAGCGGCAGCGACGCCTGCCCGGACAAGTGCCCGGAAATATACAAGCCCGTTAAGGACGATACGGGTGTCGAGCACGTGAACGAGTGCGCCATGCGCATGGCCCAGTGCATCACGAACGACCTGAACAACATGTTCGGCACAGACAGCACCGACGGCAGCGGCTGGACGTTCACCACGGATTGGCTTACTGGCAGCGGCAGCAACAGGAAAGAAGTTCAGGACTTCTTTGACGCCTTAGATAAATTTGCGAATTCATCTGGCAGTGGCAGCGACCAGGTCGACCTTCAGGACATCATCGACGCCCTCGAGGAGGAGCAGGCCTCGGACGACAGCGAGTCTGGCAGCGACGACGACCTGTCGTGGCTCCTTGACAGCGGCTCGGAGTCCGGCAGCGAGGACCCCACCCTTGTGAAGGGCAAGGGTGGCGTCGCCACCAAGGGCAAGACCCCTATCTACGAGGATGACAGCGAGTCGGGCACCGACGACCTCTCGTGGCTGGACGACAGCGACTCGGAGTTTGGCAGCGAGGACCCTACCCTTGTGAAGGGTGCCACCAAGGGCAAGACCCCCATCGTTCAGGACGACTCGGAGTCCGGCAGCGACGACGACGTCCTGGTGAAGGGCGGCAAGGAGCCCGCCACCAAGTCGTCCAAGTCGAGCAAGACTGAGAAGGCCACCAAGACGGGCACGACCACCGACCTAATTGACCAGCTCTTCGACGACGCCTCGGAGGACGGCATCATTGGCGACGAGTCCGATGAGGAGGACCCGACGCTGGTGAAGGGCGCCACCAAGGGCGGCGCTGCCACCAAGGGCAAGACCCCCCTGTACAAGGAGGATGACAGCGAGTCCGAGTCTGCTTCGGACGAGGACGACTACTTCCAGCAGGAGCAGCTCCAGACTTCCGTGGCCGAGAAGGCGGCGACCAAGAGCTCCAAGACTCTGCTGCTCTAAGCATAAGGTTCCTTTTTAAATGTACGTTTCGTCATAGACAAAATGTACGTTGGTCCCTGTTGACAAGAACTCGAAACTTCGTATTCCCCCACTGCATCAACTCTGTGTAGAATGGGCCGCCAAGACGAAGTGGCGGCCTTGCGTATGAACTCAATACCATTCATCTGCAAACAAACAAACTCACTCTCTGTCCCGCAATACCATGTGCACTTCTGCCAACCTCAACTCGATAATTTGACGCAATCAGTTCTCCTATTCATAGACTGCACCACTTAATCCGGTCCGTAGCTGCTCGAAAAGCTTCGTCAACTTCGCCACTTCATTCCAGAACGTGCCTCCTCGCGGCAAGCCGCTCGATGATGGAGGACCGCGCGACTTCCACGGCCACGGCGCCGCTGCAGCTGCCCATCCTGCCTCTGGACGGCAAGCTCCATTGGCGAGCTCTTCGACGACGCCTTGGGGGACGGCATCATTGGCGACGAGTCCGATGAGGAGGACCCGACGCTGGTGAAGGGTGCGAAGGCCATGAAAGCCCCAGTCGAGGCAGGTCCTGAGAAGACGCTTTCTGCCTCCAGGAGCACGAAGGTCACGGTTTAATGTAAATACATATATTGGTGTAGTTTGTAAAGGTTTTTGATTTTACAGTGTGTTAGATGTGGTGACATGCTACGTTATACATCGTCCCACGGTGAAGCGGTAAGGCTGACGTCCAGTGGACAAATGTGTGCGTCTAGGAAAGACCCGGGTGCTACAAGAGCGAATTTCCCCGGGCGGGTTGCCGACTGGTTGTGCACGGTACTCGTAAACGTTGTGCATCACAATCCTGCTGCTGGCCAAGACAGGCTTACAGTACAGTACTGTAGCGACATGAAGCAAATGCATGAAGTCTTGTGCAGGGATTACTTGGATCTTAGATAAACACTCTCGCAAGGCTGACGACTTTTTTTCTTTACTGAATGTACCGTATTACAGTATTTGTCTTTCCATGGAAATCAGGGCGCGCTCCCAAAGGTATATTTCTTCAAGGCCTTCGCCGACGGGGTCCGCCGTCGGCACAACGTTTTAGGGCCTTGGCCAGTCAAATGGTTGCAAGGCCTAACAACCATTTCACTTTCAAGTTTGTGCTTTAATACTGTACGAGCGTACAAACTTGACAAGTACGGATAGGATAGGTGCAGAACTTTTGACTGTTTAGAACGCGGTCCTATAGAGAATGCTGAGATGATGTTCTCTATCCACGAGCACAGATGTACTGTTGGCAACAGTGTTGCCTCTCCCGAACAATCCGAAATCAAGTTCTCAGCCGGTTAATCATTTCATCTAAACCGAGGCTTAGAACGACTCAAGCAGTGATGAGGCCCATTTTCTCACTGCGAACACATCCATCTAACCTGCGTTTACGGGATACTTACAGTTTTTTTCTCTTACTTTGCGGCAAAAGGGCACATTCTACAGCTACAGGGCTCATTTTGTATAAATTCAGCCGCCGAAGGCGACAGTTCTTGATGAAGTTGGTCGCCATGCATTTGCCGTCAAAGTTTACACTGTCCAAGACGCGAAAATATCTTGGGATTCCCAAGTCGGAGACAGCGAACAAGCAAAACGCTGCGTACAAGACTTGCTTCTTCAAACAGATCCGCTGGCGGGCATAGTGGAGGATCTGCCTGGGATCTATCTGACTTGGAGCTGTTGCCGACCAAACGCGCGCCTAGGTGTTCGTCGCAAACGATAGTGGCTGCTTGCACCGGGCCAGCCAGTAAGAGATCTTGAGATGTGCTTAGAGCTACAGCTGGTGATTTGACGTTCAACACTCCGAAATCGGTGAAGGAACTCCTTCATTTGCGAAAAGGACGAGAAGGAGGCAAGCGGACGTCGGCAGGTGCGAGGCCGTCGAAATGCAAGCCCCTGCTCGCTAGGAGAGGGTGTGCGTGTGTGCTAAGATCATGGTATCATTTGCGTGTTAGCTGGGGTGGAGTTGTGCGCACAGGACCAACACAAGCACGCGGAATTTGCGGAGGGGGGCCCTGCACCGAGCTTTCCAGCGCCTCGTGCAGTACTCGGCTCGCTAGACTGCTTGGCGCGGGGGCGTCCAGCCAAGCGCAGCCCGGCAGGCAACATGTTGTGGTAACAAGTAGTTGGCACTAAACATTAAAGTAGATCCAGCGTGTGTTGCTTAGCGCCTCGACGCACTTTTGTCAGTACTGTAGCTACTTCAGACTATACGCAATGGTACAGTAACATACAGAATACAGCATCTAGTGCAGCTCAGCCGCTTGCTCTCGAACCGAAGTGATATGTAGTGTTACTGTGAGGACACTTAGACCCAAGGACTTGGCGATCAAGTCCTCCAACTCGGTGGCCAAATTGATCAGACTTGGCCACTTGGCCCATGCTCGTGCTGGTGCTCGCTCGGTTGGTTGGTTGGTGGCAGCAACTTGAACCAACATACGGAAATGTTCTCGACAAAAAACAGAGTGTCAGCCTATTCTTTTACCGTGCACAGGGCCAGTCGGTGTAGCCCGGTGCACCACGCTGCACCGACTGGAGCTGACCCGGTGCAAGTATCCTCTGTCGGTGCACCACGCTGCACCGACTGGAGCTGACCCGGTGCAAGTATCCTCTGTCGTCCTCAATCCTTCCAGATGGGGTTTATCGTGCTCGTGCATAAACGATAGTACTATGCAGCAAACTATGCGCCGTGCTGTTCTTCAAATGGGACTTGCTCCGGATTGAACGCCTTGAGATAGAAACCAGGATGGTGTCGTGGGAGTCAGGAGCCTATCATACCATCGTTCATTCTCCAATTCGCGAAGCGCAGCACACACCTCTCGTCTCCCGAATCACATCAAAAATGAAGTTCGCTGCTGGCCTTGTTCTTGCGGCTCTCGCCGTCACCGCCGCCAACGCCGGCAACCCGGCCTACCTCCGCTCGTCGGACGATGCCAGCGCCAGCGAGGACTTCGACTTCTCGGCCTCGGACTCGCTCGACGCCAGCGGCAGCGACGCCTGCCCGGACAAGTGCCCGGAAATATACAAGCCCGTTAAGGACGATACGGGTGTCGAGCACGTGAACGAGTGCGCCATGCGCATGGCCCAGTGCATCACGAACGACCTGAACAACATGTTCGGCACAGACAGCACCGACGGCAGCGGCTGGACGTTCACCACGGATTGGCTTACTGGCAGCGGCAGCAACAGGAAAGAAGTTCAGGACTTCTTTGACGCCTTAGATAAATTTGCGAATTCATCTGGCAGTGGCAGCGACCAGGTCGACCTTCAGGACATCATCGACGCCCTCGAGGAGGAGCAGGCCTCGGACGACAGCGAGTCTGGCAGCGACGACGACCTGTCGTGGCTCCTTGACAGCGGCTCGGAGTCCGGCAGCGAGGACCCCACCCTTGTGAAGGGCAAGGGTGGCGTCGCCACCAAGGGCAAGACCCCTATCTACGAGGATGACAGCGAGTCGGGCACCGACGACCTCTCGTGGCTGGACGACAGCGACTCGGAGTTTGGCAGCGAGGACCCTACCCTTGTGAAGGGTGCCACCAAGGGCAAGACCCCCATCGTTCAGGACGACTCGGAGTCCGGCAGCGACGACGACGTCCTGGTGAAGGGCGGCAAGGAGCCCGCCACCAAGTCGTCCAAGTCGAGCAAGACTGAGAAGGCCACCAAGACGGGCACGACCACCGACCTAATTGACCAGCTCTTCGACGACGCCTCGGAGGACGGCATCATTGGCGACGAGTCCGATGAGGAGGACCCGACGCTGGTGAAGGGCGCCACCAAGGGCGGCGCTGCCACCAAGGGCAAGACCCCCCTGTACGAGGAGGATGACAGCGAGTCCGAGTCTGCTTCGGACGAGGACGACTACTTCCAGCAGGAGCAGCTCCAGACTTCCGTGGCCGAGAAGGCGGCGACCAAGAGCTCCAAGACTCTGCTGCTCTAAGCATAAGGTTCCTTTTTAAATGTACGTTTCGTCATCGACAAAATGTACGTTGGTCCCTGTTGACAAGAACTCGAAACTTCGTATTCCCCCACTGCATCAACTCTGTGTAGAATGGGCCGCCAAGACGAAGTGGCGGCCTTGCGTATGAACTCAATACCATTCATCTGCAAACAAACAAACTCACTCTCTGTCCCGCAATACCATGTGCACTTCTGCCAACCTCAACTCGATAATTTGACGCAATCAGTTCTCCTATTCATAGACTGCACCACTTAATCCGGTCCGTAGCTGCTCGAAAAGCTTCGTCAACTTCGCCACTTCATTCCAGAACGTGCCTCCTCGCGGCAAGCCGCTCGACGATGGAGGACCGCGCGACTTCCACGGCCACGGCGCCGCTGCAGCTGCCCATCCTGCCTCTGGACGGCAAGCTCCATTGGCGAGCTCTTCGACGACGCTTCGGGGGACGGCATCATTGGCGACGAGTCCGATGAGGAGGACCCGACGCTGGTGAAGGGTGCGAAGGCCATGAAAGCCCCAGTCGAGGCAGGTCCTGAGAAGACGCTTTCTGCCTCCAGGAGCACGAAGGTCACGGTTTAATGTAAATACATATATTGGTGTAGTTTGTAAAGGTTTTTGATTTTACAGTGTGTTAGATGTGGTGACATGCTACGTTATACATCGTCCCACGGTGAAGCGGTAAGGCTGACGTCCAGTGGACAAATGTGTGCGTCTAGGAAAGACCCGGGTGCTACAAGAGCGAATTTCCCCGGGCGGGTTGCCGACTGGTTGTGCACGGTACTCGTAAACGTTGTGCATCACAATCCTGCTGCTGGCCAAGACAGGCTTACAGTACAGTACTGTAGCGACATGAAGCAAATGCATGAAGTCTTGTGCAGGGATTACTTGGATCTTAGATAAACACTCTCGCAAGGCTGACGACTTTTTTTCTTTACTGAATGTACCGTATTACAGTATTTGTCTTTCCATGGAAATCAGGGCGCGCTCCCAAAGGTATATTTCTTCAAGGCCTTCGCCGACGGGGTCCGCCGTCGGCACAACGTTTTAGGGCCTTGGCCAGTCAAATGGTTGCAAGGCCTAACAACCATTTCACTTTCAAGTTTGTGCTTTAATACTGTACGAGCGTACAAACTTGACAAGTACGGATAGGATAGGTGCAGAACTTTTGACTGTTTAGAACGCGGTCCTATAGAGAATGCTGAGATGATGTTCTCTATCCACGAGCACAGATGTACTGTTGGCAACAGTGTTGCCTCTCCCGAATAATCCGAAATCAAGTTCTCAGCCGGTTAATCATTTCATCTAAACCGAGGCTTAGAACGACTCAAGCAGTGATGAGGCCCATTTTCTCACTGCGAACACATCCATCTAACCTGCGTTTACGGGATACTTACAGTTTTTTTCTCTTACTTTGCGGCAAAAGGGCACATTCTACAGCTACAGGGCTCATTTTGTATAAATTCAGCCGCCGAAGGCGACAGTTCTTGATGAAGTTGGTCGCCATGCATTTGCCGTCAAAGTTTACACTGTCCAAGACGCGAAAATATCTTGGGATTCCCAAGTCGGAGACAGCGAACAAGCAAAACGCTGCGTACAAGACTTGCTTCTTCAAGCAGATCCGCTGGCGGGCATAGTGGAGGATCTGCCTGGGATCTATCTGACTTGGAGCTGTTGCCGACCAAACGCGCGCCTAGGTGTTCGTCGCAAATAGCCCTCAATCCTTTCAGATGGGGTATATCGTGCTCGTGCATAAACGATAGTACTATGCAGCAAACTATGCGCCGTGCTGTTCTTCAAATGGGACTTGCTCCGGATTGAACGCCTTGAGATAGAAACCAGGATGGTGTCGTGGGAGTCAGGAGCCTATCATACCATCGTTCATTCTCCAATTCGCGAAGCGCAGCACACACCTCTCGTCTCCCGAATCACATCAAAAATGAAGTTCGCTGCTGGCCTTGTTCTTGCGGCTCTCGCCGTCACCGCCGCCAACGCCGGCAACCCGGCCTACCTCCGCTCGTCGGACGATGCCAGCGCCAGCGAGGACTTCGACTTCTCGGCCTCGGACTCGCTCGACGCCAGCGGCAGCGACGCCTGCCCGGACGAGTGCCCGGACAAGTACGAGCCCGTTAGGGACGATACGGGTGTCGAGCACACGAACGAGTGCCACATGCGCTGGGCCCAGTGTCTCACGAACGACGTGAACAACCTGTTCGTCAGAGAGGGCACCGACTGGACGTTCACCGTGGCGTCGCTTTTTGGCAGCAGCAGCAGTGCCCAGGACAAACGTCAGCAACTCCTTGACGTCTTAGAGAAATTTACGAGTTCATCTGGCAGTGGCAGCGACCAGGTCGACCTTCAGGACATCATCGACACCTTCGAGGAGGAGCAGGCCTCGGACGACAGCGAGTCTGGCAGCGACGACGACCTGTCGTGGCTGGACGACAGCGACTCGGAGTTTGGCAGCGAGGACCCTACCCTTGTGAAGGGTGCCACCAAGGGCAAGACCCCCATCGTTCAGGACGACTCGGAGTCCGGCAGCGACGACGACGTCCTGGTGAAGGGCGGCAAGGAGCCCGCCACCAAGTCGTCCAAGTCGAGCAAGACTGAGAAGGCCACCAAGACGGGCACGATACCCGACCTAATTGACCAGCTCTTCGACGACGCCTCGGAGGACGGCATCATTGGCGACGAGTCCGATGAGGAGGACCCGACGCTGGTGAAGGGCGCCACCAAGGGCGGCGCTGCCACCAAGGGCAAGACCCCCCTGTACGAGGAGGATGACAGCGAGTCCGAGTCTGCTTCGGACGAGGACGACTACTTCCAGCAGGAGCAGCTCCAGACTTCCGTGGCCGAGAAGGCGGCGACCAAGAGCTCCAAGACTCTGCTGCTCTAAGCATAAGGTTCCTTTTTAAATGTACGTTTCGTCATCGACAAAATGTACGTTGGTCCCTGTTGACAAGAACTCGAAACTTCGTATTCCCCCACTGCATCAACTCTGTGTAGAATGGGCCGCCAAGACGAAGTGGCGGCCTTGCGTATGAACTCAATACCATTCATCTGCAAACAAACAAACTCACTCTCTGTCCCGCAATACCATGTGCACTTCTGCCAACCTCAACTCGATAATTTGACGCAATCAGTTCTCCTATTCATAGACTGCACCACTTAATCCGGTCCGTAGCTGCTCGAAAAGCTTCGTCAACTTCGCCACTTCATTCCAGAACGTGCCTCCTCGCGGCAAGCCGCTCGACGATGGAGGACCGCGCGACTTCCACGGCCACGGCGCCGCTGCAGCTGCCCATCCTGCCTCTGGACGGCAAGCTCCATTGGCGAGCTCTTCGACGACGCCTCGGGGGACGGCATCATTGGCGACGAGTCCGATGAGGAGGACCCGACGCTGGTGAAGGGCGCCACCAAGGGCGGCGCTGCCACCAAGGGCAAGACCCCCCTGTACGAGGAGGATGACAGCGAGTCCGAGTCTGCTTCGGACGAGGACGACTACTTCCAGCAGGAGCAGCTCCAGACTTCCGTGGCCGAGAAGGCGGCGACCAAGAGCTCCAAGACTCTGCTGCTCTAAGCATAAGGTTCCTTTTTAAATGTACGTTTCGTCATCGACAAAATGTACGTTGGTCCCTGTTGACAAGAACTCGAAACTTCGTATTCCCCCACTGCATCAACTCTGTGTAGAATGGGCCGCCAAGACGAAGTGGCGGCCTTGCGTATGAACTCAATACCATTCATCTGCAAACAAACAAACTCACTCTCTGTCCCGCAATACCATGTGCACTTCTGCCAACCTCAACTCGATAATTTGACGCAATCAGTTCTCCTATTCATAGACTGCACCACTTAATCCGGTCCGTAGCTGCTCGAAAAGCTTCGTCAACTTCGCCACTTCATTCCAGAACGTGCCTCCTCGCGGCAAGCCGCTCGACGATGGAGGACCGCGCGACTTCCACGGCCACGGCGCCGCTGCAGCTGCCCATCCTGCCTCTGGACGGCAAGCTCCATTGGCGAGCTCTTCGACGACGCCTCGGGGGACGGCATCATTGGCGACGAGTCCGATGAGGAGGACCCGACGCTGGTGAAGGGCGCCACCAAGGGCGGCGCTGCCACCAAGGGCAAGACCCCCCTGTACGAGGAGGATGACAGCGAGTCCGAGTCTGCTTCGGACGAGGACGACTACTTCCAGCAGGAGCAGCTCCAGACTTCCGTGGCCGAGAAGGCGGCGACCAAGAGCTCCAAGACTCTGCTGCTCTAAGCATAAGGTTCCTTTTTAAATGTACGTTTCGTCATCGACAAAATGTACGTTGGTCCCTGTTGACAAGAACTCGAAACTTCGTATTCCCCCACTGCATCAACTCTGTGTAGAATGGGCCGCCAAGACGAAGTGGCGGCCTTGCGTATGAACTCAATACCATTCATCTGCAAACAAACAAACTCACTCTCTGTCCCGCAATACCATGTGCACTTCTGCCAACCTCAACTCGATAATTTGACGCAATCAGTTCTCCTATTCATAGACTGCACCACTTAATCCGGTCCGTAGCTGCTCGAAAAGCTTCGTCAACTTCGCCACTTCATTCCAGAACGTGCCTCCTCGCGGCAAGCCGCTCGACGATGGAGGACCGCGCGACTTCCACGGCCACGGCGCCGCTGCAGCTGCCCATCCTGCCTCTGGACGGCAAGGTGCTATTCCCGCGGACGTATCTGCGGCTCGCCATCACGTCGGCGTCGGCGCTGCAGCTGCTCAAGGACTTGGTGTGGGAGGTGCGCGCGCCCAAGATGTCGCGGCGCTCGGGCGGTGGCGACACGGCGGCCTCCACGTCGCTGACGCTGGCGATCTTCACGCGCCGCAGCAGCGCAGACGGCGACGCGGACACACACCAGGTGCTGCCCACGACCGCGGAGGCCAAGGACGCCGTCTACAGCGTCGGAACCGTGGCGCGCGTCGTGCAGCTCACGCGTATGCAAGGAGGCGTGCCCGGCCTCTCGGTGCTGGTGCAAGGTCTGCATAGAGTGCAGCTGCAAGACGTGGCCCAGACGAGGCCCTATCTCGTCGGCTCCGTGCAGCGGCTGGTGGCGCCGGTGCCGGTCAAGGGCGCCAAGGCAGAGGAGACGGCGCTGACGCTGGAGCAACTGGCGCTGAGACTCAAGCACTTGACGCAGGAGTATCTCGAGACGGCCAAGAGTGCGCCGCTGCTGCGTAGGAGCAATGGGCTCGTGGACGCTATTGGCAACTCGTCGGCGGGAGAGCTGGCGGACGTGGTGGTGTCGTACCTGAACGTGGGCGTGGACGAGAAGCAGCAAGTTCTGGAAGCTGTACCAGTCGCTCTGCGGTGTGAACTGGCAGTAGCCTTGCTGGAACAAGAAACGGAGAAGGCGAGGCTGCAACGCAAGATTCAGAGTGAAGTACAGGACAAGTTGGAGGGGACCCGCAAGGAGTTTCTGCTACGACAGCAGCTTGAAGCTATCAAGAAGGAGCTTGGAGAGGCCGGCGACGATGGAGCTGCCGGAGAAAACGCTAGTGACTTGAAACTGCTGGAAGACCGGCTGAACGCTCTGAGTCTCGAACCGAAAGCTGCGAAGGTCGCTCAACGTGAGCTCCGCCGTCTTAAAGGCATGACTGCCATGCAGCCGGAGTACGGCATTCTGCACAACTACCTCGAGTTCTTCTCTGAGCTTCCATGGAACAATTCCACAGCCGATTCGCTGCTGGTGGAGCGGGTGCGCAAGCAGCTTGACGCAGACCACTACGGCCTTGACAAGGTCAAAAAGAGGATCGCCGAGTACATTGCTGTTCGCAGCCTCAAGCGCGACATGCGTGGCCCGATCCTGTGTCTCGTTGGCCCGCCTGGTGTTGGTAAGACGTCACTGGGCCGCTCCATTGCAACAGCTACGAACCGTAAGTTCGAGCGGGTTGCGCTTGGTGGAGTTCACGATGAGTCGGAAATTCGAGGCCACCGAAAGACCTACGTTGGCGCTATGCCGGGTTGCATCCTGAATGCCCTTCGTCATGCTGAGACTAACAACCCGGTGCTGTTACTGGATGAGGTGGACAAACTGGGCAAGGACTTCCGAGGTGACCCGGCTAGTGCGCTACTGGAGGTGTTGGACCCCCACCAGAACAACACCTTCACTGATCACTACCTGAACGTGCCTTTCGATTTGAGTCGCACGCTCTTCCTAGCTACAGCCAACAGCTTGGACACGATTCCGGGCCCTCTGCTTGACCGCATGGAGGTCATCGAACTCAGTGGATACAGTGTGGAGCAGAAAGTGGAGATTGCTCGGCGCTACCTTCTTCCTCAGCAAATTGAAGCCAACGGTCTGCGAAAAGATATGGTGCGCGTGTCAGACAAAGCCCTGCGCTACCTGATAATGCGATACACTCGTGAAGCTGGAGTGCGCGATTTGGAGCGGCAGGTCGGTGCACTGTGTCGCTATGTGGCGGTCGATTTCGTGCGCGAGCTTGATGAAACCGAGCAAAAGACAGAAAAAGATGGAGGCAGTGTTGATCGACTTGCGTCGTTCGACCCGATCTACATCGACAAGAAGATGATTCGTTCGATCCTTGGGCCCGAAATTGTATTCAACGAGGTTGCTCTGCGCTCTAGTGTACCAGGCGTGGCAACGGGCATGTCCTGGAGCACAGCTGGAGGCTCTATTCTCTTCGTTGAAGCATCGTGCACGCGGCGCACACCCTTGAGCAAGATCGCTACATCGAATGCCTTAGCAATGACGAACCCCGCGCCTACCCTGAAGCTTACTGGCAAGCTTGGCGACGTTATGAAGGAGTCAGCGCAGCTTGCGCTCTCGTGGTTGCTCGTGAATGCGCACCTCCTTGACCTGCCGCGACTGGAAGAAAACCTCGCGGATGCAGGGGGGATATCGGGACCGAATTCGCTGTCGTTAGATGACATTTCCGGCGTTCATATCCACTTCCCCGAGGGTGCTATCCCCAAGGACGGTCCATCTGCTGGCGGTGCCATCGTATGCGCATTGCTATCGGTGATTTCAGGTCTCCCTGTTCCTGTCGACATCGCCATGACAGGAGAAATCACTCTACGCGGCGTCATTCTGCCTGTTGGTGGCATTCGGGAGAAGGTGCTGGCTGCTATTCGCGCTGGCATCAAGCGAGTCATTTTGCCTCGTGGAAACAAGAACGAGGCGGAGGAGCTACGCAAGGAATTTGCTGGAGTGTCCACCGACAGCACACGCGAGCGTGTCAACGCCAAGGATCGGGTTCAGCTGCTGTTCGTGAGCGACCTGCGCGAGCTGATTCAACTCGTTTTCCACATGAAAGTGCGTGACGACCCAGGTGTGAGGCGGCTCAAAAGCTGTAGCTCGAGTGGAGGGGTCGACTACTCCGACCCTGTGCTGCTGAGCATGCTTTAATGTTGCGGTGGTGGCTTCGTTTTTTATTGTTTTCAAACACTTTCGCGTTCGCAATCTTGAACAACATCACGAGTTAGTTTTTGATCATCTCGTTAGCGTTCAGGATATCTTGGTACTAAAATCCATACGCAACTCAGCCTGCCTTGGCCTGACCAGCTCATTTGTCTCGGTGCACGCCGCACTGCATTTAAGTGGTGCTGAGTGGGTGGAAGGCGTTTGTGACGTACGGATAGTACTCGACCTGCGACGAGCCTGAAGAACCCTCTTCAAGGCCCGAAAACTGCGCCGGCTGCAGGTGAGCATACTTCTTTGACAGCACTGCACGCAATTTCTTGTCTTTGCCCGAGTGCGGCTAGTGCAGCAAAAGCAAATTAGGAACGTCGTTAAAAACACCAACACGTCTGCATCTACATGGAAATTACGTACTTTGTACATGGCAACGACAAAGTTCACGGGGAGACCGTAGCGAAGCACGGACTCCACAAAAACGCGAATCATCTGTACAAGAATCAGCAAAAAGGAACGGTTAATCTCGAGAATACTGTAGATCGATCTACTTGTGATCATGCACCGCACCTTGATATGCATCCAGGCAATAAACGTTTCTCCAAAGTGCGCCTTGCACCAGCGGATTAGAGCCGACCAAAGTCGATCGACCTCCACTTCCAGCTCGGCGATAGCTTCTTCGTTTGACGCGTGACTTGTGGGGTCGAAGTTGAACTCACGGACCACAAATCGCTTTTCCTTGGCGCGCGTCTTGAAGTCCTCGATGTAGTCCACCGTGGTGCCAGGCTCGAAGTTTCCTTCCTTGTCCACAAATCCCGGTTGGTACTGACCCTTAAGCAGCGTCACTGTGTATACAGCAGAGTCGCCCTCCTCCATCAATTTGCGCGATGACCCTGGAACAACAGGCGATCCGCGGACATTTCCACGAGAGCCCTTAGGACCATACTCCGCAATCTGGTCCCCAATCTGCGCGTATTCATTCAGCCACTGCTCCTCCAAGTTCTTGGGCACGATCACCACCATCGTTTGCAGGTACTCAGTGTTCACAAAGTCCGACGTAGACACGACGTCGGGCGTCAGGACGTCGTTCAGGTTCGCCACCATCAGGTTGCCACTAGGACATCACAAAACACAACGAATTAGTCAGCCCAACATCACCTTGAAGACGGAACTCAACGCGTACCCTTTCTTGCGCTGAAGACCAATAAACTGCTGCTTCTTCTCCGCGTAGCGCGTGCTCAGCTGCTTGAGTTCCTCTTCGATCTTGCCCACGGACTGCAATTGCAATCAATACACCATCAAGGCATCAGTCTACTTGATATGACCCCTATAGAAGCAGTACAGCTCTCCTACCGACTGGATAATGCTGACTATCTCGGGTAACGGTCGACGGTGCGGGTGCTTGGCCTCGTCCCACGAGAAGAAGCTCAAGTAGCGCTCCACCGGCACTGCAACAGACCCACACAAGCCACTTGGTTAGCACAGAACTCCACGCCCAGCAACAACTGCAGCGCCCGCACCTCCATCCACCGTAAGCGCCTGGTCGCCCTTGTTCAGGTCGTGGAACTGGCGCTCGATCTTGCGCACGACGCTCTCGATCACCAGGTCCACGCGGTTCAAGTCGTCGCTCAGCGCCTGCCCAGAGTTATCAGAATCAGAGCTCAGTCTCTCCAAAGCCAGCGCCAGCCAGCAGCAGCCTCCTCGGACGCACCATGAGCGAGTCCAGCGTCCCCACGAGCAGATCCGACGGCAGCTCCACGCGGATGCAGTCTGCAGCGGCACAGACAGGAGGCCACAGAGGTCAGTTACAGCGGCTGAAAACACGAGGAGCTACGGTAAGGTCTGTACCGGCGTAGTCGTGGCGACTGGAGGCGGTCTCCGCCTTGAGCGACAGGAACGTCGTCTCGGACGAGCTGTCGCCCTCGTTCGGGACGGACACCAGCCACACGCTCATGCTCTCGAAGGCTGACGACGACTCCTCTCTAGCTCGAGCTCAGCTTCAGCGGAATGTCTTTGATGAGATCCTTTGGCCGCTAATCGCACTTAGGGGGAATTTGATCGCACTTTATCGAAAACGGGGCTTGAAGTTGGCTTCAATCTGCTGGAAGCGCGTCCTCCTCCAGGTACACGTAGCGAAGACTACAGTACGCAGCGCAGAGTCGAGGTTCGATCCACTCAATATGCTGCTTTAAGTACTGTGCATCTCCACGCATATGGTAGGTTTATCGAGAGCGCGCATGTGTTGGCTTCCGGGACTGTCCGATTCGGACATACTGTACTGCATTTCATTCATTTATCCTGGGGCGAATGGTTCATGTGAGCCGAACGCCTGCAACAGCAGAGGTGCTGGTGGAGAGATCCAGCCGTCGGTCAATCGCCATGCTATCGATCTATGTGGTGTAAGCAAATAATGGATTGGTGATACTGTAGCGAGTACTATAAACAATATGAAAAATATGAACAGGAGTGTCTGGTACTGTGGATGCCTAGATACCGAAGCGAAGCGCGTTCAAGCGGAACAGGGATAACCCGATTATGTTGGAGAACGGCAATACGTACATCACTACCCAAACGCCCAATAAGCTAGCAGTTGAGAGCTCCCTTGTCCAGCACAACAATCGCATTGCTTTTATGCATTTTCTCTATATTTAGAGAAAACGCAAATTTTATCTTTCAAAGATTCAAAGCCGAAATGGCTCGTGAGCGCCGGAGTGGTAAGTTCATGGCGCCGCTACGCATACGTTCCCAGCCAAGAAGGAAGCTTGCTAACGACGCTTAGGACATGGAAAACGACGTAACGGCTGAGTAGGCAGCAAGTCGCCGGGGCGCCCCCGCGCTCGGTCGCGCTCCAGGTCGCGCTCAAAGGACCGCTCGTCCAGGTCCGTCCACCCACTACGTGTCAGTCTGGAGCGCTCGTCACCTTGAATCTAATCATGTGATAATCCAGGGAGCGAGGGCGCCATCGCTCGCGCTCGCCTCGGGACTGCAGCCACCGACGAAAGCACGAGCGTCGTGTGTCGTCGTCGTCGTCGGACTCATCGTCGTCCCGGAGCAGAAGCAGGAGCAGATCCTCCTCTTCGGACTCGAGCGTCAGCGGCAGGAAGGAGCGGAAAAGATCGCACCACTCGAAGAAGAAGAGGAAGCACCGCAGCGCTGACGATAAGAAACGCAAGCACAAGTCGTCCGAGTCCAAGAAGAAGAAAAAGAAGAAGGACCACAAGAAGCGGCACAAGAAGAGCCGCAGTAGGCGCGACCACGACGACGACTCGTCTTCATCTTCGTCGTCATCTGACTCGGACACCGTCCGCAGCGCTATCTCAGGCAAGAAGATCAAACGGAAGTTGGACCGTTCGGCTGCAGACTTGCAGAGCCAGAAGAGTCGCCAACAACTGCTGCAGTTCTACAATGGCATGTTCGACTGAGCTGCCTGGATGGATGTCGGTCGCAGCGATTCAATTGAACGAGGAACCTAAGCATCACACACAGATTCATTTTTGCTTCACTGAGGAGCTATTCACTGAAGCAAACTAGTTTTTGTCGTCGTTGTAGGCACTGAGCCCGTAGGTGAGCACCTTATCTTTGATGTCTTGGCGATCGATTGGGCAAGTCGTCACTCGCAGCGCACACGATGCGCAGAGTACCTGATGACGACATGGAAGTAGAACCACCGAGACCGGCTTAGCGAAGCACACGACGCACTGCTCCTTTTCGCGCTGCTTGTCCATTGCGGCTCGGTACTTCGCTCGGAGCGCAGCACGGACACGGTCCATTCCGCGCGCCAGTTCGGCTTCCAGCTCTTCAAGGTCATCCAAGCTGCGCAAGGCCAGAGCTTCATCCTTACCTCGAAGAGCAGATTGCCTAGCCTCCAGCTGGGCATTCTTGTGGCGTAGGTCGTCAGCGATCGCCTTCAGGCTATCGTGGTACTCGGCTGTGAGTTTCGCTTGCTGTTTGGTGAGTGCCATACTGCGCTCGTTCAGCTTGAGCTTCATCGCACTTCGTTGTGCTTGTTGCTCGGTCTGACTAGCCACACTCTCCAACTCCGCAATTCGAAACGAAAGCCGCTCCTTGTCTTGAGACTTGCTGCGAAGTTGGTTTGCCATCATCATGGACCGGTCAAGGGCGGATCGAAGTAGGGCTTCTCGAGGTTCGCCGCGCGATTCCGGAGCGGTGGCGTCCAGGTTGACTTGCGTGGACTGATCTTGCTTGAACGCTGTCACTTCAGTGTATGTTGGTGGCTGCACATCTTCTGGTAGCGGGCGCATGGCAGCGGTGAGAGCTCGAAGGCGGTCGGGGAAGGACCTGGGCTGGACTGCAGAGCCGCAAAACGCGACCTTGGTGCTCTTCGTTCGCGACTTGTTCGCCGATGGTGTCGGAGAGTACCGAGGTGGTGCGCCAACGAGCCACTCTTGGTGAGCGGAGGAAAGCAGCGTGACGCGGATCTCTCGAGAGTAACCCGCGGTTGAACGCTTGGTGTCAGCGAGAAGAGATAGCACGTCTTCAGTTTCGTCGACGCTGCTTGATGCTTTGGCTGTCTCTGCTCTAGTGACCGGGGCTTCCTGCTTTGGTCCCGCCACCTCAGCTTCAATCTCCTCGAAGGCTTCAGGTTCGGGATCCACTTCATCATAGCTCGATTCCGACAAGACCTCGTCATCGCTCACCAAACTCCACTCGTCTTCGCTGCGGTTTGACATCTTGAGTACGTCCAGGGGTTGTATGCTGCTGTAGACTTGGGCTTTTGCGTGTAGATCGCAGAATGAGCCTTCACAAGGCTGCCGCCGATCGAGGGCGTCTGATGTATGGAACGCGCATATCCAGGATGGCCCACCTCAATTCACCGCTCTCCCGTCCAGCTGACGGGCGTAATGCGACCCGCATCTTTGTCGAACATGGCAATAAAGGTGTCTGCAAGCAAGTCAAATGACAGCAACCACATGATTAACATATCTGCCACACTCGTTTAGGTATTATTAGTGCGGGCCTCTCTCCATACCAATCTATTTGCCACTTGCCCGAGTCAGTTAAATGAAGCTGCCGCATGCTCTTGGTCACGCACGGCCTGGATCAGCATTTGGTTAAAATCGCCCGGGTTGTCCATGAACACCTGGTGGCCCGAGATCGGTACGAGGCGGAAAACGGCGTACTGGGTCTTCTCCAGACGGCGAACAACAGCTTCACCGTATTCCGAGTTCATCCAATCCATGCCACCACCGTACATTATGGTAAGAGGAACCCGCAGCTTTTCCGGCGTAAGGATTCCGTCCAGCGCCCGACGTCTCGCACTTGCACCGGGGTGCAAATGTGTGTAGAACGCAATGTCGCCAGACGCCTGAAGGCCCCAGTTGTGGTAGCAGTAGTCGGTGATGAGACCAAAGTCCACTTCTCCAGATCGAACGATGTTCGTAGCCGGCGTCCATTTGATGCGCTGCCGCCAAGACCATCGTACGAGGCCCGGTCCTAGAGGACCAGCGAACCGGATAGCACTCTACATGTAGAATCGCACGAACAACAAAACTAGTCATCCATCGGTACCAAAGGAGTCACACAACATCGAGGGTGCTGCGTACCATCGGTGTGATGTAAAACAGCGACGTGAATTTCAAAAATGACGGTAGATCTTCCTTCCTCAGGCCGCTGCTGTTGACCCCAGCCGGGGATATCAGAATAAGGTGTTCAATGCGCTGCGGGTACTTCTCCGCAAAGTAGGTACTGTACATGGCCTGGCAAAGAAAACATTGTCGTCGCAGAACAACAGCATCAGCGACAATTGCAATAGAAGTCCGACCAGTTTTGCCTAGTTGACGTACCCCCATCGAGTGGCCACAGAGAATGAAGCGGTCGAGATTAACCTCCCGTCTCCAATCTTCAAGCGACTCAACGAAAAAGTCGTCCATCTCCTCGTCCGTCTTCGGATGCCACTTCGGGCGGTCCGAGCGCCCGATGCCTTTCCACTCAACTGCGTACTGCAAGACATTGTCCGATCGTTAGTTCGTTAGCGTCAGAATTCCATTACAATGAAACCCATCGAAAACTTACCACGTTGAAGGATTTCGCCAGAGTTTGCAGATTCTGTTCACATGTCATAGAAACAGCAACAAGCACCATTAGTACGCATCACACCCGACGCTAAGACAACAGCAACAAAAACATCACTTGCCGCAGCCCAGAAGGCATTTCCAGCCATGTATCCGTGCACCAGCACCAGGTTACGCGGCGGTAGCTGCTTGCCGTCGCCACAATACGGCACAAGAATGGTACCGAGCCCCGCGACCTTCGTCTGCTTGAACTCCGTCACCAGGTACTGCTCGTAGATCTTGCGTTCCACCTTCTCCAGCACGCTCAGGTCCGACGGCAGCCACAGGTGCAGGTTGCAAACCGACAGCCACACGGGGAACAGGCAGCAGAGCACGGCCAGAGCGTCCACGATGGACTTCTCGGTGCTGCCGCTCTCCAGACTCGTAAGACTCACGCGCACGATGGCGTAGACCACGAGCGCCGCTGTCACCGCCGCGTGGACGACGTGGCTATCGTGGCGCGGCAGCTGCGAGAGCACGGCGAGTCCCAACGTGATGACCAGCGGCCAGTCCAGCAGATGCACGGGGATGTGCGGGATGCACAGGTACAGGACCCACATGACGACCAGCGCGGCGACGGCTGCCACCTTGGTCGGCAGTGTGAGGACGCGCCCCACGAAGCCCCAGAGCGTCAGGAGCAGCGCCAAGAGCGGCGTGAGCACCAGCAGCGCCACGCGCATCCCCGGCGAGCGGAGCAAGGCGGGCGGGCCTGGGCGCGGAGACGGCGGCTCCTCTGAGGTGCTGGACGGCATGACAACGTCCGAGTGCGCTGTGCTGCTGAAATTCGTTACTGACTGCGATGGAAGTGCGCGATGTGAAGTTGGAAGTAACCAACATTCCTGCGCAAAACCTGTTTATAACGATGAAGTAAGCAAGGCGGAATTACAGTGAGACAAGTGGAGGCATACAAAAATGTCCTTCAGAAGTGATAAATTTGGCCCGTAATCAGAGTGACCAAGTAATCTGCGGGTGCAAGGTAATATTGGCGACGATGTCGATCTCATCGATCGGCACGCTCTTCAGCTCGCCGTGCTCACCTCCTGGTTGTCGCGGGGCTTCCTGGCGCTGGAAACCTCCCAGTCGCGCACCGACGCGATGAGCACGCGGTTGAACGCGCTCGGGTTGTCCAGGAACACCTGGTGCCCCGACAACGGAACGACGCGGAAGCTCGAGTAGCACTCGGAGTTCTGCAGGCGCTCCACCACGGCCTCGCCGTGCTCCTTGGGCATCCAGTCCGGCCCACCGCCGTAGATGAACGTCACGGGCAACGACCACTTCTCGGGCACGATGATCTCGGAGAGTGGTGTCCCCCGCGCGGCCGCACCCTGGCAACAGAAAGGTAATGCCAAGTCAGGAGGAATACCTACACAACCATTCTAGCAGCAAATACTTACAGGGTGCAAGTGTGTGTGAACTGCGATGTCACCTGAAGCCTTTAGCGCCCAGTTGTGGTAGCAGTACTTCGCAAAGAGCTCGAAATCCAGCTCGCCCGTGCGGATCGCGTTGCTGGGCGGAGTCCATGAGAGGCGCTTCTTCACCATCCAGTGGACCAGACGCGGGCCTAGAGGGCCCATTCCCCTGGCTGCCGACTGCACAGCAATAACCGTCAGCACAACTTACCACCAAACAGTCACGCTCACTCCGTACCATTGGGGTGAGATGCAACGCAAATGCAATTCGGCGGACAAGTGGGAGCTCAGAATGGGCCAACGACGAAGCGTGGACACCAGCGGGCGAAACCAAGATCACGTGTTGCAGTGAGGTGGGATACTTAGACGCGTAGTATGTTCCGTAGAGAGCTCCCATTGAATGTCCGACAAGAACAAACTTGTCGAGCTGATACCACAACCAACAGCAAACTGCATGCTAAGAAGTGAAATAATCATCACACCGCACCGAGAACCAGAACCCCTTACCACCAGCTCTTTCCTCCACTCCTCGAGTGACTCGACGAAAAATGCGTCGGCTTCAGCAGTGTTTCTTGGCTTGAACTTTGGACGCAGCGATCGCCCAATACCCTTCCACTCTACGACGTACTATACAAGACAATCATCACATTTATAAAGACATCCACCAAAGCTTTCGACCCCCCAACGTACCACATTAAAGGCCTTCGCGAGGTCTTTCAAATTCTAAACACCGTCGACGCCAACCCGTTAGTACTATCGTCACCAACCAGCCAACAAGGAACTAGTAATCTCGTCTCACCGCCGCCCAGAACGCATTTCCTGCTCCATATCCATGAACGAGAACAACAGTCCGAGGGCGCTCTTGCCTGTCTCCCTCACCTCCTGCGTACGGCACATGCACAGTCCCCAATCCAGCCACAGTGCTCAGCGTGAATCCCGACCCCAGGAAGCTTTCGTAGATCTTGTGCTCGACTGTGTGGAGAATTGTCTCGTCAGCTGGGAGCCACAGCCTCAGGCGACTCGTGGAGCTCCACGCGGACACGAAGCAAGCGAGACCCGCGAACCAAAGCGCCGCGTGCGAGTCCACCGGCGTGTTGGAAGCGACGTACTGAACCAGAATCACCCACGCCGATAGGTGCAGCAACGGGTTCTTGGGGATCACGAGACTCAGAGCCAGGGACGCAGTGGCAGCGCTCGGCACTTGGATGGGCAGCGCTTGCGACCCACAGAGATCGAAGCTCCAGGGCGCCCACAGCAGCAGCAGAGCGAGGGCAGCTACGCGGGTAACTGGCATCGTCAGCAGAAGCCCCAGCACGCCCCATATCAGCGCGAGACTGAGCCACAATGGCGACAGCAGCACTGCCAGCAGCAGCAGCTTCGTGCGTGGCATCGCCGGTGTAGTGTAACCCCCTGTTATCAGGGGTTACGCCGGCATAATTGTCCCAGCCGAGTGTAACCCCTGGTTACGCTCTGATTGATCATGGGCACCAAGCTACTGCAGTGGGGTGGTGCGCTGTTCCTGCTGCGTCTCGAGCTTGGGCAGCTGCAGATCCAGCGTGTAGACGTCGACGCCGAGGAGAAGAAGGTCTCGCTGATTCGCTGCACTGTTCAGAGCGACTCGGATGCCGCTGCGCTGCTCGTGGACGCGCGTCTTGTGGCCGCCAAAGAGGTGGAAGACACGACGTCAGTCATGTAGGTTTAACTTGCTCATGCTGCATATTTGACGTCTGACTAATCGGCCTTGTTATCACTTACTGGTGTTGTCTATTGCCACGGTGCAGACGCTACCCGGTACTTGTCTTCCGGCTTCTTCATGGGGATAAGGAGGTGTCGGCGCCTTCGAGTTCGCCAGTGCCTCGTAAGCGTCGAAGATCTGCGAAAGACAACGAAACCAGTGATGCGGATGGCGAAACTGTGCCTTCTCAGTCGAGAGCTGGAACTCGGTTGCTCTTTTGTTTGCTGCACGAGACGGAGACTGCCAGCGAGATGGGATTGCGTGTCTTGAACGAGTTGGAATTCCCGACGTTGACTGGAAAAAGTGGCGGTGAACTCGCAACTGTCGACTGTGGTGCATTACTGCAAGTTTTCTTGGCGGATGGACCTTACCTTTTGCTTTTTGAACGTGGATCGCGAATGGCGACGGTGTTGAAGCTGAGAAGAGCGACATCGGGAGGTGGGGACGTTGGGTTTTGCATCTGGCGAGAACAAGTTGACGTGATGAATGGCATCGGGGGCGATGCGTTGGCACCAAGTGAAGTTGTGTCATGCGCGTACATCAGTGAGGCGTATTGCACCAGGCCCCATTTGCTGATTCATGTCCAGCGATTGCAACCATCCCCTTCCACCGATAGGTACGTTGAAGTTGATCTTCATCCTCCAGTTGTGATTCTCTGTGTATCTGATGTCTGTGTATGTATTCTGTGATACAACAAGCAGTGAGAACCATACTTGGTTTGTCCTTGATGTTGAGGATGAACAAGAGCATTGTGGCGATGGGAGGTCAACGGAATGTCGATATTTGCCGGTACCCGGGTGTAGTGGAGTTTTGTGGAAGCCGGAGCAAGTGACCTGTTGTTGCTTTATTTCGGAGTTGAACCAGTGGGACTTCACAGCTTCATCTTCTACAATGGCGTCTTCATTCATGTATTGGGATAAAGGTACAGTGTCTCGGGCTGCAATCACGGATACGAGTGTATCGACGCTGGTAGTCACTGGGGCTTCCAGCAATACGATCTATGTGCACACAAATGGCATTCTGCTGGCCTCCTATGTGCTGTCTGCACAACCGGCCGAAATGTACGTTGTATTCATCATTGACAATCCTAAAGCTTTGTGCTCGTAGCTTTTAACGCCGGTATTACGTGTATCCTCGATGTCAGGTGGTGCATGTGTGAAGAAAGCTCGGACAAACGGTATGTCCTCGGCATTCGCTGTAATGACGTGAACAGATCATTCTTTATGTTGGAATTTTCAAGCAGCCTGGATAACGCTACGTTTGAACTCCTCTTGTGTACGTCGTTTGCACATACTTTTCTATTTGTACGCGCTGACCGAAAACTAACACTGAATTCGGATGGTTTGGCAGCATTTAATCACGTGGGTCACGCATATGTTGGAGATTTTATCCGTGTGCACGCTTCGACTAACTCGCAGGATCAAGTACTCCTCCTGAACGAAGTATCTGGCATTTCTGGGTCAAATAGTGGCGATATTGCGAGCGATGGAGGGCTCGATATGGGCACCGAAGATGAACAACTTGTGAAGCGCAGTGTCCTTATCACGCAAAAAGTTGCAACACCGGAAGTGAAGCTTGCTTGTCATCGACTGCGGCTGCGAGAAGGAAAGAAATCCAAGCACGAATCACGCTCCAAAAAGCGTCCCCGCAACAATAAGAAAGAGAGTTATAAGGGGGGCCATGCAGGTTCGAAGCCACAACCATTCCTCTACATTGAGCGAACCCAAAAGGCCTCATCTCGCGACAGGGGCGCTATTCGCGCCGAAGACAGAACTGATGGCGTTGAAGGTGCCCCCACTGCTTCGCATGCACAGCTTGGCAAGCTGACCGATTCTCTCACAACACGTCTGGACAATGGAATGCAAGAGTTAGAGCGTTTACAGATGATCGTGAACGATAAGCGCTGCCTTGCCCGCCAGCTTAATCAGCTGATGGTCCGAGAATGGCGACAGCAGCAGCAAACGGCATATTCCAGCAAGGAGAATTCGCTGCTGGCGACTCTCCTTACAACCCGTGAAATGGAGAACTGCATCGTGGAGCAGCAAAAGGTTGTAGACATGGAAACGATCGTCGCCGCCTCTACACAGAGGTCTGTTATCACGAAATCTGCAAATGGTGGCTCAACCTCATTGGGTAACCTCACGTTGGAGCACCAAGTGTCACTGGAATATTTTCGAGTGCTTCAGTACGTGCCATCGTCTTCGCTTGTACGTGCGGAAGTCGTCTTAAACAATCTATCTGACACCGCGGTGGCAGATAGTTTTGTCATGCTGACAGCGCCGCAGGGGGGACATACGTCGTCTACTCAAGGGTGGGTGTGCTCGTGCGCGGTGGTTCCAGAATTTCCTTCTGCTGCGGCTGCCGAGCCAGGGAAAGCTCGGTTTCAGTTGGAATTTCAGTTTAGTCCAAATTTTGCGTTTCTTCGGACGCGATCGCCATTGGCGGCAACACTTTGGTTGCATTGGGGCGCATCTCACAATGCCCCTCGTTGCGTCACAACCAGCAGCAAAGAGCAACAAAGTTTGTTCTGTATCGCCGTTGCATCAGTCAAGGTATCTCGAGAGGAATTGCTACGCGTGACGTCAACGACAAAACCTACGAGCTCGAATCTATGGCCGCAACATGGTACGCGCGTTTGCAATGGTAACCAACGTAGCAGTCTATCTAACCGATTGTGCTTGATGTTGCTGCGTGTTCTAGAGTACGAGCAATTGCTGTTCATCTCAGCGGGGTCAAGTATCACGTCGTGGCTTGAAAATCAAAGTCGCGGAGTAACCGCAGTCGTCACGCGTCCGAAGTTTGCGTTGGTGAACCTTAACGTGACCGACCACGAACTGATGCTGTATGAAATGAGTCAAATGGTCGCGAATCTTCCGTCGGATGTGTACGCCATGCGCAATCCATTCCAGCGTCAGCATCTCAGCGCTCTGCAGCGTATATTGCATGGCATTCGCCAGGACATTGTTACTGATGAGTCCATTGGAGAGAAACAGAAGAAAGTTGGTGAGAACGGAGCTCGGATCAAGACATTGAAAGGTGACGGTCGTGGCCGAGCATCAATTCGCCGCGCGAGGCAGCAATATACCGATTTGCAGGTGAACCAGTTGCTGCTTGTGCTCCAAAAACGCATGAACTTCCACACGATGTGGTTCGACTCGGAAGCCAAAGACTCGTTAGAAAACTAGGTAGATAGTAGAACTTTGATGTACTCGACAAAATGGCGTCATGGTCTTGGAATATTAAAATAGTGTTGTAAGGAAATTAAAGCGAAAGCTATGCAGTCACCGGACAGGCTCCTGCCTGCAGCGCAACGACTTGTTGCTGGAGCTGGTTGATAAGCTGAGTATTCATCAGCAGATTCCGCTCAATACTCGAGAGCGTCGTTTGCAGCCGCAAGATGACAAGGAGCAGCAGCAGGACCAGGACCCATGGGAACACCTTCACAGGAGCTGTACGCACACACCCAGATGGAGTCGTCATGGCGGTCGAGATTCGGTGTCGGTGGCTTGGCTTGCTGCGGGTTCGACGAGTCGTTGATCCAGGAACTTTTTTGCTCTCGTCGTATACTTCCGCTTTCTCGGATGAAGTAGATGATGCAGGAGGGCTTTCAGGTGCAGAGTGTGCTGCATCATTGAGATCCCTCGTACGTAAGAAGTCCTTCGCCATGCCGACCCACTTCTCCCACTTTGCCCGGTTGTCACTGATAGCACGCGCTTCAATCGTGTTTTTCCAAAACGTCGATTTTCCAAAGACCACCTAGAGGAGAAAAAGACAGCACTCGCTTGAGTTTTGGGTATCAATGATAATATCAGTGGGAAACGCACCTTCAACTCAATAAATAATTTGCAGGCGTTGGGGTTGGATGAACGGGGTACGATGGTCCACCGATCTTCCACGCTGAAATAGTCACCGTAGGGGATATCCACCAATCGGGTAGAGCTCTCTACGACACGCACTCCCTGTTCGTTCTCTTTCAGGCATTGGAGCTGCAGTTACAGAGCTACGTCAGCGCGTTGTTTAGAAGCAGAGGACAAGCAAATACACCAACGTACCACATCAACTTGAGACGACTTCGGGCCGATCGGGGCATCGATTGGAACCCGAAATTGTAGAGACCGCGTCTTGCCTGTCATGTTGTACACTGTCTGTCAGTCCAAGTTCACCAATAGAAAAAAATAAACGCGCGTACCAAATGAATTTTCGTCCTCCAGGGGAGTCATCCATGGGTTTACAGTCATTTCTGTTGAGCCCGTTTGTTCACCGAATTTGTCCAGCCCGAACGGTGCATTGTCCAGGAAGAATGTCTGCATGAACGAGTCCACCGACAGAAGGAACTCCTCCTCGAGGATCTGCGTCATGGAAATGTCTTTGGGTGCGATCGAATCCACGTCCGAGACGACACTGCGCCGACGCGGAAGAGCAGGCGCGGTCTGGTCATCGTCGTCTAGCTCCGTAACGGTTTCGGTAGCTGCATTGCCAGCGGCTGGGGCAACAAGCTCATCGTGATCGGACTCCGCAGTCTCTTCTTCCTCTTCTCGTTCCTCCTCGTTCTCGTCATCATCTTGATCAATTGCAGGGCTGCGATACGATGCCTGAGGTGACGCTTCTCCAGATATCGGAGACGTTGCCAGTACTGGGTAGCGCGTTTCCGAGGAGTTCACAGCAGTGGGTCGCAGCTCACGCAGCACGCGGTCGCGTGTCTTCAGGATGAGATCGTAGCAGCTATCCCGGTTGTTGCCCCAGAAGCCGGTGAACGTGTACTCGTCCTTGTCGAACGTCGCGAGGCGGATCGCGTGTTGAAACATCATGGTCGTCGTCTTTTCAATTTCGCGAATGGACTCGTATGGGATCAGGATCTACAAGCAGCAAGTCAAACGACATGAGGTCAGTCTGGGGATACATGTCGTTTGCGACACCACGTCGGGAGCCGGAAAAGCTAGCTGCGAGCATTGCACATGGGGCAAAGCCGAGCTGCAACGCCGACAAGTGCCAAGAGAGCACCCCGAGTGTATCCTTGAAGGTCCACCTTCTCCGACTTGCTGACCTTTCTCTCGCGGCCAAACACGTTGGAGTAGAAGCACACGTGCGAGCTCGTCGGATACATGCGTCCGTGCATAGCCAGCGTGGACGCGATGGCACACGAAAAGTCTGCAAAGGGGGAATCCGTCAGCAGTCTGTCCACTGTCTTCCGCCGGGCTGTCCTACAGCAACAGCAGCGGCAGCCACCGCTTGGCAGCCTTCACTTTCCGTCGCCAAACACTGTACTGTACCTTCGTAGAACTGCGTGGACTCGGGCAGATCGAAGATCATGCAGATGACTTGGTCCCGCACCTGCTCCTGCTTCTGCTCGGCCTCGTCCTGCGTGGGGCTGTCCAGCGGCAGGAACTCCTTGTCCAGCGGCATGTTGAGCCGCGGAGTGCGGTCGTCGCACGTGCTCGCGAGCGACAGTTCGTCGCTGTTCCTGCTGCCGCGCGAGGAGCTCATGCTCCTGTCCGTGAGGCTCGAGCTCGTGTGGTGACGCTCTCGATGGCGGTGGTGATGGTGGCTCTGCTGCTGCTGCTGCTCGAAGCTGCGCTGTCTATTTTTGCGCTGGCGGTGATACACGTCGTCGTCGCGTTCGTCGGTTGGTCGCTGCTGGCGGCGGTGTTCGTGGCGGCGGCGGCGGCTCTCGCGGCTACTGCCGCTGCTGGTGCTGCTGGCGGCCGAGGACACGGACGAGCTGGGCGAGAAGGCCGACGCGAGGCTCCGCAGCGCCGACAGCTCCATCGCCTGCGCAGCGTTGACACTTTTCGACACTGCGACTGGATGGATGTTTTCGAGATGGCGGCAGTTGTTGCAATATCAGGTTTTCTCATTTATTTATCAGTATACAGAGGTATTTATCGCTATATAGACGTCACTTTGTATGAAGTAGCTTATCCCGTCAAACATAAATTGAATAAACGTTACCAATATACAGAGTATCCACAACGGCAGGTTCAACGCCAATATATTTTAGTGATCCACTCGCGATTGTGGCGCCGCGCGTATCGCATCGAGGATCCGGCTTCGGCCTGCGCGCTCTTGGATCCCCCAGTGAGCGGTGCTGGAGCGCTCGTGCTGGTGGCAAGTCTTCCAAATGAGCGTGCGATGGATACAGGTGCAACTCGGCCTTATTTGACGCGCATCGTACTGTGACGGTTGCCAGCCTGGACGGCATTCAGCACTATCGTCGAATGAATATACATCGACGTCGCTGCGTTTGCGCCAGCGGTGGTGGTGCTTTCGAGCAATTTAAGGCCAACTTCAACATCTGCGGTATCCAATTTGCTGCAAAACACTTCCAACTTTCCTATCAAGCTGCCCTCCCGCCGGCCACCACCTCCTCAGCGCTTGAAGCGCGGGTCCTCGTCCACCTTGTTGAGGATCTGCTCGAGCCGACGGGCCTCGTCGACGTTTCCTGACTTGTAGTGCAGTTGCATCTGCGCGCGGAGACGCTCCTGCTCGCGCATGGCCTCGATCTTGTCCTTGTCCATGAGCTGCAGCACGAGACGGAACTCTTCCTGCTCCTTCTTCTCGCGCGCTGCTTGGCGCTCGCGACGCACACGCTCTTCGTCCGCCAGCGCGCCCAGAGCCTTGTCCGACGCGCCCTTCTGCTTCGCATAGGCCTTGCGCTGCTGCTTCTGGTAGCGCTTCATCTCGTACTTCTCAATGTCGTAGTACTTCTCATGGGGCAGTGTGCACGTATTGTAGTCCTCCATGTACTCCTTGAACAGCTCCATGGCCTCCCACTTCGGTCCATTGAACTCGCCCATCTTCTTCACGTCACGCAGCCACGCCTGGAACGAAACGCTCTTGGAGTGGAAGTCCGACTCGCGCAGAATGCCATACTTGCCGTACTCGTCCTGGTTCACAGCGCGTTTACCGCTCTTGCCGTCCTTCTTGCTCTTCTTACCCTTCTTCTTTTTGTCCTTCTTGTGCCGCTTCTTGTCCTTCCGCGAGCTGCTGCGCTTGTGCTTCCGCTTCCGACGCGACCGCTCGTCGTCCGAGCTGTCCGAACTCTCAGACCCCGAGTCGGAGCTCGACTCGAAAGAGGACGAGGATGACGAGGAGCGCGATCGGCGCTTCGAGTGGCGGCGGCGATGTCTGTGGCTGCCGCTTTCGTGCGTTCTGTCGCGGCTCTTCCTGTCCTCAGCCTTGGAGCTGCTGGCACCATCGTCGTCTTCGTCAGAGTCCACCACCGTCCACATACGCGACCTGTGCTCAACCTCCTCGCGGTTCTCCAGCTTCTGTTTCTCCGCGCCTTCCGCTCCCTCGTGTGCGTCATGGCGTCGGTGCTTCTCGTCTCTGTGGTGGTGGTGGTGTCGATGGTGGTGGTGGCTGCTGCTGTGCCTTGACGATGCCGAGCGACTAGCGCTTCTGCTTCTGCTGCGGCTCCGACTGCGACTGCGACTACTGCGTCTTCTGCGCGGGCTGCGGCTCGGTGAGCGGCGGCGACTGCGGCTGTGGCGCCTCTCGCTGCTGCGGCTGCGGCGCTCGGTCATCACGGCACAGGCTCCGATCACACAATTGGCCGAAGCTCGAACCTCGAATCTAGATTCTAGGTTCTATCTACACTTGGGCAGCAATTACAACGAATCAAAATAGCGCAAGCAATAATGGCCGAGCACAACGCCGACGACGCCTCTGGACGTGATGTGCTGGCGCTGGGCGTGCGCGGATACAGCTGCCAGGTATTTGACGACCCGGAGACAGCGTGGAAGCTGCACAAGGAGTCGCACCTCATTGCGTGGCGAGGAGAGAGCGACGGCGACCTGCGCGTGGATCGCTTCGACGCTCGGAATCTGCTGGAGGACCGGAGTCTGTTCCGCCAACTGAAGAAGAGGAAGCGACGGGTGTCGGAGGACCCGGATTCGGAGGCAAAGGGAACAACCTCAGTCGAAGGACAAGAATCAGCGGAAACGGAGCAGCAGAAGCTGCATCGCCTGCGCTTTGGGGACTACAGCGTCGAGTTCCCGCCATCGGAAGAGGCAATTGCGGCGGAGAACAAATTTCCGTACCAATACACAGAAGATGGTAGTGACCAGGAAAGCGATGGCGACGCATTTGAACCAGAGTGTACTGTGCCAGAAGAAATCGCATTGGTAAGTTGTCGTGAACTGGAATGCACGTTGAAGACTTCAACGTGAGTTCCAGTGAAGTGCTTGCTATCATTTCGCTGACCTTTTGGGTTTCACTTTATCAGCCCAAGACCAAGAAGAGGCATGCCATCATTGAAGCTACTGCCAACAAGGTTCGGGGCAATCCTCAGCTGGAAGTGATGCTGAAGGTACGTGCCTGTCAGTTGCTCTGTGTGTCGTGGAAGCTATCGACTACGGGATGACAACCCGAATGGGGAAATGGAAACTTCAGTCTGATGTTGCGTGTACGCGCGACTGAGGCGTAATGTAGTTATGCATGCAGCTCGGTGGCACAGTCTCTAACATGTAGAATGCGTTCGTGAACGTGCAGGTGAAGCTCAGCGCAAACGTTAAATTTCGCTTCCTGGATCCCTCGCACGCGCTCCACACCTATTATTGCTTCTTGCGGGACAAGAACTCTCAGCCTGCGGCGAAGAAAGCTGTCGGGGTATCTCTGTTAGGAGAGGAATATGACCAAGACGTAAGTGAATATGATGCGCAGGGTTGTGTTGGAAACGTAACGCGACTGCGTATTTGCTTGACAACAGAGTGACGAAGAGGAAGAAGACTAGAGCCACGAGAGTACCACCATGAGGCATCAGCGAAAGATCGCTCGGCATTACCGTTGAGCTTGTACGGTAATCCTGGAAGCTAGGTCTTAGTGGTTCATATCAACTTGTCTTGGTTCTTGCATATTGCTTATTCAATGAAAACCTTCCGACAAAATTGAGCTATGGTGCGCGCGAGTACGAGTGCATACCTGCGAACAAGAGGACGCATCGATTCGTCCGCGAAATCTACATGCATAGCGAACACACGCAGGTGGTGTTCGCTTACGGGAACAACCGCTTGGGGTCACGCGGGAACATAGACGCCTTACGGATGTTGCCAAGGCCCAGGTAAAGCATGACAACACGCTCCAGACCGATACCGCCGCCGCCGTGGGGCAGAGCACCAAGGCGGAAGGAGTCGATGTAGTTGCGCATGGACTCCTGCGGCACACCCAGCTCCTTCATGCGTTCGATGAGGAGGTTGGGGTCGTGCACACGCTGCGCACCGGAGACGATCTCCTCGCCACGGATCATCATGTCGTACGAGTTGCTCCAACGCTTGTCCTTCGGGTCGGGCATCGTGTAGAACGGACGCACGGCCAGCGGGAACTTGTCCAGAATGTAGAAGTCCGTGTCGTACTTCCCCTTGACGAGGCGGCCGAGCAGCTTCTCGTTCTCGGTGTTCAAGTCGTCCTCGAGCTCCTGCGAGGCACCAGCCGCCTGCAGCATCTTCACACCTTCCTCGAAGCTGATGATGAGCGAGGGCTTGTTGTACTTGAGGGGCTCGAACGGGTACTGCTCGTTGATGATGGCCAGCTCCTTGGCGTAACGCTCCTTCAGGCCGTCGAAGATGTAGATGAACAGGTCCGAGAACACCTCCAGCACCTCGTGGTAGTGCTCCTTGATGGTCATCTCCAGGTCAAGACCGACGAACTCGCACATGTGACGATGCGTGTTCGAGTTCTCGGCACGGAAGACGGGGCCAATCTCGAACACGCGCTCGAGGCCGGCAACGGCGCAGGCCATCTGCTTGTAGGTCTGAGGGCTCTGAGCCAGGGCGGCGTCCTGGTCGAAGTACTTGAGCGTGAAGCAGTTGGCACCGCTCTCCGAGGCGCCACCCACAAGCTTGGGCGTGTGGATCTCAACGAAGTCGCGCTTGATGAGAAACTCGCGGAAGAGCTGGCCGACAGCAGCCTGGATGCGCATGATGCACTGGTTGGCGGGCGTACGCAGGTCAAGCGGGCGCGTGTTGAGACGGGTCTCGAGGCCCACGTTCACGTAGGTCGAGCCCTCGGCCTTGACGACGGCGTCGGGGCGAGCGGCGTCCTCCACCTGGAAGGGCAGCTCAGGCAGCGCCTTGCTGACCACGAAGAACTTCTCCACGTTGAGCTCCACGTCCTTCTGCGTGGTGCTGAGCACGGGGCTGTCGGGCACACTGAGCGTGACGAACACGTCCACGACGGACTCCTTGGACACGCCGGCGGCGAACTTGATCATGGGGCGCGAGACCTTGTCGCTCTCGTGCAGGATGGCCTGGATCGTGGCCGTCTGCTCACGCAGCGTGATGAAGGCGATCTTGGACTTGGCGCGCACGGCTTGCAGGTGGCCTCGCACCCAAAAGCTCTCGCCCTGCAGCTCCGGGTTCAGGTCCTTCACGCTGTAAGTAAAACACAGGGCGTCAGACCTCGCTCTCGCTCTAGACTATGGTACTGTACGCGTGCACAGCTACGTACGACTTGTAGGCCTTGTTGGGGCGCTCCTGCGACTGGATCAGCGGCAGCTCGCCGTACGTGTCGGTGAGCGTGGGGCCGGCGGCGGCCGCAGCCGCTTTCTGGCGCTCGAGGATGCGCAGCTCCTTCTTGGTGAGCTTCTTGGGGGCGGGGGCGGGCGTCGCGTCGGCCATCTTGGGTCTCTCTTCTTGGGCGCTTGGGCGTCAATCGGATTGTGTGACTGACGCTGCGAGCCAAGCACCAGCGTGCCCTACAGAGAGGTCGCAGGATCCAATAGTCGCTTATAGAGAGGGGAGGTACATCAAATCCGCCAATCAACGTCGACTTGTCGCAGACGAAAAGACACGATTGGGTAAAAATACGTCCTGAAGACACGACGCCGCCAATTTGCACCACGAGAAAATTGCCATGCGCAAGACCATCAAGCGCGGCCTCAAGGTGGCCGCGGCCGCCGTGCCGCGCCGCTCTCCGCGCCTGCACGCGCTCCAGTCCACTTCCAGCCAGAGCGAGAGCGCGCAAGTAGATGAACTTCCTGCTCCGAAGCGCGCCAAGCGGACTGCGAAGCCCAAGAAGGCGGCCAAGAGCGCCGACGAGCTGTCGACGTCCACGCTGGCGCGCACCTTCGAGACGCGCTACCAGGCCAAGGGCTACACGACCGTGATCGGCGTGGATGAGGCCGGACGTGGACCGCTGGCCGGTCCGGTGGTGGCGGCGGCGTGCCACGTGCCGCTGGACGTGACGATCGAGGGCGTGGACGACAGCAAGAAGATCTCGGAGCCGCAGCGCGAGGCGCTGTTCGAGCTGCTGACCAACCACCCGAGCATCACGTACGCCGTGCACGTGAACAGCGCGCAGCGGATCGACGAGATTAACATTCTGCAGGCGTCGCTGGAGTCCATGACCAAGTCGGCGAACGAGGTGGCGGAGCGTCTGCAGCAGACGGACAAAACGTTCGTGTTGGTGGACGGCAACAAGCTGCCGCCGACGCTGGAGCTGCCCGCAGAGGCGGTTGTCAAGGGCGACTCCAAGGTCTACAGCATCGCGGCGGCCTCCATCATCGCCAAGGTCACGCGAGATCGCCTCATGCGCGAATACGACGAGCAGTACCCTCAGTACGGGCTGGCTAAGCACAAGGGCTACCCCACAAGAGACCATGTTGCTGCCATCGCCAAGCACGGACCTTGCGCGATCCATCGCATGACGTTCGCACCGCTGAAGCCGAAAGAGGCCCCCAAGCCAAAGGCGAAGGGAAAGAAGAAGTCTGCTGCATGAGGAGGAGCACTACAGGGACTATGGTAGGAAGCTTGAATGCATTTATTCCCATTTATTCCCTAACTTATAGATGTGAGCTACAGCTAATTTTTACTGACAATGAAGAAAGGTTATGTACGCAGCGGAGCGATGCGCGCTGCTGCCGCGGTGGGGCTGTCGAGGCCACAGTAGCTGTCGTTGCTCTCGAGACCGCGCGGCGAGCTTGCGAAAGATGAGGTCGACAACTCGTCCGTCGGGTGGCGCATCAGAGACGGCAACTTGAGTGATGTCATGGCCTGAATGTGCGCCTCAAAGCATGTATCGCACACACGCTGAGCCGCCATGTAACCGAGGTGTGGAAGCGCCAGTTGACGCGTCGAGTGCTCGAAGCAGAACGAGTTGCCGCATTGTCGGCAGTGGTGGCGACGTGTCAGGAGATTGAACGTGCAGTCGCACTCGTAGCAGGTTGGGGCCTTGGCAAAGCGCGGCACAGCAAGTCCAGGACGCACAGCCACGGACGGAGGCATGTAGCACGACGAAGCGTTGGACGATGATCTTGAGCGGTACACGCCAGCTGATGCTGATCGCCTGGGCATCGGGTACCGTCCTCGGCCGTAGAAGTCGTCATCGCCATCCGCAGAACGATCATCACCGTAAGATGAGCCAGGGTAGCTGGGACTGTCAAAGTAAGATGATGTGCGACCAGCGTTCGTCGTACTACGCGGCGCAGCGAAGTTCCAGCGCGATGACGATCCTTGTCGGCCGCATGAGGTCAGCGGTGCCGGAACTGGAAGAGGACTATCAACTGTGCGTGAACGACGACGGTAGCTGATGCACGATGCAGGGCCGGCTTCGATGCAATTGTTATCCATCTTCAGCTCGAATTCAGGTAGCCGCAGCTGCAACTGCATCGTCTTGCGCTTGATCTGCGAGGCAACAAGTTTCTGGAGGGCAATTTCTTGCTGTTGCTGGCGTTCTGGCGAGGGTTCATCAGCTGCTGCCTCACGAATTTCTTCACGCAGTTGACGGGCCTCTTTTTGAGCCTCCACCTCCTGCAGTCGCCACAAATCCAAGCTGTGGCGTCGGTCACGCGATCGAGAAGCACGAGGCGATGCCGGTGGTGTTGCATCTTCTAGTTCTGCTTCTTCGTTTGCGGGGGCAAGTGTAGGCGGCAAACTGTAACGGCGAGTACGACGCGAGTTGGGTGTCTGGAGCTTGGGCTTTTGCTGGCTGTACGATAGGTCCACAACGCAACCGACGTCGTGACCATCAGCGGCATTGGGGTTGCCGCCGTTGTCTACGTTGACAAGATCGTCCGACAGCTCAAGCTCCAATTGGTTTTCGCAGTCATGCTGGTTGCTGTTCTCATCTGCAGCGCGTTCCTCGGGAGAAAACATGACAGCTTTGTGGGGAGATTTGAACGCTGGGTCTTCCGTCTTGAACGAGGGGAATGATGACTGCTGACGCTCCTTGCTCGCACTTTGAGCCACCATAGCCTGCATTTGGCGACGCAATTCAGCCAGCTCATCCTTGAGTTGCGCATTGTCCTCCTTGAGCTTAGCCACGTTCCTGCTCTCTTCACGCAGTGCTCTCAGCGCTTGCTTGGCAACGCGTGCGCGCATAGCGCACTGGAGCGCTAAGGTGGCGCTGCACAGCTTCCGGTACTTCCGTTGCGCCGATGATCGCCGCCATGCCGTCGCAATTCGAGTTACTGCGCGAGCCTCACGAAGGGTCTGCACAATTCGTGATGCACGTCGGCAACGGAAGAGGCACTGCACCGCCAAGACACCTGCACGGGCACGGAGAAATCTACTTCGCGCACAAAGCTGGCGCATTCTTGCCTGTAGAACTCGAGCTTGCTGCATCGCGCGCATCCAGCACACGTGACGGTAAGCACGGCGGCCTCGAACACGCGCTTGGACTGCGATCGTGACTCTGCGAAGGTGACGATAACTTCGACGGGCCACGAAGCCTCTGACGTGCCTTTGGATAATAAGGCTAGCTCCCTGGCGTACAGCTACGCGAAGATTCTCCAGCTTCTCGTACGGCTTGCGACGGAAGAAGACACGGGTCTTGCCAAGACTGACACCACAGCGCATCTGGCGAGCCTGCTCGTCATCGGCTTCATCGTCTTCATCCTCCTCTACTTCGTCATCCGGCTTCATGTCAGCAAGAAGAACTTGAGTGAGTTGGTGCAAGCACAAATCCAACTCGCTCCAACTCCAGTGTTTCTGTTCAAAGCCGTTGTCGGTCAGCTTGCAGAGCGAGAGCAATATACGCCGATAACGACCAAGGAATTGTTTGTGAGATAGACGCACAGGGAATCCAGCGCGCGCTACCCTCACGGCTTCGAGAACACCGCCGCTGCGCAACTGCTCAACAACCCGTGTACTCTCAAAGAGTGATCCCACATGCGAGTCATTGGGCTTGATGCAGCGCACGTATCGAGGAGTTGTGGCACGAACAGTGGTCAGCAGTTCGTTTAGCTGGATCTTGAACTGCGTTCCCACACTGACTGCAGCAATGGCCGACTTGGCGCGTCGGCGAGTCCGGCCACCAAAACTGTCCATATCACTGTCCGCAGTGTCTGTCTTGGCTGAGCTTGTGGCAAGAGCTTGAATTAGCGGGTTGGAAGACTCAGCCAGCAATTGTGCTGCGCTCTCGCAGAATGAATCCTTGTTTTTCGCGAGAAAGCCATCAACGGTGTAGGTGACACATCCAGCGTAATGCACGACAACAAACTGCGTTGCCCGCTGAATCGCCGAGGCCGAACGGAAGTGCGGGTGCTGCGTCTTCTTCTCAAATTCAAGGTAGTATTTGGCCACGAGTGCACGATCCGTGCCCTGAGGAAATACACATTCCTGGTCTGTGAGCGAGAAGATCCCAATAGGACGGTGCTCAAACAGTTCGAGACACGCGCGGTTGTTCGGGAAGTCTACGAAGCTCCAACGGATGCCCTCGTCCCGGTACAATCGCTGCTCCTCTTCAAAAATGTACTGGTTGAACTGGTGCTGTAGTGCCTCATTGGCATAGTTGATGCAGAGCTGCTCGAAGGAGTTCTCAGCCATGTCTTCAAACCCAAAAATATCCAACAGGCCGATGAAATCATTCGAGTCTTCCTCGTCATCGTCATTCTGGTCGGCGTCCCAAGGTGCACTAGCCTGTCGTTGGAGCTTGTTGTTGACACGCGCTACGAGCCACTCAAACAGTAGACGGTAGCACTCCATCGTCAGCGCATTGCGCGTGTTACGTGCGTGAGCAACATCAACTCCTACGACCAACGTTTCATTGGATGCGTGGATCCATCTTTTCGTCAGAGCGTGGCCGAGAGCCTCAGTGGACACTCCGAGCAGCTCAGCCGCCTTCGTGAAGTGATTGCATGCTCCAGTAGTTGAAGTTGCTACCCGAGCCTCGTCGACGAACACGTTATCCTCGCGCTTGTGCGGTACTTGCTCGAAGTCGACGTTGCCCATATGCAACACAGCTGCCACGATTTCCAGCACGCCGCTGATTTCACGTTCGCTCATACCAAGCTGCTGCATGGCCCTCCGAGTGGATCGGAACTGAACAGCATCCTTCACACCATCGCGTCGCTTGGAGCACAAGCTCTGATTCAGCAGGCGGAAGTTTTGGGGGCCTCCGGTTAGGGCCAAGGCTTGCCTCTGCTCCTTACTCACACAAGTGGCGTCTGCACTCAGCAGCTCATAGAAAATGTGGAAGTTGCGCTCGTGAGGCGCCTGCTTAATGACTCGGATCTTCTCCAGCAAGTACGTGCGGATGCGGGCGCCCGCCAGCTTGCGCCGCTGGTCGCGGAAGCGCAGCTCGATGAACTTGCCGAACCGGGAGCTGTTGTCATTGCGCACCGTACGTGCGTTACCGAAGGCCTCCAAAATAGGGTTCGACTGCAGCACTTGCTCCTCGATCGTCGTGCGCGATGGCGACGGTGGGGGAGATCTTGTTTGCCCAGTCTTAGCCGTTTCTGCCAGATTGTTCCCCGCGCCGCACGTGACGGCAAAGTAGGTCATGATGATCTTGGTGGCTTCGGTCTTGCCGGCGCCGCTCTCACCGCTGATGAGGATCGCCTGGCTGCGCGCATTCTGCACAATGTCCACGTATGCTGCTCGAGCCACCGCGAAGAGATGGGGCTCTCTCGGGTCGGCGGCTGCGACTTTGTCCCCGAACTGGGCGTTGTGGTCGTAGGCGTAGCCCTGCAGCACCTCGTCACCGTAGAGCTGCGGGAGGCTCTGGAAGGGGTTGATGGAGATGAGGATATCGCCGATGTGCGTGTAGATGGCGTGGCGCTGGTAGCGCAGCCGCAGCGCGTTGAGGATGGAGGCTTCGTGCAGGTGCGGCAGCGCCACGAGGTCGCGCTGGTCCTGCTCGCGCGGCATGTTGCGCGGCAGCACGTTGACGCACTCGCCCGAGGGCGCGAAGGCCAGGACCACGTCCCGCTTCTTGGCTTGGGCGGCGTCGTCCGAGTCGTCGTACGAGCCTGGGTGCCTTAAGCGCGACGGCGACTCGTCATCGCTGTGCTGCTCTTCGAGCTCCACCGAGGCGGCGGCGTCGCGCACTTCGAGCACGCGCGCCGCGAGCCAAACGCGCTCGTCCGCGGGGTCGGCGACCCACACGCGCGCTCCAACGTCCATCGAGACGGAGGGTGAGGGGGGAGGGGCGTCGCGTCGCTCTTGTGGCCGATTTTGGATTCTGAACCAGGGAAGGGCGCGCGGCTCGCGTGCGTCCGTTACCGTTTCCTTTCTTTAGCTGTCGCCCTTGACGGGCAGGAACCGTCCGTCGGTGGGGAGGCTGCTAGAGGTTGGCGCCTGCCCGGCCGGGGTCTGCGAGATCTTGCTCGGGCCGCTTGCTTGATCGCTTGGGTGTCGTCGAGTAGAAGCCACTGTGCCGATGCCGGGCGGCGGCAGCGAAGCTCGGCCGCTCTCTGCGAAGCTTGCAGTGGGCCGATGGGAGATGCGCGCAATATCAGGCGTTTTTCTTTCGCCACTTGAAGCCCTTCGGCGGCCAATCACAGCGCCGCGAGGCCGATCTTGAAAAGCCGTCAAAATATTGGTGGCGCGTTGGTCGCTAAGTAAGTACATTGAAGTTGAATTTAGCCGACATAGCCTGCGTATCGCTCTATACGTACTGAGTTGAAGTAACTCTTCTCTAAAAAACCTGGCCATGGTGTCGCAGCGGGCGGAGTGTCCGCTCGTCGAGCGCAACCAAACGAGGGGATCACCTCGGCGTGTGCGGCCACCGCCGCGGCAAGCCGCGTCCTGCTCGCCGTGCCTGCTGCGACAGCATTGCTGCCGCCCGCCTGCTGCGTGAATCCTTGTCAAGCGCCCTGTCTTCCGACCTTGGCACCCTTTGGCACCTTCATGCTATGCTAGCGTTGCAGTGGGAGCGTAACGCCTCTTGGCCCCAAAAATGTAGGGCAGCTGGAGGCCCAGCTGAGCTGAGCCGCAGCAAGCAGGGTGCTCTGTGGCACTGCTGCTTGGGGAGAAGCAGACACCCCGAGGATTCTTGCTCGTTTCACCCTGCTTGTCCATGCGCTCGCTCACGCGCTGCAAGGGATCAAATGAGGTGTCCCGTGCCGCCGAGATCGGCCTTGCTTGTGCTTCAGGCAAAATTTACCGTAGCGTTCTCCGGACTCTCTTCTCCAGGTCTCGACGCGTTGTCGCCCAAGATGATGAAGAAGAAAGACTGGATACGTGTAGTGACGAATGGCAGAGGCATTAGAAGTAAGTATAGAGGCTCGACGAACGAAAATGCCTGAAGCCGTATGTTCGGTAACGTAGCAGCACTTCAACACACGATAGTAAGATCGTTGAACGCTTCGTTTCCTCTTTAGTCATACATCCTCGATACTGCGCCGCCACCGGCGCAGCGAGATGCCTATCACGGTTCCTTCCCGTCTACCTAGCTAAGAAATATGGCGGCGGTTCCTTCCCGTCTGCTGTCGGCTGGCCGGGGCGCAGAGTGTGTGTGGACTGCCTACGAGCTGTTCCAGTGCGCTTGGTTCACGTCGTTCGCGTTGTTGCCGCCCTGGGCGCCGGCGTTGCCGTACTGGCGGTAGCTCTGCTGGTGCGCGTTCGGCTGCTGCTGCTGTTGCTGCTGCTGCGGAGGCACTTGCTGCTGCTGAGACGGCGACTGCTGGTAGCCCTGGGGCATCATGTGGCCCCATCCGCCCACGGGCTGCGCGCCGTAGTTGCCCGCCCAGCCGTAGTGCTGGCCATACGAGCCGGTCATGGCCGCCGACGCGTTAGGCACTGGCGGCGACACGTTGTCACGGCCCCCGGCGTTCTGGTAGCCCTGCATGCCGGCGTTGCCACGCTGGCCATGCGACTGCTGCGAGCCAGCGTTGCCAGCACCAGAGGCAGCGCCGCCCTTTCCGTGGCCCTGCGGGCCGTTCTGGTGACCGTGGTGGCCGTGGTGACCACCCTGCTGCATTGGAGCCTGCTGCAGGTATCCGGCGTTGATCTCGCCGAAGCCCTGGGGGACGCCAGCGGCGTACTCGTGCTGTTGAGCCATCATGTGCTGGTCCTGGTAGGGCATGTTCGGTGGGTTCGAAAAGCCCGGCACGGGGCCTTCAACTCCATACGGCATGCTGCCCCGCGGTGGGTACTGCGTACGCGGGCTGTACTGAGCGAACTGTCGACAATAAATCAAAATCATCAAGATAAACGTGGTGAGTACAAACCGTAACGATAATGAATAATGAGAAGCCGGTGAGAGCGCACCTGTGGGTTCTGGTAGTAGCCGTAGCCCTGGTAGTAAGCGCCGTAGTTGTACGGGTTGTACGGCAGCGCCATACCAGGCGGAGGAGGGGGAGCGTAGTGGTAGCCCTGCTGCATGCCGGCCGGAGCCTGCTGGTGCATCTGGGCCGACGTTTGCTGCTGAGCCTGGTTCTGCTGGCTCTGCTGAGGCTGCTGAGCTTGCTGCTGCTGGACCTGCTTTTGCTGAGTTTGCTGCTGGACCTGCTGCTGCTGTTGCTGCTGAGCCTGTTGCTGCATAGGAATCTGCTGCATCTGAGCGACGGGCTGCTGTCCACGGGAAGGCGACTGGGCACCGCGAGCGCCAGCGCTCTTCGGGGTTCCGGAACCAGCAGGGAGCTGGCCTGGCGTCGAAGCAGCGGGACGGCCGAGGTCCATGGAGTACTGGCCGTAAGATGCCTGGTACAGGCCAGCGCCGTAGCCAATGTTTATTTTGTTGTTCTGGGTCGTGGCACCTCCTTGGGCTTGGAATGGTCCTCCCTGCGCACGAGTGGGCGTGCCACGCTTCACCTCATCGGGCTTAGGCAGAGACGCAGGGGACGGAGCCGACGGCGCGAATCGGGGAGACTGGCCGGTGGTGGGCGTCACGCGACCCGACTCCACTGACAGTCCAGGAGGAGCAGAAGTGGTAGCCTTCGCTGCAGTTGTCTCCTGGGTGCGCTGCTGCTCGGTGCGGTCAGGCGACAGCGTCTTCTTGGGCGACGCAGCCTTCGTCGTAGTTCCCCAGGCGCTCTGAGTCGTAGTGGCCTTCGTGATGGTCTTGCCGCCATTGTTCGAGCTGGACGTCGTAGTAGTCGTCGTCGTCGAGGCCCAGCCACGGGGCGACGAGGGCTCCAGCGAGTCCATGCCGTTGAGCGAAAAGCTACCAAACTGGAGCGAAAGGTTCGGCGTCGCGGCAGTGTCCCACTTGCCCATCTTGAGGTACGGCCGAGGGCTCGTCGAGGCCGATCCAGTCGAGCGAGGCACGTCAATGTCCTTCGGGGAGCCTGGCACCACCGTCGGTCTCGCATCGGCAACCGGAGACTTCGGTGCGGGGGTGGGTTCCTTAGTAGCAGGAGGAGAGAGGACCGGGCTGCCCCGTGCCCATGCGTTAGGAGTTGACGCCTTCTTGGGCTCGGTGGCGGCAGCGGCAGCAGAGGATGACCACTTGTCCATCGTCGACGTGGAAACATCGAGGTTGCCCCATCCAGCAGCGATGTTTGAAGTAGTAGTTTCCACGGTAGTCTCCACGGTCTTCGTCTTCTTTTTCTTCTCCGCGGTCTTCTTCGGCGACGCCTTCGGGCTGGCCACCTTCTCCACGGTCTTCACAGTTTCTGTCTTCTCCATAACGGCAGCGGTTTCTTCAGTTGCTTCGGTAGTAGCGGATTTCTGTGTCTTCTTGCTCTTCTTCTCCTGCTGGGCCTTCTTCTTCGGGCTGGCTGCCTTCGGGGCCTCCGTCGTGGCAGTAACAGCAGCAGCAGTCTCCTTTTCCGCAGCAGGTTCCGTCGGTTTCTCGGCCGCCTTAGTGGTGGCTACAGGTGCGGTAGGTGCAGGCGCAGGTGTGGGGACGGGCTCTACAGGCTTGGGCTTTGAGGTGACGCCGGTAACATTCAGCTTCTTCGTCCAAGCACCAGTGAGCACGGGGTAAACTACCGGAGGAGCCTGTGCAGCGGGCTGCGTCGTAGTCGTTTTGGTGGTGGTGGTGGTCGTCGTCGTGGTCTTCGCTCCACGGTCCCTCTTCGAGTCCTTGGACGCTTTCGAGGACTGCTGCACGCGTGCTTCGTTGGACGGGCTGGATCCGTCAGTGTCATTGTTGTCGTTCTCCGGGCTCTCTTCTTCATTGTCGCTCGTGCGGGGTCCACGCGTGCTTCCAGAGGCCACAACGGCACCGCCGCGGCCGCGACCTCCCCGGCCACCCCGGCCGCCACGCGAGGAGACCATGCCTCGGCCTCTCATGCTGCCGCGGCCACGAGTAGAGAACCGCTCCGACGATCTGGGCACCTGCGCGTCGCCGTCCTGCGGCGCGTCGGCGTGGTCGTCCTGCTGGTGCTGGCTCTTGTGTGACGAGTAGGAGCGCGTGTAGCCGTGGTCCTGCAAATAGAGAAAAAAGAAGCAAAAGCTGTCAGCACGGGTCCTCTAGAGCAGCCTGTCCGGGGTGCAACGCAGACGCACTTGTTTCTTCTTGGTGCTCTTCTTGGCGACGGTGGCCCAGGCGTCGTCCTGGCCGTTGCCGCGGTAGTCCTCCCACAGCTCGCTGATGGCGTTCTCCATGCGCTGGGCGTCGCCCTTGCACTGGCCGATCAGCCTCTGGATCTGACTGTCTGGGGTGCCGGGAGGGCACAGCTCGCGGTACTTGGCCACCTGCAAGCAGCAGCAGACAAACACACGCATACAAGGAGTTAGACTGAGTGCACACACAAGAACCACGCAACTTCTTATCCTTGAGGCAGCCTCTTTTGCCAGAGGAAACGGCTTACTTCTTTGCCGCCTGCCTGCGGGGCGGCGGAGATCTGTTCGTCGAGGCGCTGCATCTGCAGACCCTTCTGCAGGAAGTAGTCGCGCTTGCTCATGTTTCTGATGTGTTTTCTGCGGGGCGAGGGGGGCGGGAGCTCGCTGGCGGCGGCGCGAGCTTCTCGGGGGCGGGGCGGGCGGGCGCGCTGGCGTTGGCTTCCACAAGAGCGCCAAATTCTTATGCGGGGGGGCGCGGGATATCTTGCCGGAATAAAACCTCGGGCTCTCGTCCAATCAAAAACGGACGAGGTTTTTCTGTGAAACGGATAACAACGGCAACTTTGCTTCAACTTGCCCAACGTATCTTAGTGCATCTACCAACGCGCCGCGCTTTTTGCCCAAGGGCGGAGTAAGCGTCTAAAGCCTTTGCAGCCCATCGATCCGCCAAGCCGCTTCTCGCCCAGCCTTCGCAGCTGCATTCCGTAGCCCGTACACCTCGACCTATGCATTCCGCTCCACCAGCGGGGCGGGTTGGCCCCCAGCGCTTGAGCTGAGTCGTCGTTATTCAGGAAACGGCCGGTGCGCGTGGCACGGGCGTGTGGGCAGCTACAGCTCGCCGCACTCGGTGACCGTGATGCCGAGCTTGGGCTTGCTGTTCGGGCCCACCGGGACGCTCTCCATCTTGCGCAGCAGCAGCAGCGACGCCGGGTCCAGCACCTTGCCGAAGACCACGTGCTTGCCGTCCAGCCAGTCGCACGGCGCGCACGTGAGGAAGAACTGGCAGCCGTTCGTGCCCGGTCCGCTGTTCGCCTGCGGGGGTAGTAAGTAGTAAGAAGCAACACGAGAGTGAGCGCACAGTTCGGCAGCTTGAGAGCAACCGTCCGCGACGCTGGATACGCACCATCGACAGGAGCCCGGCCTCCGTGTGCTTGTGGATGAAGTTTTCGTCCTCGAACTTGTCGCCGTAGATGCTGATCCGGCCCGTGCCGTCGCCCTGCCCCATTGCAACCGCCACGAAACGTCGTGAGTCCACCGCCACCAGTTCAAACAGAAGACGAGGAACGGCAACGTTCTCACCTTGAGGAAGTCTCCGCCCTGCACCATAAAGTCCTTGATGACGCGGTGGAAGCTGCAGCCCTTGTAGCCCACGGGCAGCTCCGATTTCCTGCCCCAGCAGCAACGCGTCAGTATTTTTACATCCAACTGAAGCTCTCGCCCAGCAGCGTACCGCCTACCTGTATTCGCCCGTGCAGAATTGCCTGTTGGTGCACACACACAGCAGACCACACGTTAGCCGCCTGAACAGTTCCGGGGTCTTAGCAGCCAGTCAGTCGATCGCAGCGCTCGCTCGCCTGAAGTTCTCCACCGTGCGCGGGCAGTCCTTCTTGAACAGCTCCAGCCGCAGGCGGCCCACGGGCGCGCCGCCGATGGAGATGTCGAAAAACACCACGGGGTTGCCCCGCCGCAGGGCCTCGCTCAGCGCCGCGTCCATATTGAGACTCGTGCGTGAAGGATAAATAGGAGCTGGTTCACTGACACTTGCAAATTCGATATCGACTTTCGAAGGGTGTATCCATTGTGCAACTATCGAAAGTGAAGAGGAAGAATCCATTCCATCTTCTTCAAGCTAAGAGGACGGCGGCGCCATGACGCTGGAGCTGTACCCCGCGTCGGCGCACGACGCCTTCCACGGCACCGCGCTCCAGTACCCGCACCACATCGACGAGGCCGTGCAGCAGATCCACGGGGCCTGCCAGGGCCTCGGCACGGACGAAAAGACGCTCATCTCGGTGCTGGGCAGCAAGTCGCCCGAGACGCGCAACCTCATCGCGCTGCGCTACAAGGAGCTGTACCGCCAGCCGCTCAAGAGTCTGCTCAAGAGCGAGACGTCGGGCGACTTCGGCCGCCTGCTGCGCATGATCTCCACGCCGCTGCCCGAGACGGAGGCGCAGATCCTGCGCGACGCGACCAAGGGAATGGGCAGCACCGAGAGCCTCATCGTGCAGATCCTGTCGGGGCGGTCCAACGAGGAGATGAACATCCTCAAGCGGACCTACTTCGACCTGGTGGGCAAGGATCTGGCCGTCACGCTCAACTCGGAGCTCAGCGGCGACTTCCGCAAGGTTGTCATGGCCGTTCTGCAGTCCTCTCAAGTGCCGTACAACCCAGCCGTGCACAATGCGGCCAAAGCGGAAGAGGAAGCTATCGCGCTGTACAAAGCCGGCCAAGGCCGACTGGGCACCAATGAAGAGGTGTTCATTGGGATCCTGGTCAAGGCCCCGCCAGAGTTTCTCAAGATGATGGACGCGGTGTATGTCGCCAAGTATAACAACAACATTGCCAAGGCCGTGGATAAGGAGTTTAGCGGTGATGCCAAGAAGAGTCTCAACTACCTCGTCCGATCTACCATCGACCCGTACCCCGCGATTGCGGAGGTGTTCGAGAAGACCATGAAAGGCTTCGGAACGGATGAGACGGGGCTGAGCACGGCGCTTGTGCGCTATCAATCCGTGTTGCCTCACGTCAAGGCTGCGTACAAAAAGCTGTACCACGAGGAACTACGGGATCGCATCAGTGGCGAGACAAGCGGCGACTACAAACGACTTTTGCTGGAGGTGTTTGACGCACCCCAAGATTCACCGCGGTCCAAGGTTGTGGGGTCGAGTGGAGCCGCATCTTCTAGTGGGATCAGTACAGCCGCTGGCGCCAGTTCCCCGGCATATCTGTCGACCCAGACTTCGTATGCAGCTTCAACCACTAGTCTGCACTCTTCCGCTCCAGGATATAGTGCGTCGCCAGCGTACCCAACGCCGGCAGGACAACAAGTCTATGGCCAACCGGCCCAATCCGCCTATGGTGCTATCCCTCAACAGACGCCCACGTCACAACCCGGAGGAAGTTATTCATCACCGAGTGGAGGCAGCTACCCTGGTCAAACGACAGCTCAAAGCCAGGGGCAGACAGCAGGCTATCCTTCTCCGCAGCAACAGTCTGGGTACCCTCCACAGCAGCATCAATCAGGTTACCCTGCCCCTCAGCATCAACCACAGCAAGCACAATCGGGTTACCCTGGACAACCGCAGCAACAGGGATACCCGCAGCCTGGATACCCAGGACAACAGCAGCAGCAGCAGCCCGGATACCCTGGCCAACAACAACAGCCCGGTTATCCTGGACAACAACAACAGCTAGGATATCCTGGGCAACCACCACAAGAACAACCGGGGTACCCGCAGCCAGCACAGCCATATCCGCCGCAACAGTCCAGCTATCCACCCCAGCAACCGGACTACCCTCCGCAACAGCAACCAAACTATCAGCCGCAATCTGGTTACCCCCCGCAGCAGGCCAATTATCCGCCACCGCAACATGGATACCAGCAGCAAAACTACGCGCCGCCACAGGGTTATCCACAGCAGCCTGCTTATCCGCCAAGCCAACCGTATCATCAATATCCAGCTCCCGGTCAACCGCAGCAGCCTGGTTACCCACCAAGTCAGCCGTACCCGCCAACCGGGCAGCCAGGGTACCCGCCTCCGTACGGAGCGGCACCTCCTCCCCAAGGCAACTACCCACCGCCGGGCAGCTACCCACCTCCACACCAGCCGCAGTATCCCGCAACTGGTGGATATCCTCCGTACCGGGGCGCGTAAAGTCTATCGGATTGAGCTAAGCTTCAATTTTGTAAGCTTAGATCGGATCCATCATACTTCCATTGGCCACGGTACCCATGGATAGATGTAATGGGTTGCAAGACTACTCTGCTGTGTGAATGAGACAAGGTGATTAAAGGACTTAACCATTGATCCTTCCTAGCCAAACCTCATTATTCAAATTCCTTTCGTGTGCGCAGAACCACAACACACCTTCTTACAGCCTACCAACATGAAGCCGAGCCAGTTTATCTTCGCGCTTTTCATCGCGGTCGTGTTCGAATCGACCTGTGCCATTGAATTCGACTGTCAACTCGAGACCGCCGTTGAGGTACCTGCCAGAGACGCCATTCATCCGCCGAACGCGCTCCGACGCCTGCAAACCACCACCGAGTTGTCTGAAACGGAGTCTGCTGGCTCAGCTTCTTCCGCCGAGTTGTCTGGCACGGAGCCTACAGGATCGGCTTCTGCAACCGGCAACTCGGCGTCTGCTTCCAGCTCGACGGCTGAAACGGAAGCTCCGACGACGATCATGGTGCTGCTGCCCGACAACCTTGCACCAAGTTACTCTGGTTCCGGTAGTGTCATGTTCTTCGATGGATCCGTCGGTGATGATGACAAGAAGGCGAGCAAGTCGGCCAGCTCCGACAGTGCCGCTGACGAAGCATCCAGCGCGGCTTCGAGGCGCAACTTCGGGGTAGCGGTGATGTTCACTGCCACCACGATCCTGTCTGCTCTTCTGCTCGCGTAAGAAGCGCAACTGAGTGCTCGTTAGCACGAAAAAACAACCTGCAAGCCCCGATAGTCTACAATACTGAGTGGATAATGGATGTTCCAGCCAACATTGTATGCTTGCAACACAAATTCCTCATTCTCCAGAAAAAAAACATACTAAAGGCTGTTAACCTCGCCCACGATGTTAACCTTGTAGCCCTTGAACAGTGCTGGCAGTGTAGCTTCCAACTGCCCGACAAACACATGAGTTAGAATCTTGGTTATAGCAATAGCTGGCCATACAAATCGTACCTCCTTCTTCAGCTTTTTCGTCGTCGTCACGAGCGCATTAATCTGGGGCTGGACATTTTTGGTGGCGTCAATGAGATCAACGTTCTTGTCCTCCAAAACGTGGATTTCGCGGCGGCATTTGTCCATGTGCTTGGTCAGCATTTCCAAGTTCGCCACGTGCCTGTCGAGATATCTCTCTGAGGTTTTAATGAGCACCAGTTGCTGCAAACGTTTGCCCGTCAGCAAAGATACAGCTTGGTCTACAGCAGCTTGAAATTCCTCGATCTTTGTCGTGCTCTGTTGTTCCAGTAATGCTGTTAACAAACCAAGCAGACCCGTCAGTATCTTATCGTAATCTGAAAAATAGTACCATATTCGTACGAGAAGAGCCCTGGAATTGGTTGGCAAAGGCAACGGAATCACTTCCGGACAGCTCAACTAGTCGCTGGCGGAGGAACGCTCGCAGCTCCAGCAGATCATTCAGCACACGAGTGCGGAACTCGTTGTCATCCAAAAGCCCAACACGAGTCACTTGCTTGCTAGTAGAAGGTACGTCCAACGTAATTTCTTCACCAGTCACTTCCGTGGCATTGTCCTCGCTAACCGACTCCACCACATCCGATGTTGTAATGTCCCAATCGATCTCAACAGGAGCATCGCCAACATCAGCTGGATCGGTTGCCGCGACTGTTTCAATGCCCCAGTCGATCTCGCCAGCATCAGCAGTGCCGCTGTCATCAAGCGAGATATCCCAACTGATCTCTGCCGCCTCAGCTTCAAAGTCCAACGTCGCACCCGCTTCCACCAGCTCATCGCTCGCATTACGAAGTTCTTCGATCGCATCGAAGAACTTGTGGGGAGCCACGACAAGCTCAAATGGTTCATCCGTAGCGATTTCAGGCTCTTCGGTCACTTTGGACTGCTTCTTGCCCTTCTTCTTGTTCTTTTTGTCCTTTTTCGATGAGGACGAACCAGTGGGTTCTGTGACGGGGGCCACAACAGGGACTTCGCAGTCAAGCAAGTAGCTTTGGAGCGCCTGGTGGTACTCGATTGCATTGGCAATTTCGTCACAGCAAATAGCCTTTGCGACGCCATCGAAGATGGACGGCAACTCCAGCGGCAAACGACGCAGCTCTTCACGGAAGTTCTCCCCCTAAGTGAGCACCAGCATACCCAACACTGTAAAACTCACACAACGGCAAGTGGCGTCGCAATTAAATGTAAACGAACCGCAATGCCCATGTCCGCGCATGAGGTCTCCAACTTGCGCTTGTACTCGGTAATGCTCCTCGTCAAGTCCTACACGACCGTCGCATGTTGCGCACATCTAATCAGCCAGCGCCCATTTCGAACTCCACACTCACACTACATTAGCAACTCACCGCTGCCTTGCGGTTATTGTCCGCGACTTGCTTCTCATTCTGCTGGATCGATTTTTTCAAAAACGGACTAAATCAGCGAAACATACATCAGTTAGTGCCACAGCTCCGTCCACCACCACCACACACAGCCTCCGTTTTTGTATCTGCACTGACATTTCAAACGCGGTGTTCTGCGTGATGATACGCGCCGCCTCGGCTGCGAAGACGTTGTTCTTCTCGTACTGGCGAATCAGCGCACTCCACCGCTTCAGCACCGGCGACGTGTACTGCGCAAAAAAGTCGAACGCATCCCATTACTCTCCGAGAGGCAGTACACTTGCTGTTTGTATGCGAGCCCTCTCTCCTCACCTGCCCGAAGAAGTTCTTGCTCGCGCCCTCGTCCGACTGCTCCAGACACTCGAAGATGAACTTGCAGTCGAAGTAGTTGAGCTCCTCGTGGCTGGGCTTCTTCGCGCGGAACTTGGTCAGCTGCTCGCTGGCCAGAGGCAGCTCCGGGTACAGCGCGGCGATGGCGTCGCGAATCTGCTTGTGCTGCTCGAGCCACTTGTGCGGCACGATGCGGCGGTCCACCAGCGCCTCTGCAGGGACAGCGGGGGGACCCACACGTTAAGAGTCACAGTGCAGATAGGAGGGAGGAATGGGGGCAAGGGGAGGAGGGGGAGGGACCCACCCAGGAGCTGCTTGTACTGGATGTCGATGGGCAGCTTGCGCTTGTCCGCCATACTTGCCTCTTTCTCTTCGAGAGGAGAGGCTCGCCCAGGTTCCTGTGTGTTTGTCCGACGAACCGGTAAAACCATTTTGGCCAATCAGAGCGCGACGGGAAATCATATGCAGAAAAGATTTTTTCCGCTTCGAGCTGTGACGTCAGCAAGATACTTTTGGAAGTTGAAGTGCGGCGACTCAGTTGTTGTATCCACCGGATGGCAGCGCATATTGACGGCAAGATATTGCAGCTGGGCACGTGCTCCCCCTATGGCAGCAAATCTGGCGCCGCTGGTTGCTGCTGCCGCCGCGCTCGCAGTCTCCGCTGCTCATTCTTCAAAACTCGTCGCGCAGCGCACCCCCAACTTCCTCCACCACCACCCCGCTCCAAGCTCAAGATGCTGGGACTCTACCCTCCGTCCGTGTTCGACGCCTACAAGAAGGAGAAGACGCACTTCTCGGCCTCGATCGACGCCGCCGTGGAGGAGATCCACACCGCCTGCCACGGCATCGGCACGGATGACAAGACTCTCGTGAAGATCCTCGGCCCGCTCTCGCCCAACGACCGCGGGCTCATCTCGCTGCGCTACAAGGAGCTCCACGGCAAGACGCTCCGCGAGCTCGTCAAGAGCGAGACGTCGGGCGACTTCGGCTACCTGCTGCAGCTCATCTGCTTCACACTGCCGCAAGCCGAAGCCTACATCGTCTTCCACGCCATGAAGGGCGTGGGGACCTCCGACCACCTGCTCTACTCCGTTCTCATGGGTCGCACCAACGAAGAAATGAGTCTGCTGAAGAAGACCTACTTCGAGATGTACGACACGGACCTCAGCGTCTCTATCAGCGACGAGATCAGTGGTGACTTCCTCGCCGTCATCATGAAGGCGCTCCAGGTGAGCAGCCACAGCTTAAACACTTTAGTGCAGCAATTCGACGTAGTAACTGACCAATTGTGTATGTATCCCCCACCACTTCAGGAACCGATGGTGGAATACAAGCCGTCGTTCCACACCAAGGAGAAGGCCGAGGAGGACGCCGAGCTGCTCTACAAGGCCGGCGAGGGCAAGTGGGGCACCGACGAGAACGCGTTCATCAAGGTTCTGCTGTCCAGCCCGCCCGAGCACCTCCGCAATATCGATGCGGCGTACCAGGCCAAGCACGAGCACGACTTGGTCTACGCGATCGAGAACGAGTTCAGCGGCAGCGACTGCGCTGCTCTCACTTACTTTGGTAAGCTTTTTCACGTTCATTTCCCACTGAATTGGTCTTGACTCCACTAACTTCCCTCTGACTACGGTACAGTCCGCCTGAGCCTCAACGCGTGGCCGTTCCTCGCCGAGCACATCGAGGGAACGATGGCCGGCATCGGCACCGACGAGACGGCCCTGAGCGCTGCCATCGTTCGCTACCACTCTTACCTGAACAAGATCATGCCCGTCTACGAGAAGAAGTACAAGATGTCGCTGAACGACCGCATTCAAGAAGAGGTCGGCGGCGAGTACCAGGAGCTGCTTCTGCAGCTTCTTGAGGCCCCGCGCTCCGTCGGCAGCTTTGCGTAAGAATCAAGTCCGAGTCCAATTGGATTGGGCTTCCACTTGTAGCGTTCACATTGAACACGTCGGCCACAGCGTGGCTTGTTGAAAATTAACCCACAAAAATCCAAATACTCTGTGAATACCTCTGTTTTCTGATATCTCACTGTTACAGTAGTCATACACCTATGTAGTATCTGAACGTTATCACATTGAAAATCACCTCTGTGCCTCATTACAAGGATTTCCTGAACATTTGGCATCGCTCGCGAGGTGACGGCGGCGCTAGACAACAGCAGCGGCGGCGATGCAGCACATATTCCCGCAGCACGCACACGATGTGTTCCACGGCGTGCCGCTGGTGTACCCGCGCGAGATTGACGACGCCTGCGAGCGGATCCGCGACGCGACGGACGGCCTGGGAGTGGACGAGAAGGTGCTCGTGGACGAGCTGAGCGCCCTATCGGCGAGCGACCGGTTGCTGCTCATCTACCGCTACAAGGACTTGTACCGCGAGGAGCTCAAGGACACGCTGAGCAGGGACACGGTGGGCGACTTCCGCTTCCTCTTGCTGCTGCTGACGATGCCGCTGCCGGAGGTGGAGGCGTTCGTGCTGAACGTGGCCACGTCGGGCTCCGGCACGAAGGAGCGGCTGCTGTACCCGGTACGGCGACGGAGCCTGCCGAGCGCTCACGACTGCCTAACGCGTTACTGATGCTAGAAATTCTTCGTGCTGATGTGGCTGTTCGCGTTGTGGCAGATTATCCTGGGCCGCACCAACGAGGAGCTCTCGATGCTCAAGTCGACGTACTATTACATCTTCAACAAGGACCTGACCTGGCTCATGCGCTCTGAACTGAGCGGCGACTACCGCGAGGTGATCCTCTTGGCGCTGGAGGTGCGTTGGCTGTCGTACTTGATTTAGTTTACAGCGGGCAGCGAGGTGACACGGGAGTCGTTGTTGTTTTGCTGCCACAGCGGCTGCAAGTCACGTACGACCCCGAGATCCACACGTACGCGAGGGCGAAAGCGGACGCCATCAAGCTCTACGACGCCGGCGAGGGCCGCTGGGGCACGGACGAGACCACCTTCATCCGTATCCTGTTCTCGAGCCCGCGCGAGCACCTCGTGCTGGTGAACGACATCTACAAGAAGAAGTACGTGAGCGATCTGGAGGAGGCCGTGCGCGCCGAGTTCAGCGGCTACGCGACCGAGGCGCTCGTGTTTTATGGTGCGTGTGTGCGCGCTGGCTAGTGCTTGTCCTTGCGAGCAGCAAGCTTTGCTCTGTGTGCTGTGTGGGTTCACGCTAACCCTCTTGTGTCTCTGCTGGCAGTCCGCTTGGCGCTGGAGCCGCACGCAGCGATCGCCGACCACTTCGAGCGCATGATGAAGGGCCTTGGCACGGACGAGAAGGGGCTGAGCGCCGCCGTGATCCGCTACCACTGGATGCAGCCGCGCGTGGAGGCGCTGTACGAGAAGCGGCACGGGCGGTCTCTCGAGGAGCGGATCCGCACGGACACGGACGCCAACTACGGCGACCTGCTGGTCACGCTGCTGCACATCCCGACCGACGGCGGCGGCGGCAGCAGCGAGAAGAGTGCGCCCGAGCTTGCATCGTAGTAGAAGAAGAGCTGCAACTCAACAAGATGTGTTTCTGTACTGTACGTGCACTTCCCCTCTCAATTTGCACCCACACCCACACTGGACAGCCTGCCCACAAATGGGTGCGTCCGCGTGTTGAAACGCCCCTAAGAAATCCATTGACGCTTCCGGCGGCCGCCCCGCTGTGTCGGGCGCGGACATCCCTGTCGCCAACGGTGCCGCTGCACTCCGCGGGGGCTTGCTTGGTCTAGTGCTCGCAGCCAGCCAGCCAGCGAGCGAGCGCTGCTCCACGGCCAGCGCTTCCGCGGCCGCAGGTTACAGTACCTGCGGCAAGTACACTACCGGTAATCCGGTGTGCGAGATTGCGCTCGCCGCGGCCAAAAATATACTTTCAGCCAATGGCCGCGCGGTCTGACACGCCGCCGATTGCGCCGCTTGCGCGAGAGTGGGACGGCCTTGACTGGCTCAGCAAAAACTTCAACTTTCAAGCGTCAAACTTCATAATGTACGCACAACCACGGAAAGCGTACGAACGATCGATGCAAAATGTACGACGAGCCGCGCCGCCACCGCGGACCCCGCCGCCGTCGTAAACACCATCGGCGCCCTGCGCTCGGCGTCAACTCCACCGCCGCAATCTGGCTGCGAGGGTGGAGGCGGTGACTGCGAACACGCTCGCGCCAAGGCGCCATCAGTGCCATCAGTGCTCGCGCTTTCCGGGCTTTTTTTCCGAGCGAACTTTTCGAGTAAAGCGCGTTAGTCGAGCGTCCGTACACACACATTTTTTTTGCTAGCCTGCCTGGTGATTCACAACTTGTGAAGGCTAATTTGCTTCACTGCTGTAGTGTCGGTGGCTTGCAACAATGAGGAAAGTTGACCAGCATGCCTGCGACGTCGTGCTATTGTTGCGATTATGGGCCCTCGAAACGCTGCGGTCGTTGGTTCTCCAAGCAGTGTAAAAGCTGACAGGTTGTACATATTTTGGCGTCTAGTACAGCAGAAACGACAAGTATCCCTTAGTATCGCCAAGTGCTCCAGCTTGCAAGTGTACAGGCATACACATGGTGCATTGTGCACATCTGTCCTATTATACATGTATTTTAATACTGGACGTCCCTTCAACAATGTACGGGAATCTCGGGAAAATAATAAATTCGGTTTTTCCTGGCGAGTCTAGGGATGCTGAAACTTTGCATATCTACTAATATGTCCATCAAAGGAGTAATGCCAAAGTGGCTTCTCCTTTTCTTGTCCCGTTCGGCAACGAGGACATGGTGTGCATTCCCCCTTACTATTTGTCAGTCATCTTGTCGCTAGTAATGCGCGATCTTTCACCCCTACCTGAAAGGTCACACAAATACATATAGCTTTTTATATGCTGCATAAATATAATAACGGTAAGAAACATCGCAGAGGCGCCAGGCAACGCCAACTTTGAGGATAAATCGCTCGAGATCTACATACATTTAGCGCTTCATACAGCGGCATTACCCAAACTAGATGCAGGGCTTTCTATCCATGTCGGTCTCAACGGCGATGTTCCTCTTATTGAAGAGTTAAATTCGCCGAAATCACAGGTTTCCGACCTGTCATGTGCATTCATGAAGGGACGCCCAGTTAATACAGTAGTAGGTACAGTGTAGTTCTCCTATAACGATCATTGGACTACATGTATTGAATACTTAGTATTAATAGATACTGTCCTTGCTGCATGGCTTGCATGCATTCCCCCGTTTAACTTAACACGAAGCTACAGTGCATGTAGAAGTTCCCAAGCAGTTGGGCTCTGCTGTGCCCGCGATCGACCGTCTTCGTGCCTTCGCGTTGGACTCTATGGCCCCGCGATTCGCGGGCCGCGAATCCACCAGAGCCAACCGCGCGAGCTGCATGCACGCAGCGCTTTGCGCGGTACCGCGCAAACCCCAACACGGGAAATCTGTCACACGGCAACTGCGACCGATCATCGTCCCATCAGGAAGCTCAAATGCGATTTTGCCAAAGCAGTTGAAAGCACCCATGATCGATCGTTTGTTGTTTGATCTCGCCGCTTGGAAATGCGCTGCTAGGCCCGTCACTTTGCACACTGCAAGCAGCATTTATGCTGGTCGGTGGCGACGGCCAATTGAAAGCGGCCACCGCAGAATGAAGCGGATTGAAGTGGCCGGCACGCACATCCGACGCTTGAAGCATTGACCTGCGGTGCCCAATTTTGTCCGGCTGGTCGTGCGTTGCAGCTTGTACATGTTAATAATAAGCCATGCTTCGGGCCGATGTCTGCTGTGGCGATGCAATGCTAGGAACGCTGTACAGGGCGGGAGCTCACTTCATAGGAGTAAATGGGCTTCATTTTCAGGCACGCCTTCGCTGTGCGCATAAATATTATAACCTATACAACTACCATTTCGAAAACCATGGGTGCTCCAGAACCTCCTCCATACTTGGGCGCTTGTCAGCGTCTGCGTGCATCATCCGCTTCACGAGCTCCTTGACCTCGCTGCTAATCCGCCACCACTCGAGCTCGTCGAAGAAAATCTCGCCTGAAAGAGTTCGCTCCAGCATCTCGTCCTCGGACGGCGCGCTGAACGGCGAGTACCCGCACAGAATCGTGTACAGTACGGCACCCGCACTGAATACGTCGGCTGCGTACGAGATCTTGCCGTTCTGTAGCACCTCCGGCGCAGCGTAACCCACCGTGCAACTAACGGCCTTCTTGACCGTGCTCTTGTCTAGCTGCAACGCAGAACCGAAGTCGCCGAGCTTGACGGTCTCGAGCTGCAGCGCCGACACCTTAAAGAACAGGTTCTCGGGCTTGATGTCCAGGTGCACGATGCCGTGCTCGTGGCAGTGGTTGACGGCGCTAGCGATGTGGCGGAATAGCGTCTTCGCGTCGTGCTCGTCCATGCCGCCATTCTGGCTGATGAAGTCGAAGAGGTCGCCACCCACGCAGTTTTCCATGACCAGGTACGCCTTTTCTTTCTGGCGGAACGAGTCGTGAAGCGCGACGATATTAGGGTGGCTTGAGTAGTTGGTCAGCATGCGCTGAATCTCGATCTCGTTGCGAGCCGAGTGACTCTGCTTCGTGGATGAAGCTTCCATCGACTTCATCACGTAGGACGGGCGGCCGCGGTCCATCCATGTGGAGCACTCGACAACCGACGAGTTCTGCGTCTCCATGATCACGCCGCCCAGGGTGAACTTGGCGATCCAGCCGAGCAGGTCGACGGCGTCCTGCACCAGCTTGGCCCATTGATCGCGCTCGTTCTTGGTGTCAAACCTGAGGATCCATTTGTCTTGCAACACCTTGTCGTTCGAGCCTTTGGAGGCGGCGGAGCTGGGCGCGGGCGCTGAGCGCTCGCCGTCCGCAGGCATGCGGAAGTCGATGGACAGCTTGTTCTTGGGCAGGCGGTCCACGCGCGTCCACACGCTGATCATCTGGCGCTGGCGCACCTCGCCCTTCTCGCAGCGCGCGTATTCCATGTAGGGCACCGTGCCGGTCTGCAGGCGCACGATGCGCGGCACGAAGATCTTCATCCAGTCGGGCAGCGGCACCTGCTTCAGCACGCGCACGGAGTGGAGCTCGAACAGCTTCTTCTGCACCTGCTTCTGCGAGAGCGCGGCGCCGTCCGTCTCGAGGTCCTCCTCGAGGATCGTGAGGCGCTGGCCCGAGCGGTCGGCGCCGCCGTACAGGCTGCTGAGTCGCGACGTGCTGAGCGCCTCCGAGTCCAGCAGCGTGGAGTCCATGCCGCTGCTGCTCACGGCCGAGCAGCACGTCGAGTTGGTGAGGAAGGAGGAGCGCGCCTCCTTCGTGAGCGGCACGACGTCCATGTCGAGCGCGCTGAGGCCGACCATGCTTCCGCTATCTGTTCTGTCCTACGGGGCAAGTCAAACAATGGCCTGACTTGCGCTCTCCAGGGAAAATTGCCTTGTGAAGGCAGACTGGGAGCAAGCCGGGAGGCAGAGCCGGGACCATACATTCTGCGAGTGAAGGTGATTACGCGAGCGACGAGGGCTAGGGCCCGATAGTGGGAAAAGCAGGTGTCGTAATCGGCTCAAGTCAACCTGGCGCGTGCGCATTGGTCTAACACGCTCCCGAAGCGTACCTTTTCGACCAATGGACGGATAGGTTCGAAATATAACGGTAGTGGGTGCGCGCGAATGAAGGTAGAGTCGCTAGCGTCACTTTCTGCCTCCCGCCAGTGCGATTTTCCAAGATGTGCTCACATTTGGTCCTAGCCACACAGCGGGCCGCGCCGCCGCTCCACGACCCGGCCTATCTCGCCTTATCTCGTCTTACAGGGACATTTCGCCGCTTGGCGGGCGCTCCCAGAGCCGCGGCGGCGAGAGGATGTCGCGCGCATTACGTGGCGGCGGTGGCATGTCCGCGGCTGCGGGGTCGAGGCGTTCCAGTTTAGGTCAAGCGCCCCCTGACACGCAGTAACCCAGGTGGTTTTGCGACATACAGTTAGCGGCTTGACAGTCCGCGGTGACCAGCCATGCCGGCTGGCGACGTCCGCCCTACCGCCGGAGGCGAGATCGGACCAGCGCGCAAGCGACTTCAGTCCGGGCCCCGGACGAAAATATGGTGCCCCGGAGTCCGGGGCACCATATTTTCGCGCTGGGCTATTACCGGCTGGTCGCTCTGTTTCAGCAGGTGCCGCGCCGACTCGCCGCAGCAGGCCGACGACAAGGTGGCCGGCGAACGGCTGGCCCCGCATTTCGTCTATCGGTCAAAATATCATACAGCAGCGCAACGCAAATATTGTGCAGACTAGCAAAAAAAATGTGTGTGTACGGACGCTCGACTAACGCGCTTTACTCGAAAAGTTCGCTCGGAAAAAAAGCCCGGAAAGCGCGAGCACTGATGGCAACTGATGGCGCCTTGGCGCGAGCGTGTTCGCAGCCACCGCCTCCACCCTCGCAGCCAGATTGCGGCGGTGGAGTTGACGCCGAGCGCAGGGCGCCGATGGTGTTTACGACGGCGGCGGGGTCCGCGGTGGCGGCGCGGCTCGTCGTACATTTTGCATCGATCGTTCGTACGCTTTCCGTGGTTGTGCGTACATTATGAAGTTTGACGCTTGAAAGTTGAAGTTTTTGCTGAGCCAGTCAAGGCCGTCCCACTCTCGCGCAAGCGGCGCAATCGGCGGCGTGTCGGACCGCGCGGCCATTGGCTGAAAGTATATTTTTGGCCGCGGCGAGCGCAATCTCGCACACCGGATTAGTGGCCCTCTTCAGCAAACGCTTGGAACCTGAAACCTGTCGCGGTTCCAGGGAAAATTGCCTTCAGCATATTTCTTACCTGAAACCGCGAAAAATGTTCCAAGATTACCTCGTTTTAGTGACAAAGTTTCTTGAAGCTTGGAACTTTTAATCGAATAGAAGGTCGTGTGGGCCACACCACCAATGATGGCGGAGCCTGCCGTGCATGCAGCGGAGACAGCTCAGCTCGACTGAGGGCGCGCTCTGCTGCAATAACAGCACCACGAACTCTGCGTGCGCGCACAGGGACTTATGCACCCGAGTGCCATCGAGAGCTCTCGAGCACGGCCACCACCTCTCCTCTCTCGCTGCTGGTGTTCATGCCGCACGCCGGCGCTCGCGTGGCCAACGAACGCGTGGGAAGTGGAAATGAGGGAGGGCACTGCAAAATTTTATGTACAGAATGAATGTTGTGAAAGTGTGCGGTTCCAGGTGAATTTACCTGAAGTGCCTCGAAAAACTGCATCTTGAAACTTTTTCCAGGTTTCAGGTTCCAAATTTGCTGAAGAGGGCCAGTGTACCTCGCCGCAGGTGTCCCTAGTCGGAACGGCTCGGACCGTTCCAACTCTGCGTGGGCGACGATGAGTGCCTGAGGTTGTCCACCTGCTGTAGCCGCGGGCGAGAAGTTGTGGGCCGTGGGCCGGGTTGTCTCGAAAGTGGAGACCCGTGGGCCGCTACCCGGAGGTATCTCGGAGGGATGATGTGTCTCGCAGTGTCGTGGTGGGACTTCGGGGACGGATGGCATGTTGGGCGGCTTTGAGGGCCGTCAAGGTGAACGGATCAAGTCTTTAGGGGTGAGCGGGAACGGAGTCACTCGAAGGCACTGAAACGCAAGGATCTGCAGAGGTAGAGAGGAAGAGTTAGGAGTAGAAGGAAGGTCAGTCGTGAATTTTGCTTAAAAGGACCACACAGGTCGTAAGGAACACTTATTGCATTTTGCTTGGTGATCTCCTTGCTATTTGTGCCCCATAAACCTATAAGCACAGGCAACACTTACTACTCCTATACAGCGGCGGCCGGCCCCAAACCGGTCCGACAAAGCGACTCGCGACACGTGGTGGAGAAGCTGGGTAGTGTTGCCGACTGTGGAGTGAACAGTGCTGAGAGCCTGTGCCCGGAAGTGAACAAAGTCAAGAGCCGAGCGTCTGGACCTGGTGACTGGACGTGTGACCCCCCCCCCCCTCCTCGTGTTTAAAGTGTGCCAGGGAAGGACCCAGGAGTCCGCACACGAGTACACGCCGCGCGGGAAAAGCGGCGTCGAGGAGCAGTGAGAGGAGCGATCCAGGCCGGTAGGACAAGGGAACGGTAACGTAGACACAAGAGCCAAGTGTGCACGGTCACTAGCAAGAGGTTAAGTGAACAAGGAACGGTAAACTGAGAGTGAACAAGGAACGGTAAACTGAGAAGAGAAGATGCCAGGAGGACAAGGAGGAAGAGGCGGTAACGCTGAGGAAGCAGCACGCCGCCGGGCTGAACAAGAAGAAAGAGCGCGTGCTGAGCGCGCCGAGGCAGAGCGTGCCGCACGGGCCGAAGCAGAGCGTGCCGCTCGAGCAGAAGCTGAACGTGCCGAACGACGTGGGCAGAGACTCTCGACACCGGCTTCCGGGATGCCGATGATCGGGATTGCGCCGCCGCCGTCCCAGCGACAGAGGGCCCCGCTGCCGCCCAGCCCGGCTGGAGCGGGCGCGCCGGACCCGGTTGAAGAGGGATTGAGGAGCTGGAGCGGTGGAGGAAGATCTTCCTCCACTGTAACAGGGTTACACGCACAAGTGCCTACAGTCACTTGTAACTCTAACAGACACGACGTCTGTTAGAGGTCCGAAAGACTTTCTCGTCCTTGGTGTAGACACACCAAAGGCTACATACATTTACGATCACCACGACGGGTGGTCCATAGAGACTTAGGATTCCTATTGGCTGAAAGCAGCATCTTTTAGCCAATGAGCGACATGTATAGCATTGGAATTCTGCCAACCAGCCGTTGGCAGATTCCCAGTTTAGAATATTACATTTAGAGAAAGTCAGAAGCATAAACAAAAATAGCAGTTCTCATTTTAACTCAAAAATATTATTTGGATCGTTTATTTAGATTAATTTATACTCAGAGGCCCGAGTATAAATAACTCTAATATAAACTGGAGGAGGTGCCGCTCCGTACGGAGGCGGGTACCCTGGCTGCCCGGTTGGCGGGTACGGCTGACTTGGTGGGTAACCAGGCTGCTGCGGTTGACCGGGAGCTGGATATTGATGATACGGTTGGCTTGGCGGATAAGCAGGCTGCTGTGGATAACCCTGCGGCGGCGCGTAGTTTTGCTGCTGGTATCCATGTTGCGGTGGCGGATAATTGGCCTGCTGCGGGGGGTAACCAGATTGCGGCTGATAGTTTGGTTGCTGTTGCGGAGGGTAGTCCGGTTGCTGGGGTGGATAGCTGGACTGTTGCGGCGGATATGGCTGTGCTGGCTGCGGGTACCCCGGTTGTTCTTGCGGTGGTTGCCCAGGATATCCTAGCTGTTGTTGTTGTCCAGGATAACCGGGCTGTTGTTGTTGGCCAGGGTATCCGGGCTGCTGCTGCTGCTGTTGTCCTGGGTATCCAGGCTGCGGGTATCCCTGTTGCTGCGGTTGTCCAGGGTAACCCGATTGTGCTTGCTGTGGTTGATGCTGAGGGGCAGGGTAACCTGATTGATGCTGCTGTGGAGGGTACCCAGACTGTTGCTGCGGAGAAGGATAGCCTGCTGTCTGCCCCTGGCTTTGAGCTGTCGTTTGACCAGGGTAGCTGCCTCCACTCGGTGATGAATAACTTCCTCCGGGTTGTGACGTGGGCGTCTGTTGAGGGATAGCACCATAGGCGGATTGGGCCGGTTGGCCATAGACTTGTTGTCCTGCCGGCGTTGGGTACGCTGGCGACGCACTATATCCTGGAGCGGAAGAGTGCAGACTAGTGGTTGAAGCTGCATACGAAGTCTGGGTCGACAGATATGCCGGGGAACTGGCGCCAGCGGCTGTACTGATCCCACTAGAAGATGCGGCTCCACTCGACCCCACAACCTTGGACCGCGGTGAATCTTGGGGTGCGTCAAACACCTCCAGCAAAAGTCGTTTGTAGTCGCCGCTTGTCTCGCCACTGATGCGATCCCGTAGTTCCTCGTGGTACAGCTTTTTGTACGCAGCCTTGACGTGAGGCAACACGGATTGATAGCGCACAAGCGCCGTGCTCAGCCCCGTCTCATCCGTTCCGAAGCCTTTCATGGTCTTCTCGAACACCTCCGCAATCGCGGGGTACGGGTCGATGTAGTGTTGAAGTACCGGCAGAACTGTTTAAGCTGCTAAAGCGGTTAACGCTGGTTTTGCAGATAAAACCGACGGATTCATCTGACAAAATTATTGGACATGTAATTTTGTAATAGCTCAATGGCTATATCAGTAGTATTCAGAACATATATGGCTATTCAGGTACTTACGGATGCTCGTTTTTGCAATTTTTTTCTGACGCGCGTCAAGCATTGCACTTCAATCTCAACCATCACTCCTCATTCCGCATTTTGCGCACTCGAGATGAGCGCCCTTGCTGCGCCCGCAGAACGCCTGCGCTGGGATCCGATTACGAGGTACGAAGGGGAGCTGCGAGACGATGGGGCGAGGCTAATGTGGCGCTGTCGACGCAGCTACGATGGGAGGAGGACGGCCGATATCGGAAGTGTGGAAGCACTTCGAAGGGCAGAAGAACGCAGCGTGTAAGCGGTGTAAAGAAGTGATCGTGAACGCGAAGGTGGAGAAGCTGGAGCGTCACATCCTCAAGAACTGTCGCTGCTGATCTGCGCATGAGAAGAGTGCGTACATCGACGCCGCTGCTCAGCGCAGCCGTCAGTCCATCTTTCGAGCCAGTATGGATTCAACTTCTTCGTCGAGCGCTGGCGATGATGGTAGCAGCAGTGAAACCGCGCAAATGACTCAAGAAGAGTTCAATAAGTTTGTCGCGAACTATATCTACACCACTCCGCTGTCGTTGCGGGCTGTGGAGAAACCTGGATTCCAGACGTTCGCGTTGAAGGGCCGACCTGCTGGGCTGAAGGTGCCGTCGCGTCCACTAGTGTATGGACGTCTTCTGATCGACGCTGTTGACGAAGAAGTGGAGTTGCTCGTGGAGGATACGAAAGACGTTGCTTTTATCGTGCTGGTGATGGATGGCTGTACGTCGGTGAGCCACTGGAAGATGATGAACGACATGCTGAACGGCCAAAACATGAAGCCCGTCGTGTGGAGAATTGTCGTGACCGAGGAGAATTTGCAAACGGCAGAGTACATTGCGGGTGTGACTGTGGAGGAGGTGAAAGAAGTGGAGCTTAGATTCGGGAGAGTCAGCTGCGTCACAGGCGTCATGTCGGACAATGCCAGCACAATGCAAGCTACATGTGATATTTTGGAGAAGGAGCACGGGCTCATATGTGCCGGCTGTGGAGCTCACACAATGAATCTACTTGCTCAGGACATTGCGAAGCTACCAGTCGTGATGAACGTGATGGAAAAGGTTCTGACCTTGGCGAGATTCGTCACCGACCGCAAACGTCTTCGAGCCAAGTTTGAGAAGGAGCGGAAGGCAATTGTGCAGAGCCAGTCGAGAGAATGCTTCAACCAAACACTCTCCCTTCCGGTCGTGACACGATGGTACTCTTCCTACGACTGCCTCGCTAGCGTGATCAAAAACAAAGCAGTATTCACGCGTGTTTTCCAGGACAGCGAATTCATGGCCTCGTACAAACCAAAGCCAACTCGAGCCACTGGCAAGCGAAAACGGGGAGAGGTCGAGCCCCCAAAACCGTCGCAGTACGAAGTGGCTGAAAGCATTCTGAAGGATGACAACTTTTGGGTGCAGGGGAAGCAAGGACGGCTGTCCTCCGGGCATGGTGTACTAGAGTTTTGTGGACTTGCTGAAGAAGCCCGTGTATGTCAGTCCACAGTTTTTGGGCGACCCTGCTAGGGATATTTTGGAGTGTATCGTGTGACGAAGCGCCCGTGCTTTTTGAAGGCTCAAGTTGCTTGACCGCTCGACCTTGGTCTTCGCTCAGCCCTTGCACCACTTGGCTCAGCCCTGCTTAGTGCTGCAAGATTTCCGCTCAGCTCCTTCCACTGAGCGAACACTCCCACTCCACTTCGCTAGGCTTAGCCGCTTGAACGCTTGGATCAGCTCCGACTCGGGTCGTGCGAGGCGTGTGTTCCTCACTCTGCGACCCCCTTGGCGGTTCTTTTAATCACGGCTACGCTGTGGGCCCAGACTTGCGTCGGCCACACCAGCTGCTGTCGATATTGAAGGTCTCCGGAGGTGTTCCCAGACGAAACTCGCTCCCCACTTGGCGAGTCCCAGTCCGCACGTGTTCACAGCCCGAAATGCCCCGGGTTTTCCTTAATGAACACGACACAACACACAATACAGCCTCCACTTCCTCTCTTTGGTTCCGGCTCAGAACCACAACACCCCTTCTTTCCCGGTCGGCCTGGGTCTGGGCCGAGTTCGCCTTTATTTCTCTGAGCCTGGGTGAGGCTCGTACCAGCTACTCCTTTCTTCCCTTCGAGTCAAGCAACGACCCGGTCTGGAGTTAGTGACTCGGTTTGAGCCTAGTCCGAATCCAAGGCACTCACACACACCCTGGGACTACCCGCGCACCAGGTCCACAATGAACCGATACTAATAATCACACAATGTACCGGGGCACGCCAATGTCCCCAAGCACACAATACAATTACCCTGCCTAAACCTCAGAATGGATCACCTTCCACCCGAAAATATAAAATACACCCTAAGATGTAACAGTAATATGAAATAACCGTACTGCCGTCGCACCGAAGCACTCTGACAACGTTGATATGTTAGCTTGAATTTGTGTGGATGATCGCCAAGACACCTTCTGGCCAAAGACCTCCACCACTTGCATCCTTCGGGGCAAAACGAACCCTGTTTAAATGTTTACACATGCACAAACTAGGACTCACTAAGTGGGGGCGCAATATCCCCCTGGGTACACACTGACTGGCTGCGCGAAGAGCGTCGGCTGTATGCTTACCGGGTGTCCTTGAAGATTCGCCCGATATCCTTGGTCTTAGCCAATGCGGCGGCTCCACGTCGGCGGGCGTCGTCTTGGAGCCGCTGGAGACCGTTGAGATCCGTTTGAAGTGTTCGCGATCTTGAGCGATCGCACCCAATGTGGGCTGGCTCATGGCTGATTCACCGGATGAGTGTACTCGCCGGTGCCACCAACTTCGCCGTCAGTACCATTGTCTGGACTTAAGTTCAGTGACTCTTCACCCGGCACTTCAACTGGACTCCGACAACTCCGCTCAGGCCCATGCCACTCCGCTCAGATCTGCAACACTGCGCTCGGCTTCTCGACTTGAGCAAAGACTTCAAACATCGCATTCGACGCCGGGATCGGACTCCACGTCACTCCGCTCAGACCTTCGATCCTCTCCCAGCTTGTCGACTTGGGTGAAGGTTCCATGATCACAGTAAAAGCCGGGCTCGGGCTCGGCACGACCTCGCTCGGACGCCTGCTCCTCGACTCATCTCGGCATCTTGGACGACGGCCCCACAACCGCTGGGGAGGTTGAGCTCAAACTCCACCCAGCTCCGCTCAGCTCCTCGACCCGAGCGGGGGACTCCGGTCATCACACTCGAGGCTCAGCTCAGACTCCGCGTAGCTTCTCTCTGCTTCCTGGACTCAGCTCAGACTTGGGATACCCAACACCAGACATCTCGGGTCTCAGACAATCTTCACTCAAGCCCAGAGTCTGAGCGGAGCTCCGCCCAGACCTCGGGCTCAGCTTCCTTCGTCGCACGGCTCGTGTCCGACAGTGGTGGTCCAGATCCATCACGGCCATGACGCACTTGAAGTCTGCTTGATTGATACGGGTCAGCATCCTGGATTGATACGGGTCCGCTGGACATGGGTTCGGTGGCAAAATCCACCGAGCCTTTTCACAACCGTCCCTTATGAGTGCCGAGTTCACGGAGGTCATTTCCGACTTGGATCCGGTGCCCATAACCCAGATGCCCCGCACTGCCTCGTCCCACAACCGTCCGATCCTGCCAAACTTGTGGAGTGTAATCCCGGGCCATTTGCGAAATTCCAGTCGAGTGCAGAGACAGCAGTGGCAACTGCAGCACCAGCAAGTGCTGCGCTTCCGCGGCCATCCACCTCTTCTCGTCTGCGCTCGCCGGTTCCGGTATCTCGCGCCACGCATGGCGGACCAGCAGTAACACGGCGTGCCGCCTGTAACGAGGTTACACGCACAAGTGGCTACAGTCACTTGTTACTCTAACAGATGCGATGTTTGTTAGAGGTTTGAACACTTCCTCGACCTTGGTGTAAGGTACACCAATGGCTACATACATTTACGACCATGGTCCATACACATTTAGGATTCCTATTGGCTGAAAGCAGCATCTTTTAGCCAATGAGTGACTTGCATGTTAGCAGAATCCTGTCAACCACCCGTTGGCAGATTCCTAGTTTAGAATATTACATTTAGAGGAAGTCAGAAACATAAAACAAAAATTGCAGTTCTCATCTTTTACCAAAACCCGCTACTTGGAGTATTTATCTTGTTCAAAGTATAATCGTGGATCTCGAGTATACTTAACTCAAGTAAAAGAAACCTACGCTTCCTCATACACGTGCGCACACGTGTAAGCCGTAGTAGTGAGCCAAGGTAGGCCCATTACACCGCCGGCAGGCGGCATAAATCAAGTTCCAGCATCGCGAGGCGCTCCTGCGGCCCCCGCAACGCTCCAGGCATCGTCTAGAGCGCCATTGGCTGTTTCCAAGAAGGAATCTCCCAGCGCTCGTTCGGACCTGGACGCAGCAAAGGCTGTGTCCAACCAGTTCAGCTGGGATGGCACTCGCCCAGACGTCCAAGAGCTCATGTTGGCCGGCGTGGCGTTCTGGGATGCAGTGGATGAAGTCCAGAAGGACCAGATGCTCCACGACCAGTTCGGCAAGAAGAACTTGATCTACATGTTGACTTCAGCGATGTACTGGGAGGCTCTGGACGGCACCACGTGGATGCAGTACGTGGATGCAGTATGTCCGAGACAAGTACTTCGATGCAGCTGCGACCAGACTCCAGGCTCCCGGTCTGACAAGAATCCCAGTTCCCTGGCGGACCCTGCCCAAGAAACCAAGCGCAAGCGACAATGACTCGGATTCCTCGTTCATGTCTGTGCTGTCCTCAGAGGACACTGATGACAACGACGGCGACCAGAGTTACCACGGGTCGAAGGCCAAGGCTCCCAGCTCCATCAGCACCAGATCTCAGAGTTCTCCAGCAGACAAAAAGCGACAACGGAGTTCGACGTCTTCTGGGGGCAGCTCAGTGACCAAACGCCAGCACTCAGCCTCAGGGACCTCCGTGACCTCAGCTGACCCTGAGCCAGACGAAGCTGAGACTCCTGAGGAAGGTGTCGACAATGACATCATCGAGGCTCCCAAGAGAGGAAGCTGGTTTCACAACGGCATCCGAGTCCAGAAGCTGCACCACCAGACGATCGGTTTCCCAGCTTACATGCCGTCCAAGACGGGGATCGAGCAGCTCCACAAGCGCATCGAGTACGCGTATTATCTGGAGCTGCTCAGATCAGACTCCTGGGACGACATGTGGGATGGCCGAGTTGACTTCCTCGTCTACCACACGTATGCAGAACTCACTCCTGAGATGTGCGAAGCGGTCGTCGTAATTGCTGGGCTTATGAGTGCTTGGCGTCGAGCGTATTGGGAGCGACTCCACTGGTATCCGTTCCCGTCCAAGATCGACTACGTTCAGCTCACCAAGGAACTGGGCCTGCCTGAGCTGGCCACCGTCTACCGAGAGCTCAAGGACCGTGCCCAAGAGTTCGAGCTTCGTCGCAGGAACTTGATCGACCAGCTCAGGGGCGTCAAGGGTTACTCGGATCGGATCTGGTTCGAGCCCGGACTCTGGGATGTGCCCAAGGATCCGTGCCACTAGATTCTCCGAGACCCAGATCTCAAGATCTCGCTGGCTGACCAACTTTTGACCCTGGACGACCAAGAACCAGTTCGCACGCAATGGGCCACCCGCCGCTCGGACAAGCAGTTCGAAGCGATCGTCCCGCCTGAGCTCAAGCCCAAGAGCAGAGCCGAACGAGAGGCGAACCCAATTATCCCAGCACCGGAGTACAACCACGATACGCTTGCTGAGGTGCTTCGCACTCTGGAAGCCGTACAAGAGGAGGAGACTGAGGAAGCGTAGGCAACGAGCGTTCATCATTATTTCTAATTCACCACTCGTTTTGATACTTCTCGTCTCCTTCCTCATTGATCTCAGGTCCTCGGTGCGCGTTCACCTCGCGCTCATCCACCGTTCTCCACGAGAAACTCCAAGTCATTCTCCACCTCACGTAGCATAGTCGTAAATTCACATAATACAAAGGGATCACACATAGAACGTCACAGCGACATACACAGGTTCACAGCTGACATGCCTCTACGGAGCATCGGGCTCAGGAGGCTCATCCCCAGCTTGCATTGCTTGGAACCGTGCTTTCGCCTTGGCGCTCTTGTTGAACTCGTACAGTAAAGCTCCACAACTTAGCTGAGACATGGGAAGCCACTCAGTGTCAGGGTACCCCTTCCACTTGACCAAGTACTGTCGGACTCTCCGTGAAGTCCGGGTCCGCTTACCCAGCGCACATCCTGGATGGCCTCCACTTCGTACACATTCTGAGTTTCATAGGGATCTTCAGCATCTTCGGGCAACAGAGCTGCGTCCAGATCATCATCCTCAGCGACTTCAATCTCAACTGTAGGTCGTTCAGGGAACAGGGCACGCGGCTTGAGTCGACTTATGTGGACCCAAGGATACAGCTTGTACCCAGTCCCTTCGATCTTCAGCTTGCATCGGAAGCCATCTGAGGTCCCCAGAATCCGGAACGGACCGTGCCAGAGGTGAGCGAACGTCTTCGTGAGCCCAGGTTGCACTCGAGCTAGGTATAACCACACAGCATCACCAACTTCGAAACTCTTCTTGAGTCTCTCAGACAGCTCAGCCCAGATTTTTGTCTGAGCAGCCGAGCGTTTGACCTTGGCCTCAGCTTGTAAATCCTTAGTCCAGGCCTGAGCGTACTCGTACTCGCGCTGAGTCTTGCGACGCCACTCATAGGCAGTCCTCTGATGCAAGCCCGTCGGAGATGGTCCCAACATGGCCGAAACAGTGCTGTGAGGATCCCAGCCGTGAACCAGGTAGAACGGCGTCTCGACACGGGTGGCGTCGAAGGACGTGTTCAGAGCCCACATCAACTTCTCCACCTGGTCATCCCAGTCGCTCTGATCTGGTTCAGCGACGTACGCTCGAACCACTGTTTGTACTGAGCGCTCTTGCTGGCCATTTGCCTGAGGTCTGTACGCCAGAGTTGCACGCTGCCGACTTCCCAGCATCTCGCGGAACCTGGCGAACACCTCACTCATGAAACGTGGATCACGGTCGTGGCGGAGCAGAAAGCTCGCACAAGACCTCTGGAACACACAATCCATGTAGGCTCAGCGACATCTTGAGCTGTGGTCAGACTCATCGGCTTGCACATGATGAAGCCTGAGAATGCACACTGGAACAGGAGCAGGAACACATTTCCACGGTCGGACTTGGGTAGATGCGTAACGAAATCCATAGAGACCACCTCAAAGGGCTTACTCGCCAAAATGTTTCCCGGCGATGGCCCAGGGTTAGGCTCCCTTGGCAGTGACACTCCTTCACATAGCGTTCCACGTCGGTGTACATCCTCGGCCAGTAGTACTCCCTGCGCAGTCGTTCGAAGGCCCTAGTGATCCCTAGGTGACCACCTTGGAACTCTTCATGGCTGAGCTGAAGCAAGTCACTCTCAGCGCCGTTGGCACAACCAATCTCAGATTCCCAGCTGCGTGCCTGGGCCTTCCCGGAGTAGCTCGACTCAGATAGTAGCGGACTCCTCTAGAATCAAGGGTGAACTGGTCCACCACCTTGGCCACATCTTCAGCTTTAGTAGCAGAAAGGTTCCCCAAGTCTCCGTTCAGATAATCTTTGAGCTTCTCCGTCCAGAGCTCAGCCTCCTGCAGAACTAGGATGCGTCTCCATCGTTCAGCGATTGACGCAGCAGGAGTTGCCGCTTCAGGTGAGTACGCTGGAGCTTGCTCAGCGGGGAGCTCAGCATTCTGGTCAGGATCGACACCTTGGTCGGAGTCGTCCTTGGCTGCTGTGGTCTCAGCGTCCCTGGCCCGAGCTTGGTTTCTAGTCACCACGAAGATCTTGGCGCTGGGCAACAGGGGCTTGGCAGCATCTTCCAGCGGAGTTGGCTCAACCACCACTTCCACATCAGCATGAGTGTCAGGCTGCTCTGTCTCAGGCTCAGCAGGCTCAGGTTCATTCACCTTGATCAGCTTCTTCAGGATCCGATTCAGTTGCTTGAGCTGAACTCGTTCGACCGGGTCTTCTATGGTGACAGGACCTTGAATCACCAGAGTCTTCGACGTGAGGTAGTCTGCAGCTGCGTTATACTCTCGCTTCACATGTACCAATCGCAATCGTTGGAACTCTGGGCGAAGCGTCTCGAACTCAGCCAGCAGCGCTTGCAGCCCTGGGCTCAGACACTGGATCAAGCCCTGAGCTTGCTGAATGACAATCCGAGAGTCACCAACCACCACAAGGTCTGAGATGCCACGAGCCTTCGCCATGCGGACGCCTTCAAGCAAAACGTGATACCCAGCTTCGCTCACCGTAATGCCTTCAAAGTGGAACCCTCGAGCTTCAACCACGTCCCAGGACGGGAGCTTCCACAGAATGCAGCCAGAAGCGCCAGAGCGATCTGAGAGTTTGGCGGCTCCATCGAAGCTGAGCAGCCATCCCTCGTAGTCCGCCTCCAGCATCTCCAGGCTGATCGGTGGGGCTCGGACAACTCGTCCCTTGTCTGGGATGAGGTTCTCTGCGATCTTGTCCAACTGGTCACGCGGAGTGATTCCAGCTCCCATGATCGCGGCCAAACCATCTTCATCGTGTTCGACCTTATGAACCTCCAGAGGCCAGGGTGACAGCCGTGCAGCCCACTGCTCACAGCGTCCCCCTAGCGATCGGGACTTGAACAACCATTTCCGAACAGAGTACCGGGTGTAGACCTTCAGCAGCTTGCAACCACTCTACATCGAGTACAAGACTCTGAGAACCCGGAGCAACGCTACAACCTCCTTCTCAGCCGGGTGGTATCTGAACCCCTGATCATGCAGTGTCCTCCCAGTGTATCGTACCGGGAAAATGACTCCATCGTACTCTTGGCCCAGCACCGCACAGACTGCCCAGGGATTAGCGTGTAGAATAATCACGAACGGCTTCTCCCTGTCCGGGTGTCTGAGCAGCGGGGTAGAGACAATCTTCTGCTTCAGGATTTCAAACGCCTCCTTAGCTCGGCCGAGATCACGACGAGCTTGGATCTGCTCATCCGTCAACTCGTAGAGCACAGACGCTACAACCGGGAGGTCTTCAATAAACTTGTTGTAGCAGTTGAGACTCTCCAGGAATGACTGTACTCCTTTCAGCGTAAAGGCAGGTCCTTGACTCCCTTGGCGATCTTCGGCTTAGCTCGAATTCCCTCGGCTCCAATCTCATACGAGAGATAGGAAATTGACTTCTTGCCAAACTCACTCTTGGGCAAGCTCACCGAAATTCCCCAGTATCTCAGTCGATAAAGCAACCGGTCCAAGACCTCGCACATCTGGTCCTAGGTCTCCGCTCCATACGCGATGTCATCGATGTAGGAGCTTCGTCCCAGAACAGGGCTCAGCTGAGGCGGGGCCGGAATGTTTCGCCGGAACACAGTAGTCTCCTCAGACAGAGGCGGGATTTATTCCTCCTGAGCGGAGTCGTCCACCTCGATGCCTAGGAACTCCAGCACGTCCGGATCAACTCGGGCCTCCTCGCAGGGCGGAAGTCGCACGAAACCCCACAGACAATTATCGAGCATCTGCTGGTAGATCAACGGGGCGTTCTTGAGGCCAAACGGCATGCGCTTCCACTGGAAGTGTCCCAGCGGACAGATGAAGGCTGAGATCAGCTTGGCCCGGAGTGTCATCGGCACTGCCCAGAATCCGCTGGCCATGTCCAAGCTCAGGAACCACATCGCTTCCTCAAAACCGATCAACAGATCGTCAATCAAGGGCAGAGGTTAGTGTGAGAGCTTGATCAGTTGATTGACCAGTCGATAGTCGATGCACAGCCTGATATCCACACCGTTCTTCTTCATCACAATCACAATTGGCGAAGCCCAGTCTGAGTGCGAATACTCGATGAGCCCAGTCTCCAGCAGCTTCTTGATCAGAGCGAACACCTTGTCGACCAAGTGCGTTGGGACCTGCCGAGACGTCTGAGCGATGGGCTTCGCGTCCCCAACATCCAAGTCACAGACAACTCCACGAGCAGGGGCTGGTACTGCATTTCCGTCCTCGAAAAAACTGGCATGATGTTTTTCCAGAATCGTCCGCACTTGAGCGTCCATTTCTGGAGTCGTAACGCCTGTTTCTCCCACGTTAGCCGTTGCGAGGTCCACGTTCGGACTGAGGTCCTTCAACTCCGGAAGAGCGGCGAGCTGGTCCCGGAGGTCATTCAGCAATTCCGTGCCTTCATGGAAGTACACTGTGGCTTCGTCGGCGTCCTCACTGATCTCAACTCTGAGACAACGAGCATACGTTTCCTGAAGACGAGCAATTGGATCAGACACGAAGTCGGTCGGCTCAGCCCTGAACACTCGGTCCAGCTCGTTCCGAGCTTCTTGGGCATTCACACCACCTCCAGCAGGAGAGGTTTGAGCTGGGCTTGATTCCGAGGAACTTGGCTCAGTCGCAGACTGAGTGTCAGCTCCCTCCGATGTGCCTCCTTGGTTCGTCCCTGACTGCACATCATCCGGGTGAGGCGATCGCGACAGCGGCGGCTTCCATGACGCAGGACTTCCCAGATGTGTCCGGGCCATCTTGACTTGAGTGGTCTCAGGCGACACCGTATTGGCGGCGTACGTCTCAGCTCTCCGCTGCTTCATGTTGGATCGGTCTTCCTTCGGGTCATCAGAGCAGCAGCAGCTTCATAGGTCGCTTGTAGGCTGCCGTCTCCACAGCGGGTGGAGCATTGAGCTCAGCTAGCCGAGCCGCTTCCTCTTCTCGTTTCGGAAAGTCTGGAGAGGGCTCGGCTTCGTAGATGAGCTGAGCCCATTCGCTGTACTTCCACGAGTAAGGTCGCGCGAACCGCTTCCCGTTGGGCAGGTAACCCTTCTCGACAAGGCAGGCAGCCACAGTGTGCTGGCGGATCATGACCTCTCGCTCTGAGATGTTGACCACCATGACAGCCTTCGGTCTCCGCCCAGGTCCATAGATGAACTGTGCAACCCACTGATCACCGCGCCCGACCCAGGGAATCACCTTCTCTGGGTCAGCTTGGTGATACTTGACCGGGACTATCACAGATTGTCCAGGGTAAAGGTAGGCAGTCTCCTTCAGCCAGACGCTGACTTCCAGCCCGACATGGTCGATCTCAGGCCCTCCAACCAACAACAGAGACTCTTCGTCCGGCAGCCTCACAACACCTTCACGAGCACAGAATCGTACTCCAGCTGCCACCATAAAGTCCATTCCGAGAAGACAATCAACTCCTTCACCGATGTTGCCAACCCAGACATCCATAACGTACACCACGCGCACTCCCAGCGTCAGCTTGATCTTAGCTTGGGCGGTAATGTAGGTCGGAGCATCTCCCACCCCAGCTACGCTGAGCCTGAAACCACGGCGTAGCTTGAGCTTCAATCTGCGTGCAAGATCTAAGCCCAAAATGCTTGTCGTAGCTCCAGTATCCAGTAGTATCTGCGTTCGGTGATGAATTGCTCCGTGCACCATTGCCATCTTCCGCTTCTCGCCAGTTAGGGTGTGTTCACTCCACCAACCATACTTCTCGCCCGGAGTCAGAGCGAACTCAAGATGGTTCTCCATCTCATCCTCCGGGTCCAGCGTGTTGAGGTCAGTATCGAAAATGTAAACACCAGCTTCATAATAAGAGGTTGTGCATTCGGGGTTATCTCTGCGCCAACATGGAAGGGCTGGGCCCACATATCCAAAGGCACAGAGCGCTTGGGACCTAGGCTCGTCACGCACTGGTCTCCCAACCAGCGAGCCTAGTGGTTTAACGACTTCTCTTGGAGCTCCGGGCTATCCAACAGAGCTTGGATTACCTCAGAAGCGAGGCCCTCGACCGAGCCTCCAGTACGGATTGCCTCGCGTACCGCCTTGAGTGCCGACCACATATCGCACAAACCCCGGCAATGGTATTCACCACACTTGGAACACGGCTGACGCCTGCAGAATTGGGTCGGGTGACCCTCATCATGGCATCGCCCACAGATAAGTCGGCTCCAGCACTTGTCAGTCGGGTGGTTACGACTGCCACATTCGTCACATTTCTGCTCTGGATGCTGGTCTCCTCCACGGTCATAGTGCTGAGCGTTCGGCTTCTAGGCCAATCTCTCAGCGACTCGGAAAATTTCTTCATCGGTCAGGGAAGTAGAGCGACTGGGCTCAGCTTGAGCTGAGCTTGCAACAGCAGCAGCTGGCGGGGGGGCAGGCGGAGACATGGTTAGCCGAGCGGTCCACATCTTCTTCAGAATCAGCCTCGTACTTTAGGTCGTAGTCATCCTGGAAGTGTGCATTGAGGCGAGGCGGGTGAACGCCTTTTCCGCCTAGGTGTATAATGTGCGAATGTTCCGGGAGAACAAAGTCCCTTAGAACTTCTCAGGCGGATACACCAGAAGATGTCCGCCCGAGATGGCGTGTGTTCCTTGTGACAATCTCTCTCGGGTCGTTTGTCTTCGAACCAAGGAGCTCGGCCGAGTTGGTGAGTTGTTGTACACTGTTGGGTTTCCGAGCGGGGTGCGATACGTACTTCCAAACGTAGTCCCTACGACTCTGGACGATAACCACAAATACAGAGTTATACACAAATACAAATATCCGTCACTTATTCTTTCGGACCCTCGGGCGGTGGGTCACTACTCCAGTCAACTAACGAGTCGTATCCAGGGTACTGGTCAACCCTGGGCGACTTCAAACGCGCACCACTCCCAAATTTACTGAGAGAAAATAACCAATATCAATACCCTACCACACAATCGACTTCCAGCCAAGTCCCAGGCGGCGCTATTCATTCCGCCCGAGATGTAATCGATAATATGAAATGCAGGACCTCGCTCTGGGCGAGTATACGGCTGCACCTAGGAAATGAAATAGGCGGATCACCCTGAGACGCCTGTACGCCCCAGTCCCCTTACCTAACTCGGCGTACATGGCCCCTCGGTATCATGGACTTCTGGAGATCCCTGAACGCCTCTAGAAGACCAATGTGACTTCGAACCAACTTCACAATCGTGTAAGCTTCAGCTTGCACATCCGAAACGAAGGTGACGGTCTTGAAAATCTCCTCCATCACCAAGTTAAGCACGTGGGCGGCACATCCGCCACCGAACACCGGAAGCTTGCTCTCGAGAATCTTCCACGCAGCCACCATATTGCTTGCGTTGTCCGTGAGAATCGCGGCCACCAAGGCCCCCGTCTTCGTCTGGATTTTGTTCCTCACTCGTTCCAGATGGCCCGCCAAAAATTGCGCCGTGTGCTTCACCTTGCCAACGTTGAGAGATAACCAGTATAACGACGGCATACCGGGGCCGGCTGCCATGAAGTTGATGATACTGCACTTGTTTATATCGGTGTATATGTCCGTCGTAATAGTCACTGCACCTTGCTTCTTGAGTGCTGCGATGACCTCCGCCTCGACAACATCACGAACGAGAGGCAGAAGGACGTTCGTAAGCTTCGTTTTTGAGGGCAGCCTCAAATGGGGGACCAATACCGAGAAGAACTTGCGCACAAGCGGCGACTCAATCAGGACGAACGCTAACGAGCACTCAAACCACAGACGCGCCACCATCATGTCAAATTGTTCTTGTGTTCACTGGGCTCGCCGTCGGGAAGTTCGCGCTCGCTTGTGGTGCTGAAGTCTGAGCGGGGGCGGTCGGTGCAGCGCCTGGGGCAACTGGCTGCGATGGCGACACGGTCGTTGCCCCCTCGGGCACGTTGTACACCCTCCAGATAAAATGCTTGTCCAACAGAGAAATATCATCGCACTGGAGAACGTGGGGCACCATGTTGCGCTGAGGCTTGCCACTGCCAAGATACTGGCGGCACCCGAGACACTGAACGCGGTCATGTGTCTTCTCAGGATCGAGCTTCTTGAAGTGACGCCAAATGGGACCAGGCTTCCTTCCAGTCTTGGCAACCGCAGGCGAGCGGTCCTCTTCCTCCGCAGTTGTGCGTGGAGCACTGTCATCTTGGTAGTCTTCATCTTCAAACCGACCTTCAACAGCAGCTTGGTCACTCGAACCTGGGCTCTCGGACACCCGACGACGCTGGCAGGCCCGCTGCGGATACGGAGAGTATCGCACGTTTGGCGACCGTGTCAGCGACCTTGGGGTCGAGCGACGTCGTACGCAGCTCGATAGAGGCGTCTGCTGGCGCCGTAGCCGCTGCGATGACGCCCCTCGAGCTGGAGACGGCGCCATGGGAGGGGAGAGCATCGAGCTCCTTCAGTGTTTTGCGCGCGGAAACCAATTTGGCTCTTTGCGCGCGGAAACCAACTGCAACTCGTACTTAACCCATCTTCAATACGCACTTATTACTAAGTGTGGCGTACTTAACTCAATGCGACCATAGCGACCATTCCGGACAGTTCCTACCGACCGGAACGACTGGAGCGTCCGGGACTCTGCCCGTCTCTATCCAGCACTAGTCTACACTCGGTTTTCGACACTCGACTGGGTCCACAAGTCCAAGACATTGTTCGGTCGGGCTACCCAGTTCGCCGTCTTGCTGTCGCCGTGGCACCTGTTGGTCGAATGAGTCAAAGAAACCGACTGTTCGTTTGCCCAGCTACTTCAAGCCGGCTTGACGAACTTCGTTGATTTGGATAAGTCACTGGCGTTGGTCACACCCCGGACACGAGGGTCAGCAACTGCTCGTTTGGACCCGCATCTGCTCTACGCACGCCTACCGCGGTCCTACCGAGGCTTCGTTATGTCGTTTGACGGATCTGCGAAGACCGAGAAGAACGGTGGATATGGCAGTTGCTCGTGGATACTATGGAAGCTGCCAGAGTGGTCTATAGTGCTTGCTGCGAGCGCTTACCTCGAGAACACCACTGTCAACCTACCGGGATGAACAACGGCGTCTCTGCTGCATTACAGCATGGAGCCGACGATCTAGTCGTGGTTGGCGACTCGAGGCTCGCGATCCAGCAAGCCCTAGGGGTGATAGCAGTCGGAAGGAGTCATTGCTGCAACAACTCAGCCACCACAAAGAACTCACGGCCAAGCTTCGGTCGGTGAAGTACCTGCATGTGGTGAGAGAGTATAACGCTGCGGCCGACTCTCTGGCAAGCGAGACTCTCGAGTGCAAGAAGCCTACGGTGGTATCGTCGGACGACCGAGTATTAGAGCTGATGAAGCTGAACCGTATCGCTGAAGTCATCTACGAGGTTGCTGACGGTTGCGTCGTCGAGGACATACCCTCGGCCAACACAGTATGAGCTGTGGTAGCTTCTGCCAAACCTCGTAGCAAGAATGTTTTCGATTTTGTACGAAGAGAAACCGACCGCAGACGGCAGAACGAGACTGAACCCGGACATGTAGTTGTGATGACCAGACGTCAAACGAGAGCAAAGGAGAAACACGTCCGGTTTGCAGATGGAGTCTCGGCCACCGATCGGGGAGACGCATCTCACCGAGTAGAAGCCAATGGTGTGCCGAACGAGTCTCAGAATGAAGTAGAAGCTTCACCGCTGCGTGCCGAGACGTCACCAGCCCCACCGAACGCAGAAGACATTGACCCGCTGGTAGTACAGGAAGAACGCCGAAGGAGAATCGCCACCGCTCAAGATGAAGAGTTACGGTGGTCGAAACTGAAGGCAGTGCTCCGAGGAGATGATGCGAAGATTGGATACAGAGCAGCACGAGATGCATGGAAAATGGCGGACCAGTTTGTGTTGAGCGAGGACGATGTGCTATATTACACTAGAACGAGCCGTCGTTCAAGTGACGACGAGCAAGCCGAGTTGAAGATGAGACTCATGGTACCCACAACGATGATCCAGGAGGTCCTGCAAAGCTGTCATGACTCACTCGAAGGCGGTCATCAAGGTATTACCCGTACGCTATATCGAGCGTCGAGAGACTATTACTGGATCGGCCAGTATGCCGATGTGGAGAAACACGTTAAGTCGTGCCCTGATTGCAGTTCAAGTAAGAGCCGACCTCAGTTCCGCGGGTACTCGCCAGGGAACATCCTAGCCGAGAGGCCCTTCCAACTAGTCTCTATGGACTTCGTGATACCGCTACCGAAGAGTCGCCGTGGCAACACGGCTCTCCTGCTGTTCCAATGCTCGTTCACGGGATTCGTGATGGGCAAAGCCATGTCCGACACTACTGGCTTACTCGTTGCGCAAGCTTTCGAGGAGTGTGTCTATCGACGTTTTGGGGCACCGTCCTTGATCCGTCAGGACCGAGATCCTAGATTTATGAGCGAGGTCTTCCAAGCCTTCGCAGAAATGATGCAGTCTCGGTCGAGAGCGACCCTGAGCTCCCGACCACAGGCCAACGGCTAGCAGGAGAGATCGGTGAAGACGATCATGCAGTCAGTCCGCGTATACGCTGAAAACCCATTGCAGCAGGATTGGGACGAGATCGCCGAAAGAATGATCTTCGCCATCAATAACTCCCGTGATACGACGAGGAAGGAAACTCCGTTTTACCTCGTTCATGGGTGGGATGCACCGTCGACGCTCAAGGCAATGTCCTCGTCACTCAAACGAGGCTTCGGTAGCCAAACGGACGCGGTAGCATGGCGCCGAGAGGTCAACCGACAGCAGGAAATCGCCCTGAGGATGGCCAAGGAATACCAAGCCGCGGAAAAGGCTCGGAGAGCTGAAGAGCACAATGCATCACTTGGCAGGAAGGAGAAGGAAGCTACGACAGGCGTTAACGAGAATAGAACCTCGGTCGACCGAGCACCGAGTTCCCCTGACCATGACGGAGCTACAGTCACGAGAACGAGGCTTCCTCTGCAGCCTGGAAGCAGAGTGTGACTGTACATGGAGCGGGTCCAACCAGGACTGACCAAGAAACTAGCCCATCGGTGGTACGGACCGTTCCGAGTGAAGAAGAAGGTCGACGAGTTTGCGTATGAGTTGGAATTACCTGATCGAAGTGGATACCGGTTCTACCCGGTGGTGCATGTTTCACGACTCAAGTCGGTGGACGAGTTCGAAGGCCGACCGAGGGTTCGTTTGGCTCGTGAGGTCACAGAAGACACTCGTCTTGACTTCGACGAGGAACTACTGCCTGAAGACAGCTTTGAGCCGGACCACTTGGACGGCGAATATGAAGTCGAGGCTACCGGACCCCGTTGTCAACGAGTACTCACCGGGCCGTCCGAGAGTTCAAGGTGAAGTGGGTCGGCTATGACGAGCCGACATGGGAACCAGCGTCCAATCTCTCGTGCGGTGGCCTCCTGTACGATTACCTACGCCGGAAGCGCAGCGACTGACATTTGCAAATGGTCCAGGTGGCCGACGAGGAGTAATTCTGCGCCCCAACGAGGATTGAACTGCTCGCGGGAGCAATCCAGCCCACGATGTCAGACGAACGAGGCTACTGGAGATGATGATTGAACTGCCTGCGAGGGCTATCCAGCTCGCAGTGACAGACGATGAAAGTTACTGGAATCTGCATGTTACGTGTTAAGTGAACGAGTCACGATGGAATGGAGATATCGGAATGGAGCCAGGAACAACGGAAGACGCAAGCAAGCCTCGGTCAAACCCTCAACAGACGAAACAAGTGATGATGAAGCAAATGGGAGGGCGACCGAGGCTTCGGACGCAGTGATTGCCATGGAAGTAGCACGAACAAGTGCACTCGACTTCGTGGTTGAGTATGGTGAAATGGGTATGCAAGCTGACGACGCCGGATACCCGCAGCAGACCAGGTGTACAGTTGTCAAAATTGGGCTATCATGCGAAAACATACCCGCAACGGAGCTAGCGTAAGTACGCCCAGTCTCCCGCGAATCAAGTCCGGTCTTCAACGAGCATAAGCCCGATCTTCTTGCAGGGAGACAAGACGAAGCCCGGCTGCCGCATCTACGAACCAAGCCTCGTTTGAGGCAGCCACAGCGGTCGAGGGCAGAGAAGAACTTGTCGTAGTACTTAAGGTCTTGTTAGAAAACCTAGTATTGTCAGTCTTGTTACCTTATCTTCAAGTCCTCAGAAGTTAAATACTCAACAAGACTGAAAATACTACGACGAGACCAACAATACTTGCATTAATCTCTAAGGTACGCGTGCCTAGACTTGACAAGCCGACGCTTTCGGTCGAGGCTGATGTATCGGGCCAGTGTGTCAATCGTGAGTACATTGACGTCTGAGCTGGCAGCGTTCTGTAGCCAATTGTCGGTGTAATATGCTGCGCCTGACAGTGAAATGTCACAGAGATTCCGCGGGTTTTGAACCCTCTTTTGGAGAGCAAAGTCCTTCACATCTTCCGCAATCAGTTTAGCGACGCTTAGTCTGCTAGGCAAGGCTCCACTCTTCTTCTTGTCTTGGGCCGTCCACTCACTGACAGGCTTGAAAAGGTGGCGGCTCGGATCAGCGTTCCAATACATTCGGTACATGTCTTTCCAGTCCTTGGCTGGTGGGAGGATCGACACCTGCTCCACGGACAATCTGCTTCCGGTATACTTGAGTTTTGTATACATCTTAAGTCAGAAGCAACTTCCGCCTCTAGAAACAACAAAATATGCAAAATCCGATTGCATGACTAATCATCGCGCAGTATCTTCGGAGTATTAACCAGTCATAACGTCCACATTAGTATTAATTTTGCAAGGATATTTGATAAAACTAAAGACGACGGTAATTATCTTTAGACGCGACCGAGTATTGAATGCGATTTGCGTTGACGCGAGAAAAGATTATGAGGGACGAACAACATGACGTTATTTTGGATTGGGATAGCACATGCAGCGTCGCCTAAAGCGCCACGAACCTCGGTCGACATTGGAAAAGAACGTGAACGAAACGGTGAAGCTGGAGCGGGGTTTTCCTATATAAACCAAAACCCCTTACAAATGATACGACTTGGACTTTGTATGGGGCGACAAAGGAACCCATGATTTCTCCACTCTACCTTAGTACTGAGCCATATATCATCGACCAACAGTTTAGAATGGAGAAGACAATCGTATATCCACGAGATAGCAGCATACAGAGCTACAAATTGGCGGATGCAACTGAACGTGCCTCGCAAATCATCAGATAATACATGGTAGCCACCACTCGAAATTTCAATTGCTTACTACTTGCTCAGTTTTGTGCGATGGTCGATGAATTTATTACAGGTTACTAAACACACCTTCTAGTACACGATAATACCATCAGATATTTGTCTAACGTCACAAGTATCCCCGTGAGGCTGGTTCCTTTGTCGCCCCATACAAAGTCCAAGTCGTATCATTTGTAAGGGGTTTTGGTTTATATAGGATTTTGTATGGGGATTAGCTGTCCATAAGTTCTGTCACCTGGGCAGAACCAGTGATTTGTATGTGAGCTACCCGAAGAAGCGCAAAAGCGCGCGTGTTAGCAGCGTGCAGATCTTTTTCAGCGTGTTCTGCAACTCTAGTCCAAACCGCACCTTAAAACGATAAAAAATGACGAAGTTACAGCCAGTTTTGGTGGTGTCCATATCTTTTTGTCGTGGAGTGTACTTCAATGCTTGGGTTTGAAAAACCTGCCGCGGAGATTTTACCTCCTCCTGCTTGTCGGATTTGGATTTCACGGATTTAGTTTTATTCTTCAGTTATTTTGTAGCTAGCAGAACGGTTATCGACAACTAGTTAATCAACGTAATTTCCTCCCTAACTCTCGGTTAGTGGCTTTTGGCGCGAAGATATGAATCAGTCTTGCGTTATAAATATCTATTAGAGAGTTTTCGCAACCAGTCCTAATCCGAATTGTACTTGATGCTGACTTTATCGGAGTCACTGGTTGCACATTTTGGATTAGAGCGTTTGGGTGAGCATGGTATCCTCGCAGTAAGCTTACCAGGTGACGCAAGTTATATCGAGCTGTTCAATGCGCATTCAATTGTCGTAACCGAGATGTAGTTAAATGATCATACGAACTTGGACGCAAATATCATGTTTGAAATTTATTGCAAATTTTGTCTTAGCAACTTCAATTACGCATTCAAAGTCGGAATTGTCGGCAATCAAAGTTGGACCTCTAAGACCTCGCACCAAAACGAGAGGCCCAGCTGCACTCGCGCCAAAAGCAAGAGCGCGTGGGTTGGCACGCTTGCGCCGACGACGGCCGAGGCCTTCTCACTCAGCAATTCACCTTCATCCCCACAGATGCAGATGTTCAAGTCGCCAATAAACGGTCGAGAAGTAGCTTAAAAGCGAGACGGATCTGCGCGGCCACTCAGACTCGATCCTGTTGCTGTCCTGGGACTTCTTGATGCCGCGCCGGTTGGTCAGCACAGGCTCAGACATGGCTTGGGCAAGTTTAAGATCATGCGGGTTGTAGCTGAAAGCAAGGGCGATTTTATCTCGAAGCGCGCACAAGGTAAACCGACGTAACAAGTTAGGAAATCATGCTCATCGTGTATATGCGTGCTTAAATAGATTGTGGCGCACGCAGGGGGGCGTTTGGTACGTGCTGCTTTTCGAGGGCGGTGAGACGCGGCTTGATGCGCACTGCGCCAGACTTGCTGAGTAGCGGTCGCTGCCAGCAGTGGTAACCGTATCGAGCATGACTTCGCGCTAGATCGCCACGCAATCTGAGACGACAGTAAGGCCCTTATCAGGCTGCAGCCGCGAACATGAGCGTCATGACACCGGTGCTGGTGGCTAGCGTGTGGCTGCGTTGTTGCGACTTCGCTGGGCGACGGTCGTGGTAGTCTACGGCATAAACCACGGCTTTGATTGCTGTAATTCCAACTTTGAATACGTATTAATAATTGAAGTTGCTAAGACAAAAATTACAGTAAATTTCAAACATGATATTTGCGACTGCGGGTTTGACTGCAGACGCACAAAGGTGTAGATTTCTTTATTTTCCAAATGAAAAAAATCACAAACGACTTGGGCGCGCCTCACTTGCGGCGCACCAGTCGCAATAATATAATATATTTTGTGAGCTTACGTTAACACTATAACATATCGAGATAGTCTTACGACGCGCCTGCACAGGATCGAGGTTCGCAGCGAGTAGATTCTCTGTGCTGGTTGACCCTTCCAGCGTGACTTTGTCTTTCGGGGCGTCCTTGAGATCGTGATACAGGGTCTTGACCTCTTCCAGCAGTGAAGGCCTCGATCATGCCCTGACAAGCATTAAGATCAGACTTTTAGCAACACCGCCGCCATGACAACCCCTCTCCACGACTATTAGTGGAGTTGTCGATACCACAACAATCATATACATTCGTGCTGCACGTAGTTGTGGTCCGATTGGGCCATATCTAGCTACTGCCTGCATACGAATCACCCCCTAGAGCACCAGGACGTCCAACGCGTCGCATTCTACAGTACAACCAGCTAAAAACAAAGTTAAGGCCAAGTGTCGCCATTATTCATGGGAGTACCTGAAGACTCAAGCGCACGTTGCTGCTCCTTCTTGTCCTTATGCGAGCATCCAGCTCATGTCCGTTCTCCTGTTCAGCAAATTCTGAAATGGCATTAAGCGAGCCAGCCCCGCTCGGATCAGGAACATCATGGCCTATACCTCCTCTAAAGGCCTTCTGGCCTATACCTTTACTCTTTGTCCCCTCAGGGGACCCCCCTGAGTTATGTGTCCAACACTAGTTAATCCGCATACAAATGCTTAGGGCCGTTCTTAAGTTCCCGGTCCCAAGTCCCGGGACGAAATAGAGCGATTTGATTAGCTTTCAGAAAGCGGGCTAGGTTTATTTCCGAGCTCGTTTTGTCCCGGTCCCGCATCATTTTCGCGTGGTCGGGACGTGGGACTTTCGCCCTAGCTACTTCATTTCTTCGCTAATGCGCGCCAAGTGTGCACCACTTTGTTACGTTTCGAAAGGGCTATCTGACCATGTTCTTCTTTCACCGTAGTTCGCGGTAGTTCCCGAGAGTTAGGGGCTTAAAAAATGCTTATAATTATCAAATTTGACGGACGACGGGTATCGTCCCGTTCGTCCTGGTCCCAGCTCCCGGGAACTTAAGAACGCGCCTTAGATAAATCGAGCCGATACAACAGTAAGTCATTCGAATGCATACAAAACTCAAGTAAATAATTCTGGCAATACCGGTATCTGACATCAAACAGGTAGTAACGACAGAACTGCGAACACCAATTTGGTCTTGCTGGCACGGGCGGGGCTCTTGAGGCGATCTTGTCGATGCCGTTCGGTGAGGAAGTACATGTTGCCATACGGGTGAAGTAGGTAGAGTTGTTCGGGCCTCAGGATCGGCGCCGATGTTGGTGAGGTCGGTACGTGGATAGCTTCGAGAACCGCAATTTGAGAACCGCAATTTGTAGGGTTAAGATAGGCTACTGTATCTGAATGCTGTGTAGCTTTCGTTTATCTGTGTACTCTCCGGCTCGTTGTTCTTTTACAGTGAGCCAAACCATTGGGCTCCAGCAGCCTACAAGGCAATGCGCCCACGTACATGTGAGACATTGCTTGTTGTTGAGCCACATGTACGATCATGTTAGACAGACCCGTGTTGTTGCCGTGTTGTTGCCGTGTTGTAGCACTAAGATAAAACTTGTGACGGCTTCGTTCTGATTCGCCAAAACTAGTTCCTTTTTACCCAATGATATCTCAGGAAAGCAATGTTTAGCGACTTACCGCGCAAGCGGGAGTGATCCGCGAACACGCTTCGTCGACAGACACAACGATTTCTCGACGCCAGACAGCGCGGCATGAGGAGAGCAGGCTTCTGACGTAATTTGTCTGACATCGTGTGCTCCACGACCTGGAGCGGGCGAAGTTTAAGACTATTCTCGTAAAACTACGTACAGTAACTCAAACCGCCCGCAGCGCTCCGAGAGCGCGCCGACAACTACATGTTTTTTAAAATAGCATCAGCACCGCGCGTGAGGATGCTGAGGTGAGACACCGGGCGACTATCCAGCTCGATGCCAGCCACAGAGCAGGGTTCAGATCCTGCAATTCGCCGCACGAACGCGATGGGAGGCGCCGGGCATCAATCGCGTGTTTGCCTGGTGGTCCCACGGTGCAATTGCGCCGCAGGATTTGCGGTGCTGCGGCTGGCCGGCAGGACCTGCCGCAGGTTGCGAGAGCTCGCAGCAACACTAGTGCCGTGCACCGCAGGCTGATCGGCTGCTCGTAGCCACCTGTGGTTCTTCGGTTGCCGCATCTCAGCCGTAACGGCGCCGACAGATGACCGATCCCCACGCTTATATTTTTAGCGCATTGCTGCTTGGTGGCTTTCTGAAGATGCTCCAGCTGGCCGGCTGGCGGGAACGACCGACGCCTGAGGCGGCGGTATCAACGGCGCTGAGCTGGAGCAGCTGTGGCGCATCCACCAGTGCCGCCGCAGCTTTCTTGCATTGCTTGCCCGAGCAATGCCTGCCGGAGACGGAGCAGCAGCCATCGCGTTGGCTGTGAGACGATCGCAACGACGGCACGCGGGCGTCCACGAAAGCGGGAATCTTCGCTGCAGCCACTTCAAAAATCCTCTAAGCCGATCAATCCATTTGATGAGGGATTCGTTCTCGCGTAGCAAGTGACATACATTTTGACTGACATTGGGTTCCTTGTCGGTATCAATTCCCGCGAGGCACATGTCGCAGACATCTGGTGACTTGACTACCGCCCTGTCCCTTACGTTTGACTTCCCGATAGTCAAAAGGTGCTTATCCCCTCTGTGACTTAAAACCCTTTAATACCGTTCAACCCAGTCTGCTGCTTTAATACAATCCACAAGTCAGCACTTTTGCCTCCATCTATGGAACCTCTTATCTGATGCGTCGGCCGCTCTTTGCGTGATGGGACGCAACCGTCACGTGAAAGCGGCGCCCCGCGGGCGAGCCAAGTGACGTCCACGAGCTCATTCTCTAACCTGCCGGCTTCTGCGCACCTCCACCGACGAGTCCGCTCCCGCCAGCCCCCGCGACCCCCATACAGCCCAGCCCCGCCACCATGAGGAAAGAAACCATGACCCACTCGCACACCTTCGGCGGCTACGCCGGCGAGCGCCCCATCACGCGCCACGACCTCAAGCACGCCACGCGCATCGTGGTGAAAATGGGCACGAGCGTCGTGTCCACCAACGGCGAGCCGGCACTGGGCCGCATCGCGTCCATCGTGGAGCAGGTGTGCATGCTCAAGCGCCAGGGCAAGGAGGTGCTGCTGGTCACCAGCGGCGCCGTGGGCATCGGCCGCAAGCGCCTCAACAAGCAGATCCTGCTCTCCGCCTCGCTGCGCACGCACGTGCAGGGCAACCAGCAGATGCTGGCGCTCGAGAAGAAGAAGGGCGCCATGGCCGCCGCCGGCCAGATCGGCCTCATGTCGCTCTACGAGACGCTCTTCTCGCTCTACGACGTGGCCTGCTCGCAGGTGCTCGTCACGGCCTCGGACTTCAAGACGGCCCAGAACCGCGCCAACATGCGCGACACCATGCTCAACCTGCTCGAGCTCGACGTCGTCCCCATCGTCAACGAGAACGACGCGGTGAGCGCGTCCCCGGACGGCACCGTCTTCACGGACAACGACTCGCTCGCTGCGCTGGTGGGCGGAGAGATCGATGCCGACCTGCTCATGCTGCTCACGGACGTGGAGGGCCTGTACAACAAGCCCCCGAGCCAGCCTGGCGCCAAGATCATCTCGGTCTTCCGCCCCGAGAACGCTGACTTCAAGATCGGTGAGAAGTCCAGCGTCGGCCGCGGCGGCATGGGCGCCAAGATCGAGGCGGCCCAGTCTGCTATCTCGCAGGGAGTGAACGCCGTCGTGATCGCTAGCGGCATGAAGTACGGCGTCGTCGCTTCCATCATGAAGGGCGCCAGCCTCGGCACGCTCTTCGTGGCCAACCCGGGCGTCGAGTCGTCGGACTGCATGTCTGCGGAGGAGATGGCAAACGCCGCTCGCGAAGGCTGCCACCAGCTGCAGGCCCTGTCCTCGGAGGAGCGCGCCAACATCCTGCTCCGTATCGCGGATGAACTTAAGAAAAACAGCAAGACTATCCTGAACGCGAACCGCAAGGATCTGCTGGCGGCGCAGAAATCCTCGATCGACGAGGGTCTGCTGGCGCGTTTGAAGCTGTCGGAGGAGAAGCTGGAGACGCTGGCTGACGGAATCCGCAGCATTGCCGAGGCCGAGGAGCCGATCGGCCGCATGCTTAAGCGCACGGAGCTTGCATCCGGTCTTGTCTTGCACCAGGAGACGGCATCGATTGGCGTGCTGCTGGTGATTTTCGAGAGCCGCCCCGACTCGCTGCCTCAAATTGCTGCGCTGGCGCTGCGCAGCGGCAACGGGCTGCTCCTGAAGGGTGGCAAGGAGGCCCTACACAGCAACGCCGTGCTGCACAAGATCATCGTGAGCGCCGTGGAGGAGGCCACGAATGGCAAGGTGAAGAAGGACGTCATCGGTCTCGTGACGTCCCGCGAGGAAATCTCCGACCTGCTGCGCCTGGACGATGTAATCGACCTGTGCATCCCGCGTGGCTCGGGCTCCATGGTGAGCTACATCAAGAAGAACACGCGCATTCCGGTTCTCGGCCATGCTGAGGGTGTGTGCCACATGTACATCCACGGCGCTGCTGAGGTCAAGAAGGCCATCGAGCTTGCAGTTGATGCCAAGACGGATTACCCGGCTGCTTGCAACGCTCTGGAGACTCTTCTGATCGATGAGTCCCATGTGACCAACGGACAGATCAAGGAGATTCTGGCTGCACTTGAGGAGGCCGGAATCAACCTGCACGTCGCTCCCAACGCTGCGAAGCTGGGAGTCGCCACCGTCAAGTCGCGTCCAACCAACTCGCTCTCTACCGAGTACGGCACAAAGGACCTTACCATTGAGGTGGTCAACGGTGTTGATGCTGCAATCTCTCACATCAACCAGTACAGCAGCGGCCACACGGAGTGCATCGTCACCGAAGACGCGGTGGCGGCGGAGCAGTTCCAGCAGATGATCGACAGCGCGTGCGTCTTCCACAACGCCAGCACTCGCTTCGCTGATGGCTACCGCTTCGGCCTGGGTGCCGAGGTGGGTATCAGCACTGGTCGCATCCATGCCCGTGGCCCAGTAGGAGTCGAGGGTCTGCTCACGACTAAGTGGAAGCTTGTGTCCGAGAGCGGCCACACTGTTTCGCAGTTCTCGGGCGCCAAGAACGACCACCCTCTCAAGTACACGCACAAGAAGCTGGAGCTGATCCAGAAGGAGGCAAATGTCGCCCGCCCGCGGAGTAGCCGGCTATAAGCGCCACCTCTAATGACTTCTAGCGGTGCGTACCTAGCTAACTAAAGCAACATCCCACAAAATACGCTTGAATTGAATCGATATCGTCTATTTGGCAAAGCAAAGTGTCGTAGAGCGTTGAGGATTTGTCTCGACTAGAAGTCCATGTCGTCTTCATCCTCGTCCTTCTGCCTCTTCATACGCTTCCGGCGGTCGCTGTCATTGATGGCAGTCAGATCACGCGTAGCCTTGGCGCGCAGTGTGTCAATGTCATCGGCATCCTCAGCCCACTCGAGAACGAGATGCCGGCCGTACAGGTGCGAGCTGGCAAGGGCCGAGAATGCGTTGCGGGCTTCCTGCTCAGTGAGGAACTCCACAAAAGCAAAGCCGCGGTGTCGGCCGTCGAACTTCTTCGGCATGCGCACACGCTTGAGCTGGCCGAATGCACCGAACAACTCGCGGATCTCGTTGCTCGTCGCCTCAAACGCAACGTTGCGAACAATGATCTTGGACTTGCGACCTTCGCCATCGACCTCGCCAACTGCACGCTTCGGTGCTGCGGATGCCTTCTTCTGTGAGAGCTTGAGGTTCAACGCGTGGCCATCCACTACGGTGTTCTGAAGGGTTTGCAGCGCGCGCTCCGTGTGCTTAGCGTCTACGTATTCGACAAAGCCAAAGCCCATCGAGAGCATGCCACGCTTCGGGTCCTTTCGACGCGCGACGGTGACCTTGCGCAGCTTTCCGCAGCGCTCGAAGATCTTCTCCAGCGCTGCCTCCTTGGTAGTGAAGTTCAAGTTCTTCACGCAAATAGTGTGGCTTGCGTCGCCCACAGCGGTGTCGCCCTCGTCGTCAACGTCCGGCACCACGGCTGATGTCGATTTGATACCCTTTTGTTCGGACGTAGGCGCCTTTGCACTAGACGATGCGGTAGCAGGACGGTCGAACACCTTGACGGGGGCCCACTCCAAGTAGAGCGGCACGTGCTGGTACTTCTTGTATGCAAGCGAGCGGAAGGCCTTGCGCGCTTCCGAAGGCTCCAGGAACTCCACCACAGCCAGCGTTTTGGAAGGAGGCAAGAGGAAGCGGCCAATCTCTCCGTGCTTCCTGAACAGCTGCGCAAGCTCTTCTTCCTCTGTTGTGTGAGGAAGGTTCTTGATCAAGATGACCGTCGTACTACGCTCAATCTTCTTTGACTGTTGCTGCTGGCTCGGCTTCTTCACGAGCGCACCTTCGATAGCATTGAGATCCACTCCTTCCCTCGCGAAGAAGTCTTTGTTCTCCTTGACTAGCATCGTTTCACCAATAGCTAGACGAACGGCCATGTTGCCCTGCTCCTTGTCCATGATCTCACCGCGCTTCACGCCCATGCGCTCAGCGAGCGAGCCTACAGTCGCGTCACCGCGGATATAAGACGCATTCCAGCCCGTCTTCTTCTGGGCTTGAATCTGGCGCTCCAGCTCTTTGCGCTGCTTGTACGTCAAGTTCGGGTCTGCCAGAGCTGCCTCCGGGTCGAGTTTAACACGCTTGGAGCGTGCAAAGATCACGTGAAGACGCCGACCTTGGAAGGCCATTCCATTCAGCGCTGTGAGAGCCGTCTGCGCATCGACAGTTGTGCGGAAAAGCACAAAGCCATAGCCTTTACGGCGACGGGTTTCATCCAGCGGCATGTGCACTTCCTCCACAGGGCCATACGTTGAACACAGCGCCTCTAGATCCTCCTCCACCGCAGTGAACGGCAAGTTGCGCAGGAACAATCTCGCGGTGGGCTTGTCATCTTCAGCCGCAGCATCCGCTTCTCCAGACGACGCGATCTTCTTATCGTTGGAGGCCTCAGCATCGTCGTCGTCATCGTCATCATCTTCTTCCATAGCCTCATCCCCGTCTCCGTCTTCACCGTCCGAGTCCTTATCGATGTTCTTGCTCACCTTGGAGCGCAAGAAATCCATATCGGACATCGCCTCCGACTTTTTGCTCTTCTTGCTCTCAGCATCAGCCTCGTCCTCATCAGCATCGTCGTCCGACTTTGCCGCTTCCAGTTCTTCGTACTCGTCATCGCTATCCTCTGCATCGGCAAGGCCCACGCCCTTGGTGGCTGTCTTTCCTTCTGGACCCTGCACGTCGTCGTTAGCCCAGAACTTGGTCTTGGATCGGGCCTGCATCGTCTCCATGAACTCCTCGAACTCTCCGCTCGTCTCTTCGGTCTTCTTTGCCTTCGCGTCTTTCTTTTCTGGAGCAGTCTTCGCTTCAGTCGAGGAGGCCACAACGCCCGATGACTCCGGGTGCAGCTTCTGGTAGCGACCGCTACCGACCGAGTACTTGCTCCACGGTCGCTCCATATCACCAGATTCTTTCTAAAACGTCACAAAAATAAAGCAAAATGTCAACAAGTTAGCCAGGAGTTCAATGTCCGAGTGCAGAGATTGAATGTACTACTGCACGCACCGAAAGCGCCACGCGCACGTTGATCCTGCACGTGTCGAAGAAGCTCTGGTGGAAGAACTTGCGCGCCTGCTCCGCCTGCTTGGCGCTCTTGAAGCCCACGAAGCCAAAGCGGCGCGACTTGCTGCCGTCCTTGGTGCGGATCACGCAGGCGTCCGTCACCTCGCCCTGCGCCGCGAAGTGCTCGCGCAGCCGCGCGGAGTCCACGTAGGCCGGAAGGTTCTGCACATACAGACGCGTGCCCGTGTCCTGCGCCGCGTCCTTGGGCGCGCTCGTCGTCGCTGCTGCTGCCATCGTCTCGCTTCCAGTCGTCAGTCGGTCACTGCCTGCCGACGTTTGATGCTCGACAGCGTTTCGTGTGTACCACACAACAGGTTCCGTTGGATGCTGGCAGTTGGCCAGATGGTCCATTTTCCGTTGCAAAGTGGACGATTTCCGTTTATTGTGGACGTTTAAAGCTTCATGCGCGGTTGGCCGCTTCGTACGGGTTCTCCGTATTGCGCAGCGCTCGCTGGAGCTCCTCGTAGTCCGCGAAGTTGTCGGCCGTGAGGACTCCGTGGCGGACGAAGAAGTCGAGCAGCAGCAGACACACGTCAGGCTTGAAGCGCTCGGGCTCCGACCACAGGCGAGCCAGCGCGTCTTGCACCGGCAGCAGGTCGAAGCTCTCCACCTCGCCATCCTGGTTCGCCGGAACGATATCCACGGGTAACTCCACGTCGAAAATGAGCATCGTGTCGTTCGTCAGTCCGTACGGGTGTTTGGACACGTAGGAGATGCTGCCAGCAGCTACGAGTCGCGGCCGAGTCCATGACGGCTCCAGCCCCGCCTCTTCCTGTGCTTCCTTCACCATGTTGTCAAGTGCCGAGATGCCCGCAGGCAGTCCCCCGCCTACAATGGTATCGCGCATGAGAGGCCAGCGCTTCTTGGAGGCGCTACGCGTCGCGATCCAGACGTGCGTCACAGCTCCGGTCTCCTTGTCGCGCACAAACCCGTTGAGGTGCGTAGCGAACTGGCTGAGGCCAAAGTAGGGGCCAACGCCACGATGATACGTGAAGAGCGTCGGGCTGGAGAAGGTCGTCTTGGCCGTGTAGAATTCGTCCTGCCAGAAGGGGAAGGCCCCTTCCTGCTTCAACTCGGCCTCCATCGTCTGGAAAGCTCGCGAGCGCTCCTCGATGGTGCGGAACCGCGGCTTCATGACGATCTCGCTCTCCGTCACCTCCAGCAAGTCGCTGAACTTGCTCAGGCGCTGGTGCAATGGACATACAACGTTAAGTGGCTGGAAACATCTCGAAGAGATCTATTTACTGCTCTAGCGCACCTCTCGCTGCTGCTTGAGGACGAATCCTGCCACGACCGACGTGCAAGGGCCCTGGACGCCCAGCGCGCGTCCCCAGACCTCACCCTCGTCCGGGTGCAGCATGACGCGGAGAGGCACATACGCCTCACGCGTCCAGCTCTTGACACGCGCCACCAGTGGCCTCCACGCCATGGAAACGCGATAAAAACCGGCGGTTGGATCACCGCGTATACAAACAGCAAGTGTAATCGACGAGGAGACACGAGTCAACACGCGAGCAGCTCAGTTCGAGTGACGTACGCATTGCATAGGCCAGCATCCTGCTGCTGTTGTTGAGCGGTGAAAGCCCCTCTATATATTACATGTATCCTGCTCGGCTACACTCTCTCCTCTTCCTCCTAAGCCTTCACATGTCTCTACCTAGTGCAGGATGAAGTTGAGCGAGTGCGACTTCTGGTCGAATTCGTCGCCTTCGTCGCTGTCCATGTTTCCGTCGTCATCACCGCGGTCGCCGCGCTCAGCTCCGTTCGGCGGTCCCTGACCGTACCTGGCACCCCGCTCGCCCGCGTACTCGCGCTGCTGGCCGTCACCGCGCTGGCGCTCGTAGCCGTTATTGCGCGCGTGCTGCTGCTGCTGCGCGTGCGACGCCCCCATGCGCGCGTCCCCCTGCCGGTCGTAGCCTCCACTTTCATCGTCCTCCACGCGGTGCGTGCGTCCGTCCATCACGGCGGAGGACGGAAGAGCGCGCCGCGGGGGGCCGCCCGTGAACGCCTGCTGCTCCACGAAGTCGTCCTTCATGGCCTTGAGGTCGGCCAGCGGCAGCCCCATGAAGACGCCGAAGCCGTAGTAGACCTTCTCGTCCTCGTTGTCGTTGTCGCCGGCCACGCCGCCGACCCGCGGCAGGTTTGAGTTGCCGCCCTCGCGCGTCGCCAGTCGGTTCTCCATCGCCATCGTCCCGAGAGCTTCTTGTCGTCAATGCACTGGCGCTTCAGTAATGTTCCGGGATAGTAACCAGGATAAGCTTCGTACTTAGCAACGTGCGGGCAGGGTGCAATCATTTAGCCAGATGGCTACATTTACCGCAAGTGGAATTGCACTGGTTGAAGTGTGGTTGGTTTCTATGTATTTACCCAAGCGCTCTGATCTACTACATGTACGAAGCAGCCCTATTTCCTTCGGCGGAAGCGCTTGTACGACTTCTTGCCCTTCGTGGCCAGGTCCTCGTTCGCATCGCGCGTACGGTACTCGCCGTCGCCGCTGAGCTGGGAGCCGATCTCCTTGTGCAGCTGTCGGAACTTGCGCGTCGAGCCCACGGGACGAAGTGGCTGCGAGAGTAGACGGTTGAGCTGCGCACGAAGCGTCTGCACCGACTGGTTGGCTGTGGTCTTCTTCTTGCTGTCCTGGTTGCGCTGCTTCGCGCCCAGTTCGAACAGCAAGTCCTCGTCCATGTCCAGGTCAGCGGCCGCAGCCATTTGCTCGAACCAAGTTGCCTCCGACTTGAGCTTGCCCGCAGCGTTCTCCTGGTCGTTGATGCTCTTGGCAAGGCGCACGCGCTCATCAATCGTCTCCATATACCGATGGTCAAATGGGAAGTCCGAGAGCCCCGTCGGTCTCTGCAGCATCTTGCAGATCTGAACGTGGAACTTGGCGTCGACGGGCGACACCAGAGAGATACTCAAACCGTCCTTGTCGGCACGAGCAGTACGGCCACTGCGGTGCACAAACACCTCCGTGGAGCGCGCAATGTGGTAGTGAACAACGTAGTCAACACTGGGGATATCCAGACCACGTGCAGCGACGTCGGTGGCAACTAGAATGCCCTTGGCGTGGGCACGGAAGCCATCCAGCTTCTTCAGACGCTGACGCTGCTGCATCTCTGCGTGCAGAGCGAACACAGGCAAATTCAGTAGGCTCAGGAGGCTGGTCAACCGACGCACTTGGTGAATAGCGTTTAGGAAGATAATCGTTCGACCCGGGTATTGTGTCAGGAAGTAGTAGAGAAAGCTGTCGCGCGTGGACTCAGTGACCTCGTGCTGGCACAGCTCAAGACCGGCAGGCAACGACAGGGCCACATTATCTTGCTGCTTCTTCATTTTCCGCTGATCTTCCTCCGATATGATAGCTTTGGCACCCGGGATGCCCATGTCAGGCTCCGCGATGCTAAGATCAACGACAGCAGGCTTTCCACGGAGACCCACACGCTTCATGACGCGCTCCAGAACGCTCAAAGCGTTGCGGTACTTCTTGGTCTTACCCTTATGGAAGCGGCCACCCTCCGGGATCATCAGCGTGGCAGAAAACAGGAACGTTTGACGTGTGTGGCGAGGGGGAGCAACCGCCTCAACCTTAGCCTTGGAGGCCTTCTCGCTCTTCTTGGCGACAGCACTTTTCTTCTCCTTCTCTTGCTGTTTCTTCTGCATCTTGAGCACATCGTCCAGCATCATCACCTTTGAGCCACTCGCAAACTTTGACATGTCGATATCCTCGCCATCGTCTTCTTCGTCACTTCCTCTGTTGTCAACTTCTTCATCATCACTCTCTTCGTCATCGCTTTCATCATCATCGGAGAGGTTGGAGAGCTCCGAGGCCGCCGATTTGTTCTTGCGACGCAGCACATCGAAAATCTTCTCCAGCTCCGGGTACGATCCAGGCTGCAGCATACGATCGGCCTCATCGACCACGAGGAAACGCAGCGTGGTGGCCAAATCCTTCATGTGCTCGTGGTTGGCCTCAATAATATCCCAAAGACGGCCAGGAGTACCGATCACGATTTCCGGTCGGTAGCTGAGAATTCTCTTCTGCTTCTGCACAGCCATACCACCGACCAGAGTGACGACGCCAATTTCGCGGTTACGAACCATCTTCTCGAGATGCTGCTGGATCTGAATCGCCAGCTCTCGAGTCGGTGTCAGGATCAGCGCCTTGCAGTCCTTCGTGTATCCAGGCTGCTCGCGCTCATGCAGCAGCTGGCTCAGAATCGGCAGGCCAAACGCTAGCGTCTTACCGGAGCCCGTCGGCGCCGCACCAACCACATCACGGTTGTCCACTAACGCCGGGAGCAACGTACGCTCCTGAATCCGCGTCGGAGCCGAGAACCCGCAGGTCTGCAGCGACTGCATCAGCAGCGGGTGCAACTTGAACTTGTTCCACTTGGGCAGCTTCACGTCCTTCAAGGGAACCACCTCCACAGCCTCCTCCTTCTTAGCCTTGCCACCGCGGGTCTTCTTCTTCTTCGGCGCATTGCTAGCATCTTCCTGCTTCTTCTGCTGCCTTGCTGGCGCTTTAGCCGCTTCTGTCTTCATCTCCGTCTTGACTTCTGTCGTCACCTCGGTCTTTACTTCCACCTGTTCCTCCTTCACCTGAGTGTCGGCGTCGGCGTTGGCCTGCTGCTTCTTGGCCTTCGACTTCCTGCGCTTCTTCTTCTTGCCGCCGCCCTGCTCCTCCTGCTGACTCTTGCTGTCTCCGAACAGAAGTTTTCCTCCGTCCTCCGTCGTCTGCACGCGGTAGTCCGTGAGCTCCTCCAGCTCGAAGGCGCATCCATCCTGAAAGCCTTCGATCTGCATGTCCTCGATGTCCACCTTGGTCCACCCGGAGTCCGCCATCAGCGAGCCTGCCTCCGCCGCGCCCGAGCTCGAGCGTTTCTTGCGCTTCTTCGACGGCTTCGCGCCGGCGCCTCCTTGGGACGCCGCCGCCAGCGAGTACGGCACCACGGACAGGCCACTCATGCTTGCACTTGACCACTGGTTGATGTTGTTGCTGTGAAGTGGGCAATGGCCACCAATCGCCTTGGTCTCTAATAGTTGCATTCTGCGTCGTGATTGGTGGAAAAAGACGTGCACTGCGTACACCATCAAAACAATGACGCCCATACCTGGAGCCGCTCAGATCTCGCCCGAGTAATGCGCGCTTTCTCTCGTCTGGCGCTGGCGCGCGGGCGCTCGACGAGGCGCCCGGGCGTCCCGCGCGCCTTCGTGCCTGCACTCGTGTCCTCTGCCGACAGCCGCCGCGGCCTGGCCACCGAGGCGTTCGTGTCGCGCCACTACCAGATGCAGGACCCGCGCGACGTCGGCGACTTCCTGCGCCGCAAGAGCCTGGCCGTGCGCGAGACGGACTCGCACTTCGTGGTGCGCGACTGCCCGTTCTGCCACGCCACGCACGGCAAGGCCGACAACGTCTTCAAGATGTACGTGCACAAGACGCAGGGCGTGTACAAGTGCCATCGCTGCGGCGCGGCCGGCAGTTGGTTCGACTTCAAGCGCAAGCTGCAAGGCAGCGTGGGCGTCGCCTCAGCGAGCGGCGCATTGTATGGTGGCAGCAGCGCTAGGAACCCTGGTGTCCCCGAGGTCAAGGTCATTCAGGCGCTGGACAACGAGAAGGCCATGGCGATTCAGAAGAACTTGCTGGACGACCCGGAGTTTGAGCCTGTGCTCAAGTACCTGACGGACGTCCGCGGACTGTCGAAGGAGGTGCTGCAGAAATACTGCGTGGGAGCAGTCGAGCAGCCCTTCTGGGACCACGAGGCGGGCGAACGTGTCAACGCCAAGTGCATCTCCTTCCCGTGGATGGCTCGTCAGATGGACATGAGTGCCATGGGTGTTATATGCCAAGACCAGCAGAAGCCCAGCACAGAGGACAAGAATCTGTATGACGTTGTAAGGCTCAAGATCCGTGCTGTAGAGGACAAGGCGAAGCAGCAACTTGTCCCGAAGGGCGGCAGTTGGGGTCTTTTCGGATGGAACACTGTGCCAACGGCTGCGAACGAGCTGGTGCTGACCGAGGGCGAGTTTGATGCTATGGCTGTCCACCAGGCGACTGGGATGCCTGCTGTGTCGCTACCGAATGGCTGTCAGTCCCTTCCTCCCAGCGTGCTACCGCTGCTGGAGCGATTTAAACGCATTTACCTCTGGATGGACAATGACGCGTCGGGTCAGTCCAACGTCGAGAAGTTTGCTTCGAAGCTTGGCATGACTCGCTGCTACATTGTGCGCCTGCCTGCGAATGCTTCGTCCTCGCCAGTAAAGGATGCGAATGATGCACTCCGAGCTGGGCTCGACCTTACTGCGATTGTGAAGTCTGCGGAGAGGATGCCCCACAGCCAGATCACTACTTTCGAGGAGCTTCGTCGTGATGTGTACGAGGAAATTGTGAACCCGCTACGCGCCTGTGGCGTGCAATCGCGCGCATTCCCATCACTGAACAGACTGATGAAGGGCCACCGAATGGGCGAGGTGACTGTGCTCACGGGCTCTACAGGTTGCGGCAAGACCACACTACTGAGCCAACTGTCGCTGGACTTGTGCGGTCAGGGTGTGAGTACGCTGTGGGGCTCCTTTGAGATCAAGAACACCCGACTGATGCACAAAATGCTCACACAGCTCGCTCAGCGGAATCTTTCAGGTGACGTGAACGCCTTTGAAGCTGCAGCTGATCGGTTCGAGGCTCTACCCATGTACTTCTTGAGGTTCTTCGGCAGTACCGATGTGGATGAGGTTTTGGACGCCATGGAATATGCTGTGTACGCCTATGATGTGCAGCACATTCTGTTGGACAACGTGCAGTTCATGATGGCGGGTCAAGGGCGCGGCTTTGACAAGTTCGAGCGTCAGGATGCGGCGCTGGACAAGTTCCGTAAATTTGCCTCGGCTAAGAATGTCCACCTCACACTTGTGATTCACCCGCGCAAGGAGCAGGAGGACCAGGACCTGACGCTGACTTCCGTGTTCGGCACGGCCAAGGCCACCCAAGAAGCTGATAATGTGCTCATCTTGCAGCGCACACGTGGCGAGTCCAAGCTGGACATCCGCAAGAACCGCTTTGACGGCACGTTAGGATCGATTCCTTTGAAGTTTGATCCGGATACCGCTTCGTTGCGCGAAGTTGGTACGGAAGGTATGAGCGAGGGCGTTGCAGCTGTGGACCTTGAAGCCGAAATGGAGCTCGCTCAAAGGCGCCGCGTACAGAGCAGCAATCGTGCGCAGGAACGCCTTCAGCCCGAACCGTTCAATCCCTTCCCGGACATGGAACCAGAAGATGCCCACCCATCCCACGAGTACCAGTATGTGGCGTCGGGCTCTGTAAATGGCCGCACCAACGGCTTCAATGGGCACAATGGATACAATGGTAGTCAAAGCTTCAAGGTCAACGGAAGCTCTTTGCCAAGGCTGGACAGTGAAAAACCAGACGACCACAACCTGAACGGCAGCAGCGGTGGTCTCAACGGAAGCTCGAACCACTCCCGCCCGGGTGCACCCGGTGATCTCGGGCCGCGTGCAGGTGGTGGCAGCGGCGAACCATTCGCAGCCTTCACGCCCATTATCACTCGGTAATACCACGACCAAGAAGTTTGCTGGAGAGTCTGTGGCTCCAACACATGAGTATAGGTATCGCGGCGATCCATAGTGTTCATGTACGTCACGCATTAGCGCTTGGTCTCCGTTAATTTTTTTCGCAATGCGGATTGTTTTCCTAATACAAAAGTTACTATCAACTTCTAACAAGCCCATAATGTTCCCCTGTCCAGGAAGAGGAACCATCACTACTCACTCTATCGCAGCGATAACTGCTCGTATATCGTCCATGTGACAGCAGTAGACAGCGTGCGCTTGACTACACGCGGAAGGATGCCCTTGGCGAATCCGCGCAGACCCTCGTGGCGGTAGATCTTGGCCACTGTTTGCCGCAATGTGAGCGAGTTCTGCACGGATGCCGCGCTTCCTTCCCCATTGTTCACCATGATGGCGAGCTGCATGCGCGTCTTTACCACGTCGGCCGGGTGCACTAAGGAAGTGGCGAGCACGCCCGCGACTACGCCGCTGCTGAAGTGCACGCCGTACACTGGCAGATGGGGGAACTTGTCCGCCCACGAGTCGCGCAGGCGCGTGTAAATGAGCACGTAGAGGCCGGAGAACGGCACGTCCCTGATGAGCGTGGGCACCATGCCGCGGTACAGTCCGCGCACGCCTTCGTGGTGCAGCACGTGACGCACCACGTGTAGGTTGCTGTCGAACGTGCCCGGGGGCAGGAACTCCATCCGCGCCTTCACAATCGTGAACGGCGACATGACGCCGCCCGCAAACGTGCGCGCGAAGGCGCCAGCCAGGAACGTGTTCACCGCCGACTGCGGGAACAGGTTGAGGCAGTGGTCCAGCGTGGCGAAGTAGAGGCCGGCGCCGCCCGCCACGCGCACGAGCGTTGGCGACGTGCCGCGCCACATGGAGCGCAGTCTCGCCACGGGGTCCTCAGCCGGCCGCGACGCCTTGATGGTCTCGGGCAGCGAGAGGCGAGACGCGGCCTTCGGGGGTTCCGCGTGGGCCGTGAACGCTCCTTGCTGGTGGGTGCGCAGCACGTCCAGAGGCTGGAAGGCCAGCGCCGAGATCATGCCGGACAGCGCGCCAGCCAGCAGCTTCTTGGTCTTGCGCGAGGCGCCGGAGAGCTGGTCCATGTGGCGCTGGTCCTCGGCCAGCTTGGCCACCGTCATCGACGGAGCCGCAGCCATCGCTTGTTGCCCTTTTTGATGAAGTGGACGACATACGTGGGGTTGAAGCATACTGATTTTGACAATATGTTTCTGTATCAGCACATATTATTGTATTTTCCAGTACTTTTTCTAAACTGAATTGGGATTATTTTCATTAACTATTAAAAAATAGCATATTATTGCTAGATGAATGTGTAACTCGTTCTGATTCAAGATCAGTCTTGCCATTCTATTAAGGGGATTGGCCAGTTTAGTAGAGCAAGCTGAATTTTTGACTTTGAAAAGTATTTTCTTGAAAACTACTAATCTTTTGGAGATAAACGTGTCCACAATGAAAGCCCTGATTTGCTCTAACATGTACCAATCCAGACACAGTTAGCAGCTATGAAAGGGCTATTGTACACTCCACGACAAAAAGATATGGACACCACCAAAAGTGGCTGTAACTTCGTCATTTTTTATCGTTTTAAGGTGCGGTTTGGACTAGAGTTGCAGAACACGCTGAAAAAGATCTGCACGCTGCTAACACGCGCGCTTTTGCGCTTCTTCGGGTAGCTCACATACAAATCACTGGTTCTGCCCAGGTGACAAAACTTATGGACAGCTAATCCCCATACAAAATCCTATATAAACCAAAAACCCTTACAAATGATACGACTTGGACTTTGTATGGGGCGACAAAGGAACCCATGATTTCTCCACTCTACCTTAGTACTGAGCCATATATCATCGACCAACAGTTTAGAATGGAGAAGACAATCGTATATCCACGAGATAGCAGCATACAGAGCTACAAATTGGCGGATGCAACTGAACGTGCCTCGCAAATCATCAGATAATACATGGTAGCCACCACTCGAAATTTCAATTGCTTACTACTTGCTCAGTTTTGTGCGATGGTCGATGAATTTATTACAGGTTACTAAACACACCTTCTAGTACACGATAATACCATCAGATATTTGTCTAACGTCACGAGTATCCCCGTGAGGCTGGTTCCTTTGTCGCCCCATACAAAGTCCAAGTCGTATCATTTGTAAGGGGTTTTGGTTTATATAGGATTTTGTATGGGGATTAGCTGTCCATAAGTTTTGTCACCTGGGCAGAACCAGTGATTTGTATGTGAGCTACCCGAAGAAGTGCAAAAGCGCGCGTGTTAGCAGCGTGCAGATCTTTTTCAGCGTGTTCTGCAACTCTAGTCCAAACCGCACCTTAAAACGATAAAAAATGACGAAGTTACAGCCACTTTTGGTGGTGTCCATATCTTTTTGTCGTGGAGTGTAGCGCGCCAAAGAAAACATACCTACAGTATGCTGCGATCAGTTTAGTAGAGCGGAATAATACTGGTTTTTGTATCGAACTACCATATGGAAACGCGTGGTAAGAGTTTTATAGCCAACCCAAAGCACGTATTTCATTATTTCTGCAATATTACTGGTTCTACTAAACTGGTCAATTCTACTAAACTGGCCAAAACCCAAAGCACGTATTTCATTATTTCGGCAATATTACTGGTTCTACTAAACTGGTCAATTCTACTAAACTGGCCAAAACCCAAAGCACGTATTTCATTATTTCGGCAATATTACTGGTTCTACTAAACTGGTCAATTCTACTAAACTGGCCAAAACCCTTACTAGTATATCGTAACCAGTTTCATGTCTATATTTGGAACTCTAAATCAAACGATATTTAAGGATAAGACTATCGTCAAAACCTTTCTTAGCCTCACAAATCCCATTCTTATAAGGTCTCAGCATTACGAGAACATGACTGATTTATTAAATTACCCATTAATATGACAATTATCTCAATCCATCCAACAAGACCATTGTAATGATACTTTGGGACTGCTAAAGCTAGTACAATAATGGGATCAGCGCGTACTGCAACACCTACTGGGTCCACTACAATACCACGCGTGCAGTCTACCCACGTCTTACCCACAGCTAGCAATCGATTGTACCATTGTCTACCAAGAACCAGACGCATAGATCGTTGGTATTGAGTACATCGTCTACATATGCCGGTACGGTTTCCACCTTCATTTGGCGCCAATGAACTACTTTTGCCGTTGCTACAAGATGCTGATGGTGGGTAAGAGGCGAATCCGGCGCGTTGGAAGCAACACATTCGATAAACCAACTCGAAGATTTTTAGCACAAATCGATCGTCAAGCTGCTATTCAAAACAAACCCAAAAGTAGGTTAACTAGCTTACACATTTTCTAAAGTTGAAAGAGTGAGTCATTTCCAGGACGAACAATATAGAGAACAATCTACAACATAGATATAATACGCGGTCTTCGGTAAATCGACTTGATCATTTGTTTGTCGATGGAACAGATCACACTGAGTGAATTTCTACAAGATGACACACGAAAGGTACAAAGTGTTACTATATTGTAAATTTTAGTTGTCGGTGCCCTAAACTTGGCGGTATACGGATAACAATTTACTTGGCTGAATTTGTATGCTTATAAGAATACAAAGTTAACGGTTCTGTGTATGCGACTCCACGTGCGACCGTGTGAGAGGTACTGTATGGTTGAGTACCTATTCAAATACGATCAAGCCGTCTCTGCTTGATGTTTCGGTTGATTTAGTCAAACGTGGACAACGGTTACGCTCGGAGGTGGGGGGTTATGTTCCTGTGATCCCGACACGATATTGTGGTCATATAACACGTTTCGTACAACAGGCTTTGTTGGATCCTGGCGCAAAACAAACACTCGCTATTGTACCCGGGAGAGCGGTGAAGTTTCCTATGTACAAGAACCAATTCATTTGTGACGGAAGGAATATTAGACGTTTGACGTGAGCCCTTACCTCAATACATGTCCAAATATCTAATTCAGTAGTTTGGCGCACTCATAACGCATTTTACAACAGGTAAGTAGCCTGTATTGGAGATGTTTAAGTGTAAAATAGATACCTTTAAATCAAGCAGGTATTCGAATTCGATCAGGAAAAGGTCCTGCCGGTTGGGTGCTGCAAGACGTGGGGTCGACTGCTTTGGCCAAGCGCAATCAAGGATCAAGCGTCAGGTTAAAGCAAACACTCCACCGTATGTCGTCGGTGCGCAAGTGTTAAGGTCTGTGGCGGAGCAATGTAGTTGCCATAAGAAGAGGAGCGTTGAGGCCACTACTATCCAGAGCAACAAGGGTTCGTGTAGTCTGGCAACTGCGGCGGTGGGGTCTGGGCAGACGCTGGAACCAACACCAGAGTACATCAACTTGGCATTCCCCCGAATGGCGCAGCTTCTGCAAGAAGGCCTCGTGGAATGGTCTAATAGAAGGGGAGACGCGCAGGTTCTGCTGGCAGACCCCGAAGAACAGCAAACGAAGACGTAAGTAGTGAGAATCGGCCAAGGGTAAAACCACGGCAGTAGGGTTGTTAGGACTCGGAAGTTACCCAGTTGTCCAATATCCCTCATCATCATCATATCCAGAGCAACAGATATAAACTGAATTCAAGCTTCGTCTTACCCTACGAATGAAGAAGTCATGTGACACTCATTAATCACACAGATGGCTGGAGAACAGACGGTTAACACTAGGTATGTATGAATGCACAGCGTAACTGTGACGAATGTCATACGAGTAAACGTGTTCTTGTATACCAGCTTAAATATATGAACCGACATTAGGCAGTCCGACTAGCATAACAAAATGAAATTCACTAATACAACACTTCGTCTTGAGCTTCAAGCAGCGGTCGGTCATGCAGCTCTGAATTTGTTTGCTGCTACAGAGTGATCTGTGATGATCAAATGGAAACACAACTTGTGTAAAGAGTTTGAGCTTCGTCGCTAGCAATTAATCACGCGGCGATAGTAGCGACCTTCATGACATTGATTTTGAGTGTCGCAAACCGATCGGTTTGAATTATTGGTGTCATTGGTGTCTTCAACGAACTCACCCACACTGCTACTACCACCACTACTACATCTGTCGCGCATCTTGAATAGAATGAACGGTTCTTCGGTATCCACGGCTGGTTTAGACACTATCAATATATAATATCTAACAGCCGATACGTGAAATTTAGACCTACCGTATGCGTGAGCATCAACACCGAAGACTCTACAAAGTCCACAGTAGGGTTGTAGGCAATTCCAATCCAATTAGCTTACAAGTTTTGCTGATCCCACTACACCACGAGTTTGAATATTCGTAGTACAAGTAGGCGACAATGAGATCAATATATGACGGAGACCTGCCAGTCGGTGCTCACACTGCAGGCCTCCGGAGATGCATCGTCTTTAGATGAAAGGGTCAACGAACCTGGTCAAAATCGTTGTTTGTCATGACCGTAACGTTTTGTGCGCTTGAAAAGCGTTGATGGCATGCTACGATGAAACCATAAATTGAGTTGGGCGTATATAGGGTTAACACGGCACAGATCGGTTTGCCTGGATCTGCGTGGTATGATGGATTGCCGTGGTATGACGGGAAAAATGCCCGGATACATGGGCGTTTGGCCTCACTACCCAACTTGGGTAACCCAAGTGATCGCTGTATCTCACGTGGGGCCGCTCAGCGTATAATCTCCCTTCGTATGACAGTTTATGTTCTCTAAGCAACTGTACACGTAAGTCCAGATTCTATGGCGATAAGTTTGATCCATCATCGGCTTCGATGAGTGAAGATCAGCAACTTGATCAGCAAAGTACTGCCGCGTACACACTTGAATGTAAAATCGATGCTATCTTCATGGTGTTGCTAACAACTATGAATTTTGCGGTGCGTCTCGATGGTCTTGAAATCGATATACTGCAGACAAAAGCTCTGGTGGGATATTAGAAGCAGCACGAATGATGAACTCAGTCCACTATCAAGTGAATCATAAAAAATGCGCCTTGGGTCATATATTGCTGCACGTCAACTCACTAAGTCATTGCGATATTCTGTTACTTCTACGCAGCATGCAATATTGCGAACTTCCCGATCAAGATGTTGGCTCACTTCAGCCCACCATGCATTAAAAAGCTCTCGAATCAAGGCGTTGTCATCCACGCAATGCATATATATTTCTGGTAAGTGTTGCCGCGCACACTCCGTCACTCGCGAATTCGCCGGCCCGCCAAATTTCTCGCGAATGCCCTAGTCTCGTTGTGCTCCTCGCCAATCTTTCCAACTTGAACTGGTCCAGTAGGTGCTTGCCACTTTTCCGTCCGCTGCATTATTCTTCAATTCCACAAAGCCACCTTGGAACCAGTTTTCGCACATGCATTAAACACAAGAAATCTTAATGACACCTTCCACTTAATGCTGGCTCTTCTTGTCCTCCACTTCCGTCTTTTTCTTGGTTCCGTGGCGCGCAGACCCCTTGATGCGAAGCTGACTCCAATCTGGAGCTGTTTCTCCATGGTAGCCATAGTCGAAAAACAACTCCTCCCCCTTGGCAATATCTTGCTGAGCCCAAATTGAAATGCGGTGCTCGCCGCCCACAGTCAGAACCTTGCCCTTGCACTTCTTGGCCACAGCAGAGTGATTCGCAAACTTGCTTTTGTTCCCTTTGCGAATTGCATCGACCACCGAGTCGTCATCAACGTCGAATAGAAAGCTGATCGTCATTTTATCGTAAATGCTGCCGCGACGTTCAGCTTCGTCCTGGGAAAGAAGCGCCCCGTGGTACTCGTAGATAAACTCGCCGCGCTTGATCGGCTCCAAGGCAAAGGCCCCCCAACCGTGAGTCGTAGAGTATGCGACGCCAATTTTCTTGTGCAGTCCACGCAAGATATTCACGTTACAACAGATACCTAACTCCAATGCGGACATGTTCTTGCGCTCCTCATCAAAGATCAGCGCCGCGACCTCGCTCGCACCGCAAGTGACGCACAAATCGGGGTTGCACTCGCGTGCAGCGACGAAACACGGACACGCTTTGGTTCTGCAGTTTCCGAGGCTGCACCTGCACCCTGGGAACCTGTGAATGGATAAAGCACAACGCTAGTTAGAAAACACAAGTTATAAGGAATCCTCACAAGAAATCGTAAAAACGAACCGGTTGGGGCAGTCGCGCGAGCACGAGCACGCCTTGTCGCAGGTATGATCACGTGTCATACAGGAGCATCCAGTCGTATCACATGCCCCTTCGTGGTTGCACGGTTCGTATTCGTGGTTCGCGCCCTTGTCCTTCAAGCGGTTGTTCCTGGTTCTGTTGAGGAGGATGCGGTTGTTGCTGCTGCGTGAAGTTCGAGCTCGCTTCCGGCCATTGCTCCCAGAACGCGCGTCGGGTGAAAGCGGCATGTCGTCCATTGAGCTCGTGCGATTCGGCTTCTTCTGCCTCTCTGATTCCAGAAATGCGCCGACTTCCTTGCACGTTGTCGAGTTAACCATGGAGGAAATGATGCACGGATTGTTACCGATGATAAACCGCAGCTTCCGAAGTAGCACGAGCTCGGTATCGCTCACGGATGCACACTTCAACTCATCGGGGACACTCTCCGTTCCTGCACCGCACTTGGTACTTTCATCCTTCCAGCATTCGCTCGAGCACTTCTCTTCAGCCTTGAGAGACTTCTTGACAATGGATGTCACCCGAGCGTAGTGAGAGTCATCAAGGTACTCAGACTCGTCAGCGACCTGGGGATACACTTGGACGCGTTGGGGTCGAGACTGCTTTCTTCTCGAGGGCCGCACAGCTTGCTTCGTCAGGCTTCGGCTAGCCAAAGTGCTGATTCTCGTCAATGCACGTGAAGATCGGCGAGCTTCATGCTGCTCTCCGGTAATCGTTACTTCCTCATCCGTGGCGGTCTCGTAGTAAACCTCGGTGGACCCGTGCTCCATAGTTACATCTTCATCCGCCTGCACTTCCTCACTGTGGCTGCGAGTCTCTTCGTGTTTAGAGTTCTCGTCAGCTGTGCAACTGCCGCTGTCCGGTGTGTCAACCGGAGGACTTGCTGTGGAGGTGGCGCTTTCAGGTGTCCGGTCCGATGCTTCTCTGTCGTCATCCTCCTGCTGCTGCTCCCGTTTTGTTTGGGCTGCAAGTGCAACGGCTGACAGATGCAATGGTGGGTTGGTCGGGTCAACTCGATGAGAGGGGAGCGGGTGTTGAATGCCATGTTCAAGACAATGATAATCGTAACACATTCGGCAGAACATATCACGATACGTCACCAGTAACTCCGTGTAGTCGTCAGTTGATCGCAGACCCAGACCGTATCCACGGTTAGCATGGCTTCTGGACAGATTCGAGTCGAAGTAGGTCGGTGGGGGTGAAAACCTTTCCTCCAAGGACTTCTCAGCATCCTTGACATCGCTTAGCGCCGGTTCCAAAGTCGCCACCTTCGCCAGGGGGAAGCTTGCTGGCTTGCTTGAGATCAACTCTTTCGCCTCTTTAATACGCCGAGCAGCAAGCCGTGTAGAGTCATCCAACTTCTTGATCTCGCTATAGTCCGAGTAAGCTTGACCAAAGCCCGGCACCTTTTTCAGCGCAGTAAACACTTTCTCGGAAGTGCCACATTCGCGGACAACAAGGCGCAGCAAGTATTCATTCACTTCACCGTCCAGGCCGGTCGAAAGATTCGAATCTTTGGGCGCAATAGCATCATACCATGCCACATCGATATCCCCGCCGTCATCATTGTCTCCAAAATACGGCATGTAGCGCAAAATAGGGTCGTCCTCTACGCGAACATTTTCTTTCAAGCCGATGTAGGCGGTGCATCTGCTCAGTGGCCGAATGCATGGAAGCTGGTTCACATCTTGCGGAAAGAGCTTTTCTTCGACAGATACAGCTTCGCCCCACACGTTAACGTATCCGACTGATAGCACCTGTGTCAGCCTTTCCTGCTTCATCTGGTTCAACAGAGATCGATCCAGTGTATCCACTTCAGCCAGACGCTTGTTCTCCACTAAGCAGCCATAAACATTGAGGTAAGTTATCGAGATAGCTGGCCATCACGAAACATAAAGTAAAAACTAACGTACGTCGTGCGTGCTGCCACTGCTCTCGAAGCATCTCTTGCGCCGCCAAGTATGTCCGAACCTTTGAGCGCGCTTCCGTAAGAATCGCAGTCGTCTTGCGCTGGTGGCATGCTCGAATTCTGGGCAGTTCGCGCTGAATGAGTTCTGTTACACGGGTGTCCATGTCTTCTTGGGTAACGACTTGTTCTGGCTCGTCAGATACCAGCACCGACGCAGAATTACCAAACCGCGGTAACAGTTTGCATTTGCTCCTCAAGTCACCGTCCACGTCTGTTTAAAATATAGCCACAACACGCATTCGAGTAAGAAGACGAGTAAAGTAGGCAGATAGGTTAACCTCATACGTACCATAGGTCAGGAGTGGCCGGTCAGACTCTGACTGGAACGGAAGCGCGACACTCGAATCCAGCGGGAGCAGGTTAGGCGGTGCTGTATCGAAACAAACATTTCGCCAAACTGTGCTGTGCATCACCGTATCCTTCGCAGTCCTCGGGCGTGCCAGCTTGTCCGAGAAAACACCAGCTTGAGCAGGAGGGGGGACCTGCGCCTCTGACTTTGTCGAGGACGGCCGAGTTTTGCTCTTTCCTGCTTTGGTCTTGGACTTGGAGCTCTTCTTGGATCCATTGGTCTTCTTGCCTTTAGTCGCCTTAGCGCTCTTGGCGTGCTGTGAAGCATGCTGAGCGGGGGACTTGTCATGGCTTTTAGTCTTGCTAGGCACATAATACTCGTCATCACTGATGTTTTCATCATCAGACTCGGAAAATGAATCGTCCACTGATGACGTGCGCTGGGAAGACGCTTTTGGCTTGTACTCCTCAGCTTCCTCTTCCTCGTCACCACTCGGCTCTGACGAAGACCATTTAGTCGCGTCGATGAGGTTGCCACTTTTCTGGGGTCCGAAAAATGAAAACGACGGCTTTGGCGCTGCTGGTTTCGACGCTGCAGGTTTAGATACCGACGACTTCGGCGCGGCTGGCTTAGGCACCGGCTGCTTCGCTGCTGGCTTTGATGCTGCAGGTTTAGATGCTGACGGCTTTGAAGCTGGCTTGGACACTGGCTGCTTTGCTGCTGGTTTCTTCTTGGGAGGTGCTGTCTGACCGGTTTTCTTACCATTCTCCTTACGCAGCCGGGCTAGTTCACGCTCTTGAGCTACCACATCTTTAAGAGACATGGATTTAGCGCGAGTATCCTCCTGAACTGACGACGACGACGATGAAGATGAAGACTCCTCGTCGGAACCGGGAAAATCGAAGTCGAACGGCGACGGCGACGCCGTTTTCTTCATCACCACGCTCTTGCTGCGCGAATGCGGAGAGCTGTGAGTTGCCGCCACCGCATCACTCGCCTTGCGTTTGGTACCCGCAGTAGTAGTTCGACGCGCGGTGTTATGAGGCGCCGACTTGCTTGCGCGATGCGCTATCGCCTGCAGTATCTCGAACTCCCGCTGCTGAGCCTGCAGCTCACTGAACGACATGGCGTCTGAGTACATCCGGCCGTCATTGCCCGCGAACTTGAGCTGCGTCTGCTCCTCTTGGGTGTAGTCGTCCGAGTCCGTCGTAGCGCTGGATTGACCCGCCGAGTTCTTCTTCTTCTTCTGCGATGCCGTCATCTTCTTCTTCTGCTTGCCACGCGGAGCAGACGACTCGCTGGCGTCGCTCTCGTCCTCCTGGGTGTCTGAAGGCTCCTCCTCGCTCGATGCAGACTGGTAGCTCAGCCCCTTGCGCGCTGCGGGCTCCGCAGCAAACGTGAACTTGGGAGACGCCACGCGCGCCTTCTTGGGCTGGCTGGGCTGGCCCGTGTCCGACTCGTCGGACGAGCTGACGAGCAGCGGGGCGCTGCGACGGCCGCTGGCCTCCGCCGTTGCCTCCTCGTCGCTCGAGTCGTCCAGCACGATCACGGAGCTCGGCGGACTCGGCATTAGCTGGGGTGGAGCGTGTCACAGTACGTTAGAACCAGTGTGATATTAGCGACGGTTACTGCGTGGTAAGCACCGCAGGACACGACCGGAGCTGCGGGGATCGCGGCAGGAACGGATTGCAAGCCGTGCGCCATGGTATGCGCGGCCGAAGAGCTTACCTTGGGGTCTCTCCTCCCTGCGCCGTTCGTTGGTTTCGCCGAAGATGACAAGTGAAAATGAAAATGCTAAATGAGGTGGGGATATGTTGTTTGAGGTGGTCTATCCTAAATTTTGTGGTTGGATTGGTCTCAACAGAGGGTGCCAACTGTTGAAAAAAAATGCAGCGATGCCGTCGTAGCAGGTATTTACTGACGGATCGAGCACTGAGCTGCAATGGTTGAATGTACTCCAGTGTGAAGCTCCCAGTTGGAGGATTGACTCGCGTTCATACTCAACCTAGTACATTGTATGTTGTTTAACCAAGAGGGGGTTGTCACCTGCGAGGTTTTCTCCTCCTCAATCCCATTATTTCCGTTGGCAAACAAGCTAGTGTTCCTCCGTTTTTCGTGTCTGGTCTTCTTCGGTCATCGACTCGATGTACCCGGAAGTACTACCGTCTTACTGGACAAGCCCTCAGGCGATCGAGATCAAACGATTGAAACCAGGAAAGCTTCCAGTTGCTGCTCGAGTGAATCTCCACACTGTGCAAGTCGAACTCCCAACGTAGAATACTCGCGTGTTGGAAGTTTTGTTTGCATAACTGGCTGCTAGTATGGTTGAACTTGAGTTGAGACCACTTTTGTACAATTGGAGATTGAGGCAGTCGTTAGCTCAAGGGAGCTGAAGACGCGCGAGCAGTGAAGAAGTCGACGGCCTACCGTTTTTTTCTCCTCGGTGTAATGTGTGCTGACCAGAGCTCGCAACGGGTACCCGAAAACCTGGTACCCGTCCGTCCATACCCGTCCGTTTGAGTTTCGGACGGGTACGGGTACCCGATTTAGTTTTGAAGCAGCCTCGGATCGGTTCGGGTATCCGAAGTTCGGGCCGAACCATGCAATAATTCCCATCCAGATTATTCAGGTATTGACCAGAGCCAACTAGCGAAGCACGTGCAGATCGAAGTGAAGACAATCGCAAGTTTATAGCCATCTTACCTTTGTAGTCTACTGAACAGCGCTCTGGCCACTTTTACCTGTGATATTGGGCTGTTTTCATACATGCACGCAGTGCCGTACTGTTCGACATATGACCGTACCGTTAGATCATCCATAACTGTGCGGTCACCTAAAGGGGGAAGGCTAGATCAAGGTAGATCTTAGCTTAGAAGCTTAACGTGAACGTATTATACTGCAAAATGGCATTTCGCATCATATCCTTGATGGACATGCCTACCCGCAACTTCGGACGGCGATATTTCGGGTATCCGAACGGATTCGGATCTACGGACGGGTCCGGGTACCCGAACTTCAGACAAGGCCCACATGGGCGGATTCGGGTACCCGGTGCCATCTGCCGAGCGGTCCGGGTAAGCCGGTGCATACTGTTTGCGACCTCTGGTGCTGACAGGGGCCCGGGTATTTCTGGCTGAATTGGTTTCGAAGCAGGGTAGCAGACAGCGATAATCTTGAATAAGTTCGCGGGGTGTCTCCGTCGACGACAAAAAATTGGACTGAAGAACGCACCGCAGATCTACCAGCGTCATGTCATGAGCGACAACTAGGTTGTCTCTCGTCCGGTACTTCGAAATACAAATCGCGTACACCGCATCAACGTCACAGGGAGCTCGCAAACGCGCGCGAACAGATAGTTGAAACAACGCTTCGATAAGTGAGGACCCACCTGCTTTGTGTATGTGAATCACGAGTAGCAACAGCACCAGTACTAGCATGGCAGAGCGTCAAACGCGCGCCTGTAGTTTTGGCGGTTAAAATCCGGCAAAAGTAAATATAACATTAGCTACCGCTAATTGAGGTTCCTACCTCAAATAAGACATGGATACGCTTTCATCGAGCATTACATCTGTCCATACTTTGTTCAATACTGCCACGACTGCAATTCGCAGTCTGCGAAGAACGAGAGCATGAACTGGGTAAGCTCTTCGCTGGAGCTCGCGGGCTCGCTGCTGGAGTCCGTGGACCAGCAAGCCGCGCTCACCCTCGCCGGTACGTCTCCTGCTCCGGTCCGTTCTATAGCGTATTGTCTCTTAATGCTAAACTCCTTTCCTGCAACGCGCCAGGGAAGGAGGAGGTCGAGGAGGAAGACGCGGGACTGTTGTCGACTGCGCGCGTGAGTCAGTCGTCTGACGGGAACGCGTCCAGTGCAGCGGAGATCGAAGAACCAGAGAGCTCGGCGACGGAGGAGGCTCCAGTGTCGACGGTACGCTGTCGTGGGATCTATGGGGTATCTACTGAGCAATGTGCTAAGTGTGTGACGGATGCACTTGGGTTACACTAGGACGGGGCATCGAGTAGCAGCTCCAGCCAAGCGAAGACTGCTGTTAACAACTATCCGAAAAGCACGCCACCACTGTCGGGGTCGGGGAACAAGCTCGCGGGCTTCGTGACCGCCATCTCCACGCAGCTGGAGAATGTGTCGACGGGCAGGGGCGGGGACCCGCCGCTAAGCAGCAATGGGTCGCAGTCCGCCTCCACAGAGGAAGAGTGCTCTCGACTGCAGAAGGAGCTGGCCCGCGTGAAGAACGAGCTGCGGTTAAAGGAGAAGCAGCTGAGCAGTACGCAGAAGAGCATGCAGATCTGCGAGGAAGAACTGGTCGCACTGGAGCAGGAGTGCAAGGAGAAGATCGCACAAGTGCAGCATGAGGTGCGTACGCTGCAATGGGTTTGATAGTCAGCGTCTTCCTCATATGATTTTAATACTTGATCAGATGTCAGTCGTACAACAAGACAAGAACTCAGATGAACAGAACTTCATCCAAGCGCTGGAAATGAAAGACAACCAGGCGCGTGCTATGAAAGCCGATCTAGACGCGCTAACCGAGGCAAGAGCGCAGTACACGGCGGAAATCGCTTCGCTGAAGGCTGAACTGGCGAAGGCCGTCGAGTCGAAAGACACGCTGTGGACCTCCGCTGCGTCAGCTAGCAACGAGTCGGAGCAGCTGATCGAGTCGCTCCGCTCCGAGCTGCAAGATACGCTGACGGCAATGAACAACTTGAAGCGCGAATACGCTGAGTCGAAGAACACGATGTTTTCTCGCCAGTCGCAGCTAGAGAGCACGAACACGGAGCTTGTGAACAACGTGGCCAATCTGGAGCGAGAACTCGCGAAGGCGAAGGAGGCGGCGTCGGCTGCCTCTCAAGCAGCGTCTGCTGGAGGGCCAAATGCCCATGCCATCTCAGGGCCAGCGCATTTTGGTACGAATACCAATTTTGCGTCCATGAACGACGACTACAGGCGGGTGCAACAGACACTGGTGCTTACGAAGAAGTCACTGCACGACGAGTCAAGGAAGAACGAGGTTCAGAAACAAGAGATCATTGCCTTGACAGAAGAAGTACGTCGGCTGAAGGAATCACTCGAGGTAGCACAGGCGAATTCTTCACAACAACTGGAGACCACGACTCGGGAGAATGAGCAGCTGAAAGAACAGGTGAAGCAGCTAACGTCTCACACCAGCGCGGCGGCGGCCGCTAACGGCGAGCTGCGCATCCAGCGTCTGACCAACCGGCTGATCGAGAAGCAGGAGACGATCGACTCTTTGCGTAGCCGCGTGACGACAATGGACGTTCGTCTACAGGACGTGCAGCTGCGGGCCCAGCGCGCCGAGGAGAAGCTGTCTAGGATGGAGCAAAACGGCGGCATTGACGACGTGGAAATGGCGACCCCCGTCGGAAAGTTCGGGCGGAACGGCATGCGGTCGCGGCCGAACCGCATGGCTCACATGATCTCACGCGTGGCCCCCGTGGTCGAGCGCAGCCATCGTGTCGTGACGGCTCTGGACGTGCTGGACCGCTGGCTGCTCTTCCTCGGGCGAGTGTTCGTGCAAGCCCCGTTCGCGCGCCTCGGCATGTTGTGCTACGTGGTGCTGATCCATTTCTGGGTCTTCATGATCCTGAGCTTCCACACGAGCCACCTGACCGAGGAGATGCAGCTCTCCACTGCTGCCGAGAACGCCGTCATCGAGCCGGGGGAGGACATGATCCCAGGAGGAGGAGGACACTAAACCAGAAGCTGTTTGTCATTGTCCGCAGAAGCACTTTCTGCCATAAGTATTTACTCTAGCAACAGCAGCTGAAGCTTGAAAGGCTCACTTCACTTCGACTAACCAAAACCAGGAAATGCGCCCGTATCACCGATCCGTGTACAGTCGTGGCACCAATCGCGTGACCGTTGTGATATGTATCCAGTCCAGCAGACCTCACTTCACTATTGAAGCATCCCTAACCCGCTCCAGCTATTTTCATCAAATGTGGCAGTAGCCGTCAAGCGGTATTCCTGTTGTCGTCATTCCGACACTCTCCACGAGTCAGCGACGCCGAGCGACATCGATTGCCCATGAGCCCCACGCCGGACGCGCCCGTGTCCACCGCCAGCGAGGGCGTCGCCAGCGCGAGCTCGGTGCGCGCGGAGTCGAGCGCGACGGACGCTGAGATCGCGTGGCTGCGGCGCTGCCTGCCCATCTTCGTGCAGCCGGACGTGGACATCAAGAACCGCAACGACCTGGTCAAGATCTTCTTCCGCTTCGAGCGCGACGACCAGTCGGGCCACCTGCTGTGCAAGCTCTGCATCGTGTTCGCGGGCGAGTCCAGCTACAACCGCGTGCAGGAGGAGATCGAGAACTCGCTGGCCACGCTGTGCTACCGCACCTTTAACCGGCGGACGTACAAGCGCACGGCCGACATCAACTACATGGAGTTCCGGTGCGCCTCCCCCTGCTACAGCGCTGCTCTATTTGCTGTTGCGATTGATTAATTTATTATTCTGACGCTTTCTGTCTTGCGGTAAATTGTGCAGGAATGTTGACCTGGACCCGAAGGCGGCAGTGCCCTGGGCCACCATCTACTCGCAGGACCACGGAGGCAAGCAGCAGTGGGCGCAGGGCGAGAAGAAGAACCTCGGCAACTGGTTCTCACTCATGCACCACTACCACGCCGAGGTCGCGTACGCGGACTGGAAGCTGCACCCGCAGACGCACCGACCGTACATTTACCTCAACACGTGCAACCACATGATCGGCGAGAAGGACAACAACCCGAAGCTCAGCAAGTTCAACTGGATTGACTACCCGTTCCAGCAAGGCGACGGAGACGATGCCTTCCGCTACGTCGTGGGCCACGTGCCTACCAAGTGCAACCTCTACTCGTACTTCTGCTTCTGGCGCGCACGCAACGGTGGCGGGTGGTGCGACCGCCACCCTGGAGGCAAGTCGGTCTCTCGAGACGGCAAGTCCATCTACGTGAAGTATCCATCCACCACCATGACAGGCGTGTAGCAAGGGGTAAAGCTTAGCTACCTGGCAGCACTCGCACGTCGTCAGCACGCGCGGGACACATAGTACACTATTGTAACGAAACAAGAAAAAAAGTAGATGCATTTTGCGCAAGTAGCACGCACTGCTACAGTCGAGAAACAGTCAAGGAACACTATCCTGCAGCTGGTGTCGGGGGCGCCGAGTCGTTTTGGGGCAGCTCCGTTTCGTCCTCGAGCTTGGCAGCCACGCTGCGTGCCATTTGCTGAGCTACCAGCTCGTTCTCAAGGGCAGAAGATGTCGAGGAGGACGTCGGGGACGTCATAGTGCTCGAATCGAAGCCCGTAGGACCAGTAAACTTGGTCGCATCCAGCTCGCGCACCTTCATCCACGTCGTCCACATCTCCTCAACGGAAATCGGAGCCTGCTCGAGTAGCCATCCCATTTGGCGTCGAGTAGCGTCCAGCACAGGCTGGAAACCCATTTGCGTCGCCCCCGAGTGCACCCAGTGCAGATCCAGGAGCATGAAAGCCATAGAATGCAGCTTGAAAAAGGCCTCAGGGTCGTCAAACACACGCCAGAATGGCGTGCGGCTCACCCGCTCAGCTACTCGCAGTTTCATCACGACAGCTGGCGAGGTGTCGCCGTGGGTCTCCACGGAGTGCAACACGAGCTTTGTGCAGACATCAGGCGCCTCGTCCAGCATGAGCAAATGCATCATCATGCGCATGACATTGATGCTCGCAACGGGGAACGGGTAGCGATTGCCACCAGCAAGCGCATTGCGCTCCATCATCGCGTGCGCCTTCTCCGGGTACTCCTCCACGAAGAAAACAAGGCATTCAAGCGCTAGGACACCACCGCCACGGAAGCCACCGAGCGGGTTATCCGTGTGAAACCCGCTGCACTTCCAGCGGGGTGACGCCAGCATCGCACTCACATCGATGCCACCCACTTCACTCTCGCTGTTGCTCGAAGCCGACAGCACTGAATCGCCTTCTTTAACCATTGACTCCTCAGGCACGAGCAGTGCATCCCAGAGCCGCTTGAGCAAGGCTACGTGGGCCTCGTTCGTCATATCCAGCGGCTCCTCCATGCGGAAGCGGAGCGTTTCCAGACGTCGAACCTTTTCACGCAACTTGGATCGGCGAGAGCTTAGCTCAGCGCGGAAGTCATGAAGGATCAGCTCTTGCTCCCTGAGCAGCATCGCGATCACTTGAACAGCTTCCTCGGCGTCGCGTGTTTTGTGGCGTACGTCTCGAGCGTCTGAGGGTAGACCGAGACTGTTTCCTGGGAAGGTGGACAAGTACTCGTCATCTGGCATTAAGCGTGAGCGGACCGAGCTCCGGTGTTGATACCCAACGGGGTACTTTCGGTAGCTTGCATCTTCAAACTCATGGAATCGTTCTGCGTGCCTTCCTCTCAGGAGAAGGGGAGCCAAGCAGTTCGCTATCGCGTACACGGTGAGTCCATTCTTCTCGGCGTGACGAGGCTGTAACGCGACTGACACCCAGTAGCAAAGCCGTTCAAGGAGAGGCTTGCAATACCATGGCAGATCATTGATCAGGACTACAAGAAGCGCCTTGCACTCCTCGTCGGTCATCCCACTACCGGGACGGCCAGCACAAACGAGGAACCTGTCCAGGCGCTCTTCCGTGAGGAGTGGGTCAGGCAACTCCCAAAGGTATTGGAGCAGAATTGCCACAACTTCGTGAGGATCCACTGCCATCTTCCGATGAAACCCGCCAAGCTCCTCGATTGTATCACGCAGCTCAATGACGTGATCGGCTTGCAGGTGAGCCTGGAACAAACCTGGCGAGTCCACGTGCTCGTAGAGGTAGCAAAAGCAGGCCTCAACCACATCGGGGAGACCCAACGCAGTCTCAAAGCGCGCCATGCCGCTCAGGAACGGGTTGCACAGCACATCCAGCAAGTCGCTGCCGAAGACGTCGTACTCCGGGTATCCGAGCTCCAGGAAGCGAAGTACCGCAGTGGCCGCATCCTCCATCTTCTGGGACTGAGCCGCTTGTCTGAGGGTTTCTGACAACGGGTTGCCACCTTTGCGGGTGTTGAACGCCAGTCGCAGTTCGTGATGTGACACCAGCTTCTCCGCGAGCAGCTCCGTCTCGTCGTCAACCTCGCAAAGGCGCACGCGACCACTCACCATATCCTCGGGGTCAATGAGCTTTGGCGCCTGCTTCTTGATCTTGAGGGCCTTCGGTCGAGGTAGCGGTCGCGAGAATGGGAGCGTCTCTGGAGCTAGATCGAGTCGCGGGTCGTCGATCAGGAACGCGAACGGCAACTCGTCCAGCCCCGAGAGGAGGTTCAGGAACATCTTGACCTCGTCACGCTGGCGAAAGAGGGCGAACTCGGTGTAGTACGACGCCAGGAGGTCAATATTGGTCTCCGACAGGACCATACTGAGACTAGACTGCAGCACGTGCGTGTTGAGCGCTTGGCGAACGAATGCTCGCGCCTTGCCTTCGTCCGTGTGCACGTTCGTGAGCCCATTAGCCGAGCGAACCGCTCCGACGAGACCTCGCACGTGTCGAGGCAGGTCTGCTTCGACGCTGGAGGTCACAACCTCGCACACTTTGCTGTTTGAGGACGAGGACGTCGCCCCTCTCGGAGCAGCGACGGCGGCGCGGTGCATGGCCTCCACCATTTGCTTCTGGCGGATGGCTTCCATCCGCGTGCACGTCCACTTGACGACGCCAAAGAACTTGACGGTGGCCACAGAGCCCGAGTCGTCTGCCTCGAGGAGACGCAGTCCATGCGAGATGCAGCGATCCAGCTGCGTGCACAGCAAGTTGACCACTGCCTGCTCGTCGTTCAGCAGCAGCTCCCGGGCGTCATCCGTGCTCTCCATCATAGCCGCCTTGGGGCTGTCATTGTTGTCGTCACTGGGCGAAGTCGACGTGTCCGCACCGTCGTCCATGGAGCTACTGCGACGAAGGGCGGTGCCGTTGCCGCCCTTCTTGGCGTCCATGAAGAGCTGCAGCCCGCGCACGGCGCTCTCCAGGTCCTCGAGGATGATGCCGCGTTGGCTCTTGGCCTGCAGCTGGCGCTTGGCGCGGTTGCGGCGGCGCAGTTGCTGCTCCTCCTCCGTCTCCTCCTCGGGCTCCCCGAGCACGAGGTTGCCCAGACGCGCGAAGAACTCCATCGTGGGGTGCCGGCCTCGAAGTCCTGATGCCTTTCACGCAGATCCAAAAGTGACTCAACTGCGACTCTTGAGGAAAAGATCCCTAGATTTACCGAAAGATCGCGCGACCGATGGAGGACAGGCGGTTCAACACGAGCGCAACTCGCTGGTGGGCACGGGCGTCGCCGACACAACGAGCATGGTGGCAGTGAATGTCCCCAGCTAACTTTTAATCTATGCATAGCGCTAGTCAAACTGCTGGCGCAGCGCCATCTCGGTCTCGGACTTCCAGCCGCGGAAGTCCGACCCGATGCCTGCCTGGCCCTTCACTCGCTGGTTCTTGACGCGCTCCTTGGCGTCCTTCTTCTCGCGCTTGGGCGGCTGCTCTCGACTCGCCACATCCGCCGGCCGCTTCCGCTCGCTCCTTCGCGTCTCTTGCTCTCGCTCTTGCTTGTGCGTTTGCTCCTCCTTCTCCTGCTCTCGACGCTGCGTCTCCTGCTCTTCCAGCAGATCGAAGGTCTTGACAGAGTCCGCCGACTTGGCGCTGGACTTGGGCGCGAGGTACGACGCGGTGGACGCCGACACGCTGGACAGCACACTGTCGGCTGATGGCAGCAGCTGGGTAGCGGCCTTCTTCACCTCTTGCTTCTGCTCATGCCGCGCCGTTAGACTCGTCACCTGCTCCTCAGCGTCGCTCTCGCCCTCGCTGCTGTCGCTGCTCGCATAGTCGTCGCCGAGCAGGAAGGACATTTCCGCAATTTCAGCCAATACAATACACTACTGAAGACGAAACAGGATGGCGGACACTGAGACGAAGGCGTGGCTCAAGACGGAGCTGGTGAGCGCTCTGGGCTTCGCGGAGGTGGACGAGATCGTGGCCTACATCACCAGCACCTTCCGCTCCAAGCAGGAGGCGTCCAGCTACCTCGTCGAGCTGCTGGGCATCCCCGCCGCGCGCGCGGAGCATATCGGCACGCGGCTGTTCGCCCCGGCGCCGCCGCCGGCTGCCCCCAAGGAGACGGAGGGGCTGGTGCCTCGCCCCACAGCCGTGAACTCGCGCTTTAAGCCCAGCAAGAAGGGCAAGAAGGCGGCGGCGCTGTTGAACAACGCGCTTATCATCAACTGCCTGCGTTGCGGCCGCATTGAGTACAATGGCGGGCGCCGCTGCGCCTTCTGCGACTCGGAGCTGCACTACGAGGCGGACGCGGCGACAGCAGACCACGCCGCGCAGCAGCACATGGAGGAGCTGGTGCGGCTCGACGAAACCGGCGCCCAGCGCACGCGCGTTCTTGACGCCGAGCAGTACTTCTACGACGAGGAGCAGGTGGGCCAGCGCCGCGAGGAGGAGGGCGACGACACTGGCAGCAGTAGCAGCAGTGCAAGACGCCCGATCACGATGGCGCTGGACCTGGAGAACCGGCAGTTCGTGGACGTCAAGATCGCGCGCAACGAGCAGCTCGCCAAGGACGCTCGCGAGCTCGTGGACGGCGTCCAGCGCAAGATGAGCAAGGGCAAGCGCGGCAAGGGCGGTCAGCAGCAGACGGAGATGCCGCCGCGCTCGGGCGGCATCCGCGAGGCGCTCGTGGTCGTGGACGACTCGTACAGCCTCGTGTTCGTGTAGGTGGAGCTTAATAATTCACGCCAATAATTAGCCCAACAACCTCGCGAGCGCTGGGGCTTGTGCGCCCCTGAAAATTACGCCCAAACTTTCGTGTGCCGCCCAGGCCGGCCAGGCGACTGAAACGAGCCGAGGCGAGGCGCTTCTTGCCTACAAAGGTGCCCGGAGGGAGACTTGCCGCAAGTCTCCGATCATCTTGGTCAGCACGCGGCTTGGCGGTGCTGCAGCGCGGCGCTCGACAAAAATCGCGCAGCAACGTACGCACTTGAGTTGTCGCAGGACTGTAACTACGGGTGGCCGAGATGGGCCCGAGTATGCGGTTTGCGCTGCGAGAGGCCGCGGCGGAAGCTGGCGCGGCAGCAGCAACACTTCCAGATTTGCCTCCTGCAGTGCACGGCCCCGCCCCGCGACTCTAGGCCCCAGCGGCCGCCGATTCCTGCCATGTCGACGACGGTGAGCGCGGCCAAGGGCCCGAATGCGCTGCAGCGCCGGGTGGCCGAGTCTGCGAGCCAGAGCACGGCGCCTGCCAACCCGCTCTGGGACTTCTACGCCTGCGGACTCGTGGACGAGAACGACGACTGCTCCGAGGGCGAAGACACGGAAGACGAGCTGGAGACCCAGGACTACATCCTGTTCCAGCGCCAACGCGCCCAGGCGCGTCTCGCCAACGCGCACCAGCGTGAAGCCCGCGTCCTGCGCGCCGCCAAGCACTGATAGACCAAGTGCGATCGGTCATGGCGATCGCCGCCGCCACCACCAACACCTTCCCAGCTAGCGTGCCTCCCCATGCGTAATGTTTCAAGAGCTGTAGAATACGATTGATAAATAGATAAATGGGAACAACGCGTTTGTTGAGGGCGTTGTTGGCATGCTCCGCATGCTTGTTGTTGCCGCTGGGCGCTCTCGACTGCAGCCTTGCCGAGTTGTGCCAGCATCGCCGGTCGCTGGGTTGACATCACATGTTCAACGTGGTCTTGGTTGACACAACATGCTAGTGCCAATGTTGAGTCTACATACTGCACCCTTGCTACATGTACACCGCTGAGGCGCTGACTAGCGTGTGTCCAGCCACGAGCACTGACGTCTATCCCGGAACTTCAGCTTCCGACATATCGTTTCGCTGACTGCACTCGTCGACTCGTCGGCGACGCGAGCGAGCGACGCTCGCCGAGCGCGTGCAGCAAAGCGAATTCTACGGCCCCGAAGAATTTTTCAGGGGAGCGACGATGCTGTCTCAGAGCGAACTCCTGCATCGCGGCCGTCGCGGCGAACGTGACACGAACGCTGGTCGTAATGGAGGCGGCCGTTCGAGTGGCGGATCTCGTACACAAGAAGTTTACACGCTGTAAGGATGCATCGGTGCGCTAACGCTAACGAGGCAGCACGCTCAATGTGCGTTTCACTTGGCTCCGGTGCTCGAGCCTCGAGTCGTCCGGCCACACAAATGCCTGTCGACGAACGGCGGCAGTATGTGTACATGTACTGTACAGTAAAGGCTGGAAGGGTGGACCAGATGGCTACATTACTCGCGGCCGTTTCCCCGTTGATGCTGAAGTTGACTGCGATTGGCTGTGATTGGATCCCAATGAATCAGAAACAGATGGACCCACGAGCTCGAGTTGAGCCCTCCCCGGGGGTCATTGTTCTCGCCCCCCGCCCGCGCGCCCTGCTCCGCCATGACCGCCACCGCCAAGTCGCGCGTCCATTCCAGCTCCACCGGCTACGGGGCCGTGGACTCGCCGCCGTCGTCGCCGCTGCTTCCGACCAGGCCGCGCCGCGACTCGACCGAGTACCTGTTCAAGTTCCTCGTGCTGACGCAGGTGTTCATGTACCTGGAGGCGGGCGCCGTGCCGTCGCTGCTGCAGCAGTTCACGCTCACGTTCCGACTAAGTCCGCAAGAGCAAGGGCTGCTGGGCGCCATTGTGTACATCTCCATCTCGCTGGCCTCCCCCTGGTGCAGCACGCTCTTCCGCCGCTTCGACCCGCGCCAACTGCTCGGCGTCTCGCTTGTGGTCAACAACCTCGCGGTGCTGGGCCTCGCTTGCGCGCCGACTACGGCCTGGTACTCCAAGTCGCTGCTGATCTTGCTGCGCGGCTTCGTCGGGTTGACTCAAGCCTTCAGCTGCGTGTACTCGCCGCTATGGGTGCACGACTACGCGCCCAAGGCGAAGCGCGGTACCTGGATGAGCTATCTACAAGGCGCTGTGCCCGTCGGCATTACGCTAGGCTACTTTGCGGGCTCGGTTACGATCTGGCTGGCGTCAGAAGGACCCGAGGCGGCCGCGACCTCATTGCAAGGTGTGGTGACCGCTTTGTCAAAGGCAGCGCTGGGGATCAATGCGAACTCCGATCTCGTAGACGGCGCCGACGAAGCCTCGATGAGGCTTTGCCACGGAATCTACTGCTGGCGCTGGCCGTTCCTCACCCAGTTTGCACTGATCATGCCGCTGTCAATCCTGATCTTCTTCGTTCCGCGGGAACACATTCGACTACGCGCCACTCGTCGCCGCTCCATCGTCATTGTGGACGCAGATGAGGATGAAGATACCAGCGTCGAGCAGAGCATGCCAACTACGAATGATGATGAAATTGTTCTGATGGGGCCCCCAGGGGACAGCAGTGTGTCGGACGGCTACAGCTTGCGATCGTTGAAATCGCACGAGTTGGAGGAGAGCAACTCCAGGTGGAGCAATCTCTGGCTGTTGCTGCAGCACAAGGTGTACGTGTTTATTGTCATGGGGCTGTCGGGGCTCTTCTTCGTGGTTGCGGGCGTTCAGTTCTGGACGACGTTGTATTTGGAGACCAACACGGAGGACTCGATGTACGAGATTCATCTCTCGTATCTACTTGTAAGCGGCACTGGTCCGATCATGGGCGTGTTCTTTGGCGGCTGGCTCATCGATCAGTTCGGCGGGTACTCGGGCCCGTACCACCAAATGCAAGCTCTGCGTGTGTGTATGGTGCTGGGTGGTGCTGGTTGCCTGGCCGCGTTGCCAGTGTCGTACGTGCATAACACGTTCTACATCGCGGTGTTCCTGTGGCTCATGCTCTTCTGCGGAGGCAGCATCCTTCCAGCCTGCTCAGGAATTGTGATTTCAGCCGCGCCACCACGGCTGCGCCCGCTGGCCTCGTCGGTGGCGTACGCGAGCTACAATCTGTTCGGGTACGCGGCATCTAACTATGTCCCCGGCCTGATCATGAATTTTATCATCGACCCAAGTGCAGACGCAGATGCGGATACCAGCGGTCTCGGAAGTGTTGGATCATGCAACGCTGCCTGCACGTACCGTATCGGCTTCCGCATCGTGCTGCTTTGGAGTGTTTGGGCTTTCTTCTGCCTCACGTGCGGTGCTATCGAATCGGGTCGAAACTATAGGGCGACCATTACCGGGCACTACAACGGAAAGCAACAGACAACGGCAACGGCGACCTCGCATCAACCAGTGTTTAAGAGCGTCGTGTAAGCAATGCATGTGGCACCTATAGTATTCTAATGCAGATAGATCAAATGCGGCTCTTTGAGGAGATGAATAACGTATGCGAACGGTATCGTGTTTGTGTTTACTTCACGGTTGAGCTGCTTGTCATCATTTGCTTCAGGCGGGGAGCCTTACGCAGCAGTGCGTTCAGCATTGTCCCCACGAAGAAGGCCACCACTGTCGAAGTCATCGTGATAACATTGTACGGCATACTGAAATCGGGCGTTGGCAGCGGCACAAGTAGTGGTTCTGTGAACAGTGTTGTACTGAAGTCAGGATCCTCGCCACATACCGCCGCTTCCTGAGCACCAGACAGCAGATCGAATGTAGCAACACCCGAGGCAACGTCAAAGCCACGATTGGCATCAGGCGGATGCTCCGATAAGCGCAGGAATGCCTTTTCCATCTGGAGCGAGAACACCAACGTTGTGTTCGCAGGCAGGAACACTTCAAGACGCAACTGGTTGGGACGGCCACGCAACTCAGCTGGCACAAAGTTGAACGATTGAATCAGCTCCTGCGCCTTCTGCTCACTGCCACCGGCGGCCGCGCGAAACGTGTGGAAGTATACGCGCAGAAACCACGGGATGACGTCGTGGTAGGTAACACGCATGCCACAAGTAGGGTGGTTGTTCTTGAGCTGCACTGCGAATCCGCCACTCACCTGGCCGTAGCCAGTGACGAAACGATGAGCCGACACCATATCTTCTTGGGCCTTGTAACTGCTTTTGGAGGAGGCTTTCTCAGCTGCAGCTTTCCAGTCGTCGAACCACGGAGTAGTAAGCGACACAGGTTCCACACGAAGGTCAGTGGTCGCAATACCCGATGCCTTCATGTCTTCCGTGTGAATTACGCTTTCTTCAGCAAGCGGGCACGCACTGATATCCGCGGGTTGCTCGTTCGCAAAAAACAAGGAGCCCAGACTCCAGCGCGCCTTGTTGTGCTTACTGGGGCTCTGCACCGTTGTCAAGTGTTGCTGAAGCGACCACGTGCCGTCCTGAGATCTCGCCGCAAACAGCGATAGCGACAGGTACTCCCCCGACAGCGCGTTAATAGGGTCAATAAGAGCCCCAAGGCCAGACACCGCTCGACACGGCAGCATTTTGAGCCAGGGCGTCAAGTTTTCAGTGCAGAGTTCCTCACGCGCCAATGACCCGTGCAGGAACACGAGCGCAGGGTCAGTGTTTGTCGAAGGGAAGGCGCCCAACTCCTGCGGTGATGAACCTGGTAGTGGCTCCGTGACGACCGTCTCATCCATCTGGTTCAATGAGGCGGAGAAGATGCCGCCCAGCTCCGACGTGATCCCTCGCCAGCGCTGCTGGATGTCCGCGTCGCCTCGAAGCGCCACCTGCAGCCGCGTGCCGAAGGGCGCGTGGGAGAGCCCGGACCGGTTGAAGATTTGCGCTGAGCCGTAGCGCCAATCCGCGTATCTGCCGACGGAGAAGGTGAGGTGCAACGACTCGGCGTCGTGTTTCTCGAGGATCTGGCGGAACACGTTGGGGAAGAGCGACGCTGCGGCGCGGCCAGAGTCCTCGTCCACTGAGAAATCGAAGCGGCCTAGAACCTGGTTGATGGCAGGGAGGGGACGCAACGCCAACTGCTCGGTGAACGCTGCGAGGGCTCCATGAAGCATGGAGAGCAGCAGAAGCAGCGCGACGAGCGGCGTCTTCATGTTGGCTTGCTGATGTGTTGTGGAGTCCTGAAAAATTAAGCATACTATCCGGGTTCTGGATTTCATACGGTTTTCGGCAAAAAACCATCCGAGTCGGTAAAATAAAGATACATTATATATTTTTGAAAGGAAAATATATCGTACACCACCGAATAGTACGCCCATCAAATATTACTTGTATTTGAGACGACGGCAAACAAAAAATTACTTATAAACCTAAGTACGAATCGCGATTTAGGCACACCATTCGAAAGAGGGCTATCTTAGCTTTCGTTTGAGCTATTCCACAGCCAGATTGATCTACATGAAGCTGAGAACGAAGCGGGAGAAAAAATAACTCAATTTTTTGCGTCGCGATCTCAATTTTTTATTTGCGTTTATAGGGTAAAAATACGCGAGGAATCCAGTGGTGGTTTTAGATTTATCTAAAAACAAGTATAACATAGCTAAAATAACATTTTTTTCGGATCCAGTACAAATCACGGGGTATATTTTTGAATATTTTCCCGAAATTTGGATCAAGTCACTAAGTAATATTTTGATTCACCAGTGGACATAGGTAATAAAATGATGCACTACACGCTCTCGCCTACTCATCATCAGCTTCAGGCGTCGCTGAAGACTTGCGCTTCTTGGAGTTAGCAAAAGCTTTCTTGCTGGGTGCTGCTCTCTTCTTTTGGGCAGCCATTCCACGTCCTTCTTGGTTCTTCTTGGCGGCCGCTGCCATTGCAGCACGATGCGTTAAGCGAGCTTGCTTCTTCGTTTTAGCTGCAGCTCCTTCATCCTCACTTGGCTTCGCGTACAACGGGTCGTTCTGGAACTCGTCCGGGACATACGGCCTAATGGACTTGTACATCTGCTTTTTCTTTCTCGGCATTGATAGGTGGGGTGGCAGGATTTCAATGTGGTATGTCATGATTCGTGCCACCTTCTCCTTTGCCGTCAAAATGCCATCGATGTTTCGACGTAAGTCCTGCTCCTCTGCATCCGAATTTGGGCCCTTCTTGCACGCCACAACACCCGGCTTGGAACCGTCAATCGAAAAGATCTGGTACTGCTGCATACGATGGAGCCACTTGTACAACTCAGTCAGCACTGGTTTGCACGACTTGAAGAGCTTGCTGCCCCATGGAACATGCACAGTCACGGAGTTTGCCGCAGCTGCGTTGACTGCATCAATAACGTGCTGCATCGTCCAGCACTCAGCGGATTTCGAATGTGGCCAAAGCCACGGTCACACGAATTCTTCGTATGCCCCTTTACGAAAAATTTGAAGTCCACATGCTCGAAAATGCCCATGTCCACAAGGGTCAGCAATAACTTGATCACGTAGTTGTTCTTGTTCTGGCCCGAGCAGTTGTCGGAGTACTCAGTCAGCTTGGTTTTGCCAGACGGCACGAGCTTTGTCTCGATAAAATGGGCCAGCATTGAGTTGAGTTGGTCGCTGCCCTTGCTGCTGGTGCTCTCATCGTAGATGTAGTTCGTCTGCACACCGTCGTTCTCGTAGTAAAAACCGAAGCATCTCACTGACAGCAGAGAGCTAAAATACCATTGGGATGGCGTGTTGGCTACGGTGGGGATAGTCAGGTTCTGCGAGTAGTCCATGCCAATGACTGCGTGGCCGCTCGAGCAGAAAGTCTTGTCACACTTGTATTCGAGCCTGTAAGTAATTTAAATTGTTACCAAACTCCATGTTAAATATACCAAGTAAATCAACATGTTGCTTACGTCCCCATACAAAACTTACCGCATGAGCCGAGCCGATTCAGTATGGCGGCTGAGTGCCTCCGTCTTGTCAGCCGTGACGCCTCCGCGCATTCCGTGGTAAATAGCGCATACATCACATACCTTGCTTCGGGGGGGGGTCGGATCCGAATCGTAGGGCAGTGTAGCGTCAGCAGCTTCCGCATCGTGGCTCTTGCGGGTTCACGCACCCTAAGCTCAGACTCCACAAACTTGTGCATTTCATCCCAAATTGCCTCCCAGGTAAAGTGTGCCAGGAGCAGCGTGTACTTGTCGCTGCTGTAGTATTTCTGGACGCTCCCGTCGATTTTCTTTTGCATACGGACGCACACAGGGACGACCTCGCCAACCTCCTCCGCAAAGCTGGTGAACCACTTGACCAACCAGACCACGTCCACTTGCGACGCGTTTTTGTTGAATTTGTTTCCGTGGTCCTTCATGGCCATGTTGCCATCGCGGATTCTTCTTTTGTAGCGCTGTAGAGTCATGAGTACGACACCGTAGCAGCGAGCGAAGATGGGGCGGCACACTTGCCCAACAAAAGGAAGATAGTAGTTGAATCGTTCACGGTTGCCGCTTCCTCGCTTGCGGTCGACTGGCACTTGCATGAGCACAGCCAGGAGAGTATACAGGCTGGTATTCTTCTCCGGCTTCGACATCTGCGGCAGCGAGCACAGTAGAGACTCCAACTCCTTGGCCCTGCCGTGCACGCAGCGGTTCTCGCACGGGTCCCACTGGATTATCTCCGTGACTTGGGCGTTGAGGTCGGTGTCGAACAAAAAGTTACTTAAGTCCTCCTCCGATTCCTCGGTGCTGGCGCCTCAGCCGTCAACGCCTCTTCATCGTCGTCGTCGCCGCTTGACGTCTGGGAGAAGTCATCGTCGCCACTATCATCAAGCTCTCTGCTCGGGCTGGGCTCAGGATCCGCACTCCCACCGCCGATCATGGTCTTCACACGGAGAGTCACTGGCTCCGTCACCGCTGCCGCAGACAGCAGCAGTACGGTCGGCATGGTCACGGGGCGCTGCTGCTCACCTGCTTCACCTTGACTGGGAGCGGGAGGTGTAGCGCCAGCGAGTGGCGGCGGCGGCGGGGGCGAGGCGGCGGGCTTCTGTGTCTGCATCGTTGTTTGCAAGAGCGTTTGACAATGCGTTGGGATCTACGATTGCAACCGTCGATACACCCTGTTCAAATTTTTGAATTTGCAAAACGGCCCGTTTCTCAAAACTTCGGTTAGGTACGATTTTCAGTCGGTCAACTTTAAGGTCGATTATCTCGATAACTCAATGGCGCGTTAGCAACATTTTGTTTGCCGTTGTCTCTTTTTACGTTAAGTCACGAAGCTATAAATTGCACAAAAAAGCACCGGTAGACACTTGTACGAATAGGTAATGAACATATTTTTTTAAATCATAGCGCGCTTGTAACAAGCAAACATGTCTATCGAAACGGGCGATGGTTGTTGATGGCTTCATAGATTTTTAAGCTATAAACGAAATCGCTGCGAGGCGACCATTGGTCGTTGTGAACTCACACTTTGTAATAGAGAAGCACCACGGTCGCTCCGTTGAGTTACTTTAGGGGGCCTACACCCTGCAGTGGGATCTCCACTGCAGGCCGACGTCCCCTCTCTCCAAATACATATAGATCAAGTGTGGTGTCGACCATTTGGGTCTAAGCATCACGTCAAGAAGTATATTAGAGTTGCAATTCAGACCATCGCATCAATCTACAATTCGAAACAGAAACCTGATTGAATACTTTTTGTGTTTGACGAGCATGTGGAGACCGCACCGTACCGACCGATTCTACGAAAGGTTGGTCGCTTGCAGTCGGTGAAGCCGTCGTTGAGTGGAGGATAATGAAATTTATGTGGTTTTGTGTTGCACTTCGTAGTTGGGTGCTCTGGTAGAGGGGGTGGAGAAGGAGAGCGGCTTCCTTTACAACTCGGACAAAAAGGAGCTGCTGGGCTCGATCTTGCCTCAGATTTTGCGCGACCTGACGCTGCATGGCGAGTGCACTATCCCGGTGGACACGGCCAACATCATCAATTTGAAGTTGCTCCCAACGCTGCAAGATCCGGCGCCTGTGTTCGAGTACCAGGCGCCAGTTGCGATTCGCGACCTGCGCGCTCTGCTCGAGAACAGCGGCGCGTTATTTGAGCATGTCGAGGATTTATGGTATTGCGTTCATGAACTGAGAGGCACAACGATTATGTGTTCCAATAGCTGAATGGGATTTAGCGCTGCAGCAGATTGTGCCGTTCATCGACGGCGTCCGGTACGTGAAGCGGATCAGTCTGGAGGCAGAGGTCGAAATAGCTATTGTGAAGAAATGCGTTCGACAGCTTCTCTACTACGGCTGCGTCACGCTGATCGACATTTTCCTGCACTCGAACATTTACACCAACACGCCGAAGATCGCAGTACTCGCGAACGACACCAAGCTCCAAGCAGAGTGTGCCGTGTACATCGCCAAATCCGGCCATGCGCCCCCGTCGTTCGCTCGCATCTTCGCCCTGTATTGCTCCGTCCAGCCGAGTTTGCGCATGAGCGATTTCTGCGTCGTGTATTCCGAGTCCCTCTCGCTTATCGACGTGCGGCGATTCATCACCTTTGGTCTCATCCATGGTTTCCTGAGGCGCGTGCATCGGTACCCCATCTGCATCGAACGCAACCTGCCCGGGTCTAGTCCGCAGCAGCAGCAACCGAACCAAGCACCACAGCAGCCGCAGCAGCAACCGAACCAAGCACCACAGCAGCCGCAGCAGCAACAAGGAGGCCAGCAGGTCGTCCGTATGCGTTGTCGACAAACTCCCCGTCGTTGTCTGGGATGAATCCCATCAGCGCAGCGCCAACGTCGACTCAGCCTGGTGAAGGAAGTGGAGCGCCAGGCGGGGGAAGCGGGAACGGCGCGGGCTCCAACGGCGCTGGAGGCAACGTGTCCTCGATATCGTCCACTAAGCGTGCAATGGCGAGCAAGGCGAATCAGCTGGAACAGGACGTGCTCCGGATGATGGACGGTGGCCACCACACGGACGAAATCTGCAGCAAGTTCTTGCTGCGCTTCACCGACGTCGAGTCGACCATTCAAATGACTCCGAACTGCTTTGCGGTGCACAAGTGAATGTTGTATCCGGACCCAGAACGCGACAACAAGAAAAAAAATCGGCGTCATATTTAAACTTCTTCCTCTTTCGTTCACAACTGAGCGAAGCTCTAGTCACCACAGACCTCGCATTAATATCATGCGTCTGGTATCCAAAACCGACTTGGGGTCCTGCTGTCGCAGTATCTGTCGTTCTTGGTGTCCATGATGGACAGTCCATTGTATGGTCCAATATATATCCACAGCTATTTACACGTAGGTATACACCACCTCGAACTTGCGCCGGATCTCCGAGCTTAAGACGGACAACAGAGTGGCCGAGCTGACGCTTGCTCACCAGCTTCTTGTCCATTATTCCCAAGTCAAGCTCTACAACATCAAGCGGCAATACAATATACAAATAGATTGATCACTACTGCAGTATTTGGACGCTGCATATCTTGGCACTAAAAAAATGCACGCACGTGGAAGGAGCTAATGCAAACGCCTTGCAGAAGTAGATCGTAATTAACCCTCATCATTTATAATAGTCTGTACAAATCGCTTTTAGGTGAGCCAAGAACAAATTGTTCTGAACAATGAGTAAGCGCTCCCCGACTCCCCCGCTGCAACCGGAGCATCCACGCAAACAGAGGCTGTTAGACCCCATTCCTGGGCTCAATACTGCAGAAGAAAAGGCTCCGGTTGAAGAGAAACCCGCTGTGCCAGCATCACCGGCGGAGGAAGCTACACCAAACACTTCACCCAAGATACAGAGGATGCCGGCAGTGCCATTGGTGGTTCAATACGTTGGCGAGAAGTTCTACGTGCGCGACTGCTACGAAGTGTATTTCCAGACACGAAACTCTTGGCAGAAAACAAGAGATGCGTGACGATAACAGGGACACCAGGAATCGGCAAGTCTGTCTTCTACGCGTACTGCTATGACCGATTTCGAGTTGAGTTAACCGACACATGGGTAGTCGCGGCGGCCTTCGAGAACTTCAGCTTCCGCAGAGGAATTCTCTCCGAAGATGGCACCAAGACGAAGCTGTATAAGTTTTCCCAATACGAAGAGCTGGAGGTAGCAGCGGATGAAACCAAGAAGAAGCTTCTATACCTGTGCGATGACTACGCGACACCAGATGATCGTGTTTACAAGTCCAAACGAAGGCTGGCAAAAGATTTCCAAAAAACCTGTTTGCGATTATTACATGCCACTTTGGACGCTTGAGGAGCTTCAAGAAGCTGCAGCTCTTCTCGACCTCCGTATGGACGATGCCGTTATCGCGGAAAGATTCAATAAGTTTGGGGGTGTAGCTCGCGAGTGTTTGTGCCTGGAGGCGGGGAAGCTGGACGTGATTGAACGTGATATTTTGGAGGAGATACAACAGTTTTCCAGTCCGGAAGAAGTTCGAAACATCCTTCTGGAAATCGGAAATACCAAATGTGCCTGCTTCTCTGTTTCACGAAACTATGCAGTAAATTTTCATTTCCCGATATCTGTGGCGCTGTGAATCTTCAAACACACCCAGCGACTGGTGGCAGCCTGGCGCCAGGATGCGATCCAGTCCCTCAAGATTCTACTCAGGACGCTAGCAAGGTAAAGGGGAATCTGGCAGAATCCCAAGACTCAAACGGTATCAAACAAGAAGCTCCGGTGCCCAGCACGATGGCTGGACTTCAAGGTGCATGGCTGGATCGCAAGACACCAAGGTACCCAGTAGGTCGCCAAGAGGGGCTAGCAGCGCCGCTTTCATGTTTTGCGTTGCTCTCAGAATTCAATTTGCTTTCTCAAGTGCATTGGTCGTCATAAAGTTAACTTGGGCGAGTGCCAAGTTTCCAGCTGGACCAAGAGTCGACCCGGGACCGCTCTTCAAGTGGGAGAAGACTCAAGCCACGGATGCCGAGTTTCCGCGTCGACGCCGACGGGGACGTCGAGGTGACGATCCCGCCGCCCGTGTAGCTGATCAGCGCGGCTGAGCTCGCGTCATGGGACCAAGAATCGCTCGTCAAGTGGCTGCGTGAGCGCCGCCGCTATCGTGAGGCGATTGAAGAGCGCTGCCGCATCAGCCAAGAGCCAGTGGCCTCGGTGCTGCGGAGTGTGCGCGCTTCTGTGAAGCCAAAGCTGCTCGACTACCTGGCCCGCTACGTGTTCCGACAGGACCGCGACACGATCGGTGACCAAGAGATCATGGACAAGATCAAGGAGCGAGTCGCCGAGGTGATGAACTGGTACATCCCGGACATCTTCGACTTCTTTAAGACCCACCTGAGAATGGACTTGAAGGAGCAGGATGTGGAGGCAAGGGTCGCCAAATACTTCGTCGACTTTGACCAGTTCATCGAGGAGCACGGGTTTGCGTCCATGCTCGCGGCCGGTGGTACGGACCGACCTGACTACCGCGACCGCATGAAGAATCGCTGCAAGTTGATTGTCGAAAACCTGTCGCCGGCCATGCTAAAAACCGAGATCAAGCGGTTGGTCTCGCTCCAGCATCGTGAGGCCAAGACGGACAACATTGCGTTGCATCAGCTGATTCTCACCCGTGCCAAGATGCAGCAGCGGTATCACCTGATGAAGCGCGAAGAGAAAGCTGACCGCAAGCAGCCTCTGAAACCGGACGGAGGCCGAGCGACACCGAAGCCGGACAACAGGAAGGCGGAGCCGAAGCTGGAAACCTCGAGGTCGCCGAGCAGCAGGCCCGGTGTGAACAACTCGGCCAAGACCCACCAAGCGCCGCCAAAAGACGGGTGCCTCTACTGCAAGGGGCCCCACCTTGTTCGCTTTTGTCCAACTGCTACGGAGGAGCAGAAGCAGCAGTGCTACCAGCGTCTGCGTGAATCGAAGGTGGCCAAGGTCAAGGCTGCTCGTGTTCGGCGTATCCCTGGTCACCACCAAGTGGTGGTCAACGACTTGGTGGAGTTGCCGTATCGGGCGGACACAGGCTCCGAGGTCAATGTGCTGTCAGCCAGTGCTGTTCGGGACCTCGCGGCATGTGGATCGCCGGTGGTCACCACTGCGATGGAGATGCCAGTGTTCCTGGAGCGAGTTGGAGGGGATCTCCTTGCCTGCAACACGTGCTGTGACGTGGACGTCGTGTTGAGTACGGCGGCTGGACCTGTTCATCTTCGCAGGGTTCACTGTGTAATTCTCGATGATGATGAAGAGCTGGGAAACCCAGCGCTGGTCTCGCTTGGCATCGACGTGGATCGCCAAATGGAACAGTTGGCAAGTGGAGGTGGTCTCGATGGTGATGACGGAGATGATATCCGTGGTGATCCTGAGATCGGCCGTGACTCCGACGCCGAGATGACTGAGTTTGTCAACGGTCTGCTCAATACGGCGGGTGCAAACGGCTTTCCGGAAGAAGAGATGCCGGCTCTGAGGCGCATAGTGCTGGACTACAAAGATATGTGGCGTTCGCGTCTGGGAGCAGATGAACCTGCGAGAGTGAAGCCATACCGCGTTACGCTGGAGGAAGGGGCACAGCCTATCCGCTGCAAGCCTCGGCGTTATTCGCCTTTCGCCAGTTCGTACACCAGCAACTACATGAGGGGGTTGGTTGCCAGCGGGTATGCCTACCCAAATAATGGTAGTCGCTGGTCAAGCGCAGTCGTCCCTGTGCAGAAGGCTGGTGGTGAGGAATTCCGTGTCACTTCGGATTATCGTCGCCTGAACAGCATTACAGTGCCGATTGCTGCCAGCGTGCCGAACCTGTCCGTCGTCTTGAGTCGTGTCAAAGGGGCGAAGGTCATCGGCAAGTTGTTCAACATGTTCAAGGGGTTCTGGCAGCTACCGCTACATGAAGACAGTCGTGAATATTTCAGCATTCAGACGGATGAGGGCGTGTTCACGCCAACTCGCGTTCCACAGGGAGGAGTGGACTCGGCGCTGCACTTCCAGTCCACCATGCAAGAGGCCTTTGCTGATCTAATCAATGACCATTTGCTCGTGTACGTGGATGATGTTATTCTGTTTGCGTCGACCTTTGAAGAGTATCTGGAGGTCCTCGAGAAGTTTTTCGCGCGCCTGCAAGAGCTGAATCTGAAGCTGAACGTGACGAAGAGCTGTCTTTATCAGCAAGAGGTGACCTGGTGCGGCAAGATTATTGATGGGAATGGAGTGACGCATGACCCGGCTCGCGTTGAGTCGTTGGTGTCATTGCCGCTGCCTCTCAACGCTGCTGAGCTTCAGCGTTTCCTATGTGCTGCAAACTGGCTAAGAGACTCGGTCGTTGACTATGGACGGGCTGTGGCTCCGTTGCAAGCTAAGTTCGATGCAGCGATGCAGGGACTGAGTCGTCGTAAGCGCCAAGCGGCTGGCGTGGAGATTTCGTGGAGTGAAGATGAGGTTGAGCAGTACAAAGCGTTTTTGAAGCGGCTTGCGAGCTCAGCAGCACTTTCGTTTCCTGATGACGATGCCGTGGTGTGCCTCAGCTCGGATGCTTCAGCGAGCGGATGGGCTGTTATCCTGACCCAAGTGAAGGACTGGAAGGATGGCGTCCCGATACACGAGCAGAGTCACGAACTGCTTGTTTGCAAAGGTGGTTCTTTCAAGGGATCACAATTGCATTGGTCTGTAGTGGAGAAAGAAGCCTACCCAGTTGTCTACGCAGCAACGGAGCTCGAGCACTTACTTCATCGGCCACTCGGATACCGTATTTTTACGGACCACGCCAATCTGATCCAGATATTTTGCCCGAGCAGCGATCTCAAGAAGCACGTTCGGGGCAAATTGCAGCGCTGGTCATTGAAGCGCGCTGGGACTCGCTATGAGATTGAGCACGTGCGTGGCGAGGATAACCGCTGGGCTGATTAGGTGTCGAGGTGGCCAGTGCGCGAGGACGTAGAGGTTGTGGTGAAGGCCAAGGCTATGAGGACTAGGAGCCAAGCATCACCTAGTCAGTTGCGTCCTCTGCAAGACGATGATTTTGAGTGGCCATCTCCAGAAGCTGTCCGTGAAGCTCAACAACGTTACTACCGTGCACTACCAGCTTCGTCGGAAGAACGAGAAGGTCTTCAGTATGTCGACGGCAAGGTGTGGATTCCCCGCCAGGCGAAGGATTTGCTGACTCGTGTGCTGGTTGTAGCTCATTGTGGTATTCAAGCTCACCTAGGGGTCCAGGTGATGTTGAACCAGCTTCAGGGCTCGTATGCCATTGACAACGTCCGCGAAGTCGTGACACGATTTGTCAACGGATGTCTTCTCTGCAAGCACATCAAGGGAGGGAAGCTGGTGCAGCGTCCCTGGTCAGAGACAGCGACGGCTACCAAGCGAAATGAGGTGCTACACATGGACTATATCTCAATGGGAGACAGCTATGGAAGTACGAAGTATGTACTCGTTCTCAAAGACGAGCTAACTCACTTCTGTGATGATTGCCTGTGATTCTCCAACCAGTGATGTCGCTGTCACCGCCATTTTGGACTGGCACAAGCGGTATGGCCTCCCAGCGAAGTGGGTCTCCGATAATGGAAGCGATTTCAAGAGTCTAGTGATGGCTGAGCTGGCCACGCGGCTTCGTGGGATGCAAAGTTTCGTGCCTGTGTATTCACCCTGGATCAACGGCACCGTTGAACGGATCAATCGAGACTTGTTGCAAGTCGTCCGTGCGTTACTGCTGGAATTGGAGCTGGACACACACACTTGGGAGTTCCTGTTGCCAATTGTACAGGCAAATCTGAACCAGAGCGCTGTTGCTTCACTTGGCAATAAGGCGCCAATGGAGCTGTTCACGGGTCTTCCGGTCACGACACCGCTGGACACCTGTTTGCTTCCTGATAGCGATTCGCAGTTGCAGCACGTCGACCTGAGCAACGTGGAGGCGTTCCTGCACCAACTCCGTGCAATTTTTCACTTGATGCACATGGACGCGGTTGATCGCAAGGAGAGGCGCCGACTGTATCAACAAACTCAAAAGAAAGGGGACATCTGCAATTTTTCTGCTGGCGATTTCGTCCTCTGGTCTGGCGTGGACGCGCGACTGGAGAGCGGCAAGCTCCTAGTCCGGTGGGTCGGACCTTTTCAAGCGGAGGAGGTCAAGTCGCACTCGTTCCTGATACGTCACTTGCTGACGCGAGCGGTTCATGAAGTCCATGGATCTCGCTTGAAATTCTACCACGACCCCAGCCTGGAGCTCTCGGAGGAGCTAGTGGAACATATTACCAAGCAGGGCATTGTGCTCGGCGTTGAAACCATCCTCCAACACCGGTTCAACGAGACGTCCCGTCAACACGAGCTGCTGATTTCATGGGTTGAGCTCGAGTCCATTGAAGACTCATGGGAACCGCTCGACGTTATGTTAGCAGACATCCCGACTAAGGTGAAGGAGTATGCTGCGAGCCAAGACGACGCGGAGCTACGGGGTCTGTGCGGTCTCCAAGCTGCGTCACAGCAGTAGACGAGTTCGTCTACATGTGTCGACAATTGTGCTGGACTGTGTTTTGGTGGGCGGTGTGGCGCTGTGAATCTTCAAACACACCCAGCGACTGGTGGCAGCCTGGCGCCAGGATGCGATCCAGTCCCTCAAGATTCTACTCAGGACGCTAGCAAGGTAAAGGGGAATCTGGCAGAATCCCAAGACTCAAACGGTATCAAACAAGAAGCTCCGGTGCCCAGCACGATGGCTGGACTTCAAGGTGCATGGCTGGATCGCAAGACACCAAGGTACCCAGTAGGTCGCCAAGAGGGGCTAGCAGCAGGGTGCGGAGGGATAGCTAGCGCCGCTTTCATGTTTTGCGTTGCTCTCAGAATTCAATTTGCTTTCTCAAGTGCATTGGTCGTCATAATATCTCGTGAGCAAATAACCCGATTCCTGTGCTGCAGGTAGCAAATTCAAGTGCGTGATCGGCGCTTCTTGCTGCAATTTTTACAGCTCGCCACCGCTCCTTATAATGAAGCTAGCGAGGGCTCCTGGCGCTAGAATTTGAGGCTCACCACATTTTCCTCCGCAATTCATCGGCTATATGTCGCCTTACCCACAAGAAGGTATTGTTGGGATCGCCTTCATTCACATCGTCCAGGAAAAATGATTGTGCGCGTGGAAGCGTTGTTTTAGGCTCGCAACGACAGCAATGATGATGATGGGTTATCTACCCTTCCGCACAGTGAGTCCGGGACGTCGACAAGTATCCAGTCGAAGACCCCAGGCAAATAACAGCCATTGCCCCTTTTTAGCCAATAATAGGTCAGTAGCACGCGCAAGTCCTTTACAGCTCATTGCTTCAGAAGTCTCCCTCAACTTCCCTCGTCGCTCAAGAAACAACATGCGCTGCCACAGAGGCTTCTGGGCCTACGCAGGCGACAAAGGCACCGAAATCTCGGACAGCGCTGCACGCTTCGCGTAAGAACAAGCCTCTCAAGCGCAGCCAGGTGCCAACAGGGCGGCAGAGAATTGGCTGTGAACGCGGGCTGGAAGGGCTCTGAAGAAGCGCTGGGAGGGGGAGACAGCGGAGATTCGGCAGGATTACATACAGAAGAACCCTGGCGCTACCTTTTTGCTGGACGACAACCCGCTGGGCTTCGCAGATGGCCGGCAGGATCGCCGGCGCTATCCTCGAATGGTGCGAGCCGACATCGCTACGCCTCTGATACTGCAGGAAGAGGCTCCGGTAGCACCAGCTACGACACGGACACCCGTCGACACTCAGTGTCGAGAACAAGTTGATGAATTTAAGAGCTACCAGGACGAGCTGCTGCGGGCTGCGTTCGTGGCCGAAGTGACAGCGCTTGCGCACGCAGTCCGAACGAAGGACGTTAGCCGAGTTGTGTCACGTTCGGTGGCAGTAGTAGAATGTATGGGCGCCCAAATTGCAGCAAGTTTATCCCCCGATTCAAGAGCTCGTGTTGTGGGAATCATCCGTGACGTGACAGCGTATATGCAAGCTGCACGAACACAGCTGACTATGCACTCTGATGAAGAGGCGGATGGCGCGCTTCATGAAACGCAGACTAGCGCAGCTGCCGCTAACTCAGCACTGAGCAACTACGTGCGTGATACCATTCAAGTTAACCCAGACTTCAAGGCCATGCACGAGGGCAGGGAAAACTACACGACCAGCAGCACCAATAACTTGCAGGAGTTATATTGGCTAGGAAAAGTTCCCTCGGTGCGAACTTTGCAAGCTAGTCCAGGCTCGCCTGCTGCGTCAAGTGATGCATCGGCTACATCAACTACGGTGTGTCAGGCAGGGGCGTCTGTCGAGAGACTCAATGGATCGGTTGCTGAGGGCGCAGCTAATAGCAGCAACGATGCTCAGATATCACCCTCGGCTCAATCAAAACCTACCACTATTACATCTCGCAAACGCCCCCGGTTGCTCGAAGGAAAGCAGCGATCCGCCACGACAAATTCAAAGCCACACGCAACCAGCGGAAAAGCGCAACCGGCTGGTAATGCGGCAGATGATGAAGATAGCGCGTATGAGCCAAGCATTGCGGAGGAAAGTGACGTGAATGATGACGATGTGGACCCACCGAATCGGTTTTTCAGAAAGCGCATGTCAAAAAATGATCCTCTGATAGTGTGGACCGATCTCGAAGATGACGATCACCCCCGAACAGTGCACGTTTACCCTGTGGATTTGGATAGCTTGCAGACTGGTGCTTGGTTGAACCAAACTGCGCTGGATTATTTTATCTATCGCTATATGGAGCGAGTTAAATGATTTGTAGTTGGATGGCCTGTCATGTGACGAAGGGCCACGAACAGGCAGCACCAGACGATCGCGCGCTGGTGATCGGCTTGACGGACGAGTAGTGTGGTGGACATCGGCCAGATCGGGTCTGATGTACGACAGGAGGCGTGTGGTGAAGAGGGTAAGCCAGTGGACTAGTGCCACCGGCTGAAGGCGGTCGCTCAGCAAGTAGTGGGAGGTTGAAGTTGGCGATGGCGACGACAGAAGATCGCAGGGCGTGGGGCGACACGACGGGACAAAGGCGAGGGAGTATACGAGTGAGGAGAGGCGAGGTCAAAGACAGGAACGTGAGGCTGTGAGGCCACGAGCACGGAGAAGGAGTCGAAGAGGGAGAAGTCCAGTAGGTAGGCAGGCGCCCGTGCGTAGGAGTAGATACAGCGGGGATAGGATTGAGTAGGAGGATACCGAGCGGCGGTCGGCCGACTCGACCCTCAGTTGCGGTTTTCACAGGATTGTGGAGAGTCAAGACTAATATACACGAGTTGCGCCGAACGCACGGGTTTCCGGTCTTTGGAGCAGCGACGAAGAGCGTCGGCCAAAGCGACGGCAATAGCGAAGGTATGGCAGTGGTAGGCCAGTGCACAGATGAGGGCAGTGTTAGGGTAGGGCGGCAGGACTGTGGAGAGAGACCACAGGGGCTGTGGTGTTGGAGCACCTCGGCCGAGTGGTGCGGAGCTCGCATGTGCCAGTGTGCGAAGGGCTCTTGCTGCCTGCTGTATATAACCGGGCTTTATGAGCTGGGAACAGCTAGTGGGGCTACCCGACCACTAGTGCTTATAACGTTTCCTCCTAGCCATCCCTATCCTAGCCATGCGTGCAGGCCAGTAACGTCTGGTCGACACTGAACGGCCTCGCACTGGAAGAGACCCTGCTTACCGAGACGCTCCCTAGGTGCTTAGGTGAGCAGCTTGTGTTAACGATCTCCCTCCGACGCGGTGTAAGAAGAAGGACACCCGGAGTGGAGATAACGGCATGGTGGTCATGACAGGAGCCTTCCGGGCAGTGTCCATGAGTGGCGCTGGCGGCTTGGCTTCAGTGGGCTGAGCCCGTGGCGGAAAGAGAGGAAACGGAAACGATAAGGAGACGAGAAGTGTACGATGGGCTAACGATCTTTGTATTACGGTAACAGAGAACTAGCGACGGAATGACGACCGAGGGAATGATGGCACGTGACGAACGCGCTCAACGCCGAGCTGCGTCGGCGGAGCGAGCGGCGACGGAGGCGGCGAAGCAACAGCGGCTTCCCCAGCAACCGACGACGGTGACGACTTTGGAAACGGAAGACGGCGCCACGGTGACGCTGAGTACGGAGGAGATACGCCGTCCGACGGGCAACACGCCCGTGGCAGCAGGCGGTGCTGGACAACGCGACCTTGGCGGAGGTCAAGATGGCGACCCTCCAGCTGGACAAGGCGACGGTTCGAGCGGCGGTGGCAGCTGTCGCGAGAACACGAGTACGGCTGGTCAGCAGACCAACACGGACACGAACACGAACGCGGACACGACGATGGAGGAGAGGACGGCGGACTTGAAGGGGAGTGGCGGTGCCGGAGCGGGACACGCACCACCACCTCCACCTCAACCACGTCCAGCAGCGGCGGCGGCATCGCGTGGGCATGGTCCGTCGCGTGAGAGTGCTCCTCAGCGGCCGATCATCGTCCGCGAGAAGGCCAAAGCGCTGAAGTTGAAGAAGTTCAAGGGATTGGACGACTCCATGCCCGTGACGATGTGGCTCAAGACGGTGCGCGCGGAGGTCAGGCGCCAGGCTGTGTCGATGGGCGTCACGTGGCAAGAAAAGCAGCTATACCACAAGGTCGCCTCGCACCGCGAAGGCGAGGCGCAGCGCTGGTTCGCTACGGTGCTGGAGGCCGTGCCGGAAGACGAGGAGAACATCAGCACCCTGGCCGGAATGCTGCGCGCCAAGTACATGACGCAACGCACCGGGCCAGAGGTGGTCGACCTACTCAACGCGAGACAACAGATGAGAGGAGAGCGGTTGATTGAGTACGCGCAGTCGCTGCGCGAGATCGGCGAGCGCGGCGACGTCGGAGAAGATTGGCTGGTGAACGCCTTCTTGAAGGGGATGAGCAGCCCCGAGGGCGCGACCCATGTGCGAGGCCACAGGCCTCAGACGCTGGATGAAGCAGTGAGCCTGGTGGTGCCCCACATCGGCGAGTATGGCGAGGGGTATGGTGTCGGGTTGGAGACGGCGATGGAGCGCTGGGATGAGCGCGAGACGTCGAGCGGACGCGGGCCCGTGCAGGGGGCCGCGAAGAGAGCCGGCGGCCAGGAACAGTCTGGGCTGGCAGGGAACTACGGGAGTGTGGTGACTGGCTACGGGCCCATGTGGGGCACGGCAGCGAGCCCGCCTAGGTACGACACGGAGGGCAGGCAGGTGAGCTCTGGAGGAGCCAGTGCGACCGAGTGGTGGAAGGCGGTACCGCCAGGGTTCCAGCTGGTGCCCGCGGGAACGGTGGGTACACCAGTGGGTACACGTGGCAGTTTGGGAGACGGTTCGAAATTTCGAACGGCCAGCAGTGACCAGTACGGGACGAGGGGAAAACGGCCAGCAACGGCTGTGGACCAGAACACTAAGCAAGCGGCCAAGACGCTCAAGGTTGAGGGCAAGTACGGCGGCGATGGAGCGAGTGGCGGGCTGTCCAACCCCGCGCTTGCGACGCGTGAGGGCAGGATGATAAACCAGAAGCGTTATCGGCAGCGGCAAGCGCAGCCACGGCGCGAGTTCACGCCTCGGCCGGGCACGGAGTGCTACTACTGCGGACGCACTGGGCACTTTGTGCGGTACTGCGAGGTGAAGACAGCGGATCGCAACACCAGCGGCGTGAACACGGCCGCTGACGCGAAGGAGAACACTACGGAGGAGTCGGGAAACGGCCCGCGAGCGTAAGGGCCCCGGCCTTACGGCTCGCAGGCACAGGACCGGGTAAGACGGCGAGGAAGCCGTTCGTGGAACGGCAAGGACGGCGACGAGATGGCGGTCGAGACGAAGACCGTGGTCGAGAACGCGGACGACCCCGACGACGTCGAGGACGTCGAGGACAACGATGGCGCTTCGAGTCTGGGGATGGCGCGGCGGAGAATGACGCGCGCGAGCGCGGTGGAGAGACCGACGGTACGAGCGGAACTGGGGATGGCGCGAGAAGCGCTGGACTCAGCGAATACGGAATGAGCGGCTTAAGACTGGTGATGACGCCGAACGGCAAGTGGCGGTGGCCTCCAAGCCCAACGCCAAGGACAGCAACAGCGGAGCGTCGACGAAGAAGCGCGTGCAGTTCGCGGACAACGCGGAGGGCGGTGATGAGAAGCCGTCGGCGAAGGACGCGAAGAGCACCACGGAGGCGACATGCAGCTGCGCCGCGGTGGCGGACCACGACGGTGGGGCGGTGAACGCGATGGTGGTCCAGTGCGCGGAAGGGAAGCGCGTGGTGATCGACTACGGCAAGTTGAGGACGACGGATGGCGGTCGGATCGACGGCAAGCCGGACGAGGAAGAACTACGGAAGAAGGTGGACGCGCAGCTGGCCGCAGCGCTGGCGGCGTTCGAGCGGTCAGTGGATCGGTCAACGCGGGCGGCTACGAGTACGAAGGGCTCGAAGGGCCCCGCGGACGAGATGAGTGCGGGAGACACGAGCAGTGGGGACACCAACAGCGTGACGGACAACACGCTGAAGGCGGAGCTGCGCGTGCGTGACAAGGAACAAGGGCGAGTACTGCTGGTGAAGGCCCGGCAGCAAGCGCGTGACGAGGCGACGAAGCAGGAGATGGAGCAGCAGCTCCACAAGTGACGAAAGCGGCTCGATCACACCAAGGCGCGTCGAGAGCGGCGTGCTGAGCGTGAACGGATGGCGGCTGAACTGGCGAAGAGCGGCGCTGCGGCGACAGCGGCGTAACCATCTTTCAACACCTTCTCTCGGGCTCGGAGTTCCTGCAGCGCCTGAGCTGCACGGGCACTCCAGCTCAACGCTTCTCGAAACCTGTCGCTCGGCTCGGGCATGACCCCATCCGACCCTACAGTCACACCGTCTGCCAGCCGTCCTTGTCCTTCCTTGGGGGCTTGCTCGTGCGTTGATAGACCTTGCGGTGGCGGAGTCGAATCGACGAGAGGAT